TCGCAAAGAAGAAAGCCTGTCAACCAATTCAACCCACGCCTTTGGAGCTCTGCCTACAAGCACTGTTCCGGAACAACATTACTACTTTGTGAGCAACTCGACTGTATCTTCACTCATAAAACCCAGTATCGCGAACAATGGCCCTCTCATCTCAACCAGCGGGGCACCCAAACTGGGGACGTTGGTCCCAACCAGTCGGCCATGAGTATGCGATGATTCCTGACAATCAAAGTATGATGGTATACTCCTCGCGCCAACCATCTCCTGAATACGTCAACCGCCAGGTCATGGTCCAGCAGTACATGGCACCCTACACATCCGCCCACGTTCCTGCCATGACCGCAGCTCACTATTCGCCTACTACGACTAGCTATGCGCCCTACACCAGCCCTCTCCAGATCGGCACGGCACCCGTCTCTTACTCTCAGCGATATGATAGCCATCAGGAGACCAGGTCTATCATGTCTGATGATAGCAACTCTCGGCTTTACCAGCGGGAGGATGTCAAGCCTGCTTTCGACAGCACCGCCATGTCCCCTTCGCCCTCGCAAGACAGCAACTATTCTGTCAAGAGGGAGCCAACAATTCCAGAGCAGACCATCAACGCCAAGATCATCACCCCCAACGAGACAATCAACCCGAACAACAAAGTCGATTTCCACACCGAAATCGATCAGCTCATGAAGACTCTCCAGCACGATGAGCCAGAGAACGAGGCGCAATCTCCCGCTCAGGCCCCTACACCTGCTCCGTCTCCCAAGTACGAGGAGTGTGACAAGCAAGGTACACCACCTTGCTCTAGCCCTGCCAAAGTCCACAATGCGCGACCTAAGAAGTACACTTGCAACGGCCCCAACTGCAACAAGAGCTTCAGTCAGAAGACACACCTGGAAATCCACCGCCGAACACACAGTGGACTACGACCATATGTAGGCAGCATAGAAATCCATTCGTGATCGATACACTTTGAGCTAACTCAAACAGGTCTGTGATTATGCCGGATGTGGTCTCACCTTCTCCCAGCTGGGCAACCTGAAGGTAATGCCAACCATATTTCATTACGCCGTAGACCGTCCGTACTAATACTCTCTTAGACTCACAAGCGCCGCCACACTGGGGACAAGCCTTTCAAGTGCAGCAAATGTGACAAGACATTCGCCCAGCGGGGCAATGTCAAGTCTCACGAGGAGACGCACGAGGGCCTGAAGCCATTTGTTTGTATTCTGGACAACTGTGACAAGAAGTTCTCCCAGCTTGGCAACATGAAGGTATGTGACACCTCCAAGCCACCTCAGTATATCCCAGTCTGACCAACATGACGCAGACCCATCAGAACAACTTCCACAAGGACGCCCTTCAGGACCTCACCCAGAAGTTTGTCAAGTTCAACCTTGAGAACCACATCCCTGAGGAGTACCGCACCCTCTACTCGTACTTCAAGGCCCATTACAAGAACAGCAACAAGGGCATCAAGGGCCGTGGAAAGGCCAGAAGAATCGCCGGTGGCCGCGACAGCAAGCCACGATCTACCACCCGAGGAGGCCGAAAGACCCAGGCACCCGCGTACAAGCCGACCTCTCCCGTGTCTCAGCCTCAGTCGCCCGCACCTGGACCGCTCTACACAACCACCAGCGGTCCCATGCCAATGAGCGACACCGTCACCCGACACCGCCTTCCCACCGGCTTTACCCCTCATGTTTTCCCAATCGAGAACCACCACACTCCCCACATGATGTACGATGATGCCCAGTCCCGCCAGATCCACGGCCTCTACTAGATGTGTCGTGTACATGTCTATCGACTGGGGCAAAATTAGGGCCTTCACATTTGAGCTATACGAAACGATTTCACGGACAAGGAAAAAAGGAAAAGGAAAGGATAATCCCAAAAACCAGGTATTTGGCAAGGCGGAACGGCCCCCAGACGATCCGCCTGCCGCAACGATTAATGATAGGAGGAAGACGGAGGTCTTATCGTCAAATTTCTCTCAGTTTTAAACCAGCGAGGAGGTTCAGCGTCGTCGTTTTGTTCAAGGTATTGATTTTGTATTTCTGTTTGTTTTCTTCGAGCGATCTTTGGACCACGCTTTGGGTGGTCAAGATCTCGATCAACTGATCCCATGGCGGGATCAGCAAAAGGAAGGTCCATTGGACCATGCGGAGTTCCCACATACTATTGTTGTGGAACGTGGGAGGCTGTCTGAACTACTTTTTTGTCTCGCTTACAAGGTGGAATATTTGTCTTCTTAGTTGGACTGGTTATTGTCCTGTCCTGTTCTGTTCTTTCTTTTCTTCTTCCCTTTTTTACTTGAACCCCCCCCTCGCTCTCACAGGAGCTCATCATCCTTCGAAAGCAGCACCTCGTCTTTCCCTACCAGCTCCGGGTCTAGGCACCTGCATGATGACGAGGGCTTTGGGCGTGGGGGGACGTATTTATGTTGTCTTGTTTTTCTCCTCTTCAACTCGAGATATGTGCTCGAGTCTACATTTCGAAAAAGGAACGGGCTATGGCTGGCTGTCTGCGTTAGCGATTTCAGGCGGATGTTTTCCCACAAGTATGTTGGATACTTTTTCTCTCTCTTGTCTTGGAGTTTTTGTTTTTTCATCGGATATGGTACAGGCTGCATACACACAAGGGTTACTAGACTCTGCATTGGTCGGCAGCATTGAGCGAAAGGAGTCAATTCTTATTAGAGACTAGGTTCTTACGGAAAGGGGGTTGTGTGTTTTTTTTTACAATGGTCTTAATTCTCTCGAATTGTGGTTTTTTTTCTGTCTCTACCTCTTTTGCATTTTGGTTGAAGTTGTAGCAGCACAGCCTGAAGACCCTTCAGAATGAATTCAAATATGATTATCAAGAAGCAATACTCTCCCCCCCCCCACCCCTTTTCTGTGATGTACATTGGGCAGTGAACAAAAACCCAGAAGTTAGATTACGCCGTAGTTGGAGAGTGGCAGTGTGTGTGCACCCGCGGGTACCTTCTTGGGCATTGATAGCTGCGGTCGTCTCTATTACCAATGGAAATGAAATATGATTTATGATGAAGGTTGGGCTTGAAACACCCACCCTTCTCAGCCCAGGGCTCGAGCTTCCTAAACGGAACGCGGTCCCCCAGCCCACCCTCTGCGAAACTGGGCATGCCCACAAGAGACGACGGGCCAAGTCTACATGCCAGATTGGGGAGGGGGGAGGCAAGATTACGGATGGGGAGGGGGGTGGTGGTGGTGACTGGGCGCAACGGTGATGGGCAGTAACGCCGCGCTAGATCCCTGGTTGGAAATCGTATCTCCTCATAGAAAAGAAAAGATAACCGTTGAGATGGAAGGGGAAGGGAGGGGCGATGATGACACTTGATCGAGGTTGCACTCAAGCAAGCCGTTCAAGAAAAGAGAGACGCTGCTTGCTCACACCCCGCCATCATGTCAGCCCCCCCGGTCTTGTTTTGCTGGCCTATGGCGAACCCCACGATGGGCAATATCGGAGGCACGCATGGGTTAATATATGGGGAGGGTGTGGCTCGCATGTATTTCTAAACTGGGAACCCAAGACGCCGGAGATGGTCGTGCGCGCAGTATGCCTTATTCCCATGATCACGGTGGGCTTCTCGGTAATGGCGGGTTGGGTGGAGGCTGTATCGACACGGCCTTTGAGAGGCGGGTTGGGCATGAAAGATGTCACGGAACCTCCCGGGATCTGGCCTGTCGACGTTACAGCCAAGGGGGGAGGGGGGTGGAACGAGGCATGTAGGCTGTTTGGGGGCCGTTAGGACAAGATGGATTCGATTAATATGGATAGCAAACACCTAATAACGTCTCCGAGGAGATGTCGGTGCTACGTATTGGCTTAGACGGTCGACAGCTGGACTCTGAAGCATCACATCACATAGCATCGAGGCGTTATTCGCAGCCAGCACTGGGGCACAGCCTTGAGTTGTTCATTCACAAGTCGTACGAGTATGTACGTATTCTTCATGCATGCGTGTAATTCCAGCAGCAACTTGGCAGAACTGGCTAGCCGGTTGGTTACAGACGCTGGCCTTAGACATGCAAGCTTGGTGTATTTGAAATTTGACCTTATATTTTCTTTTTAGAAGCGAATACAAAGAGACATATTCATTTCCTTCACCGCTACACATCATCTTGCATCAAAGACCATTCTAGATCGATCGAGAATCATGATGAGGTTCAGCTTGGCGAGTTTGGCCGGAGCAAAAATAACGTGTAGGAAGATTCTCATGTTAGTCTGCCATATCAGATTGTGTCTCATATCGCGATCGTATATTGCTGTCCGTCCCGCCTCTTGAAACGTCATTCTAAGCAAGGGGCACGAGGTGCGCGGCTATGCTAACGGTCTTTTCCCAATCTATCCAATGAGATATAAAACTCCACGTGTTTGTGACATTTTCCTTTTGACAGCTAAGAGGCTGGGACTGGAGCCTCCTATAGGTAGAGAATCGTGGTCCATATGTGGATCACGACTCATGCTTGAGGTAGCGAGAACCGATGAAACGAGCGAGATGGTTGGCTGGAATATTCGCCTCAAATGCCGTGTTATGCTTGCGCGGCTGAAACTTCAACTGCATCTAGACCATACAACAGAGTTGCCTTCCTGACCGGCGCTTGTTATATGTTATGCAGAGATAGACTCCATCTCCAGAGGACCTCTCACCAGGGGTCCAGTCGACGCCGATTCTTGGTGGGGGTCTATTAGCTTACCCCCCATGGAGGGTTGACACGAAGAGAATGTTATCCCCAGGCTGCAACTCATATGACTCTTCGCCCTCCAACTCCCAGTCGGCGTCGTTAATCAAGACAAGGATTCCCGGTCGGCTGGGGTCGAGCGGTCCAAAGTGTCAGCGCCACGGTTTGCGAATCAGATGGTAGAAGCGCCAAATGCCAAGATTGCGTGGGAGGGGAAACTGGCGCCGACATTGGCGACCGAATTATGACTGGGCATTGAAATGGAGGGAGAGTGTGAATAGAGGAGAGGGTGGGAGGTGCTCACAGGTGGTCGTCGAGAACAAAGAGCTCTTTTCTCTCGTCCTTCATCAGGTTCTCGCAGAGGTGGTTAATGAGGAACCCGATGTTGGACGGGCTGCCATCCTTGTCTAGGGCGGGGAGTGACAGCGAATGATGTCGCTCATCTGCGAAAAGAATTTCTAGGCCGCCTCTATGCACGATTCCATCAGCATGCTGTCTGACACGTCAAATTTCGCTCATCTTGGTTTCTAGCGAAAATTTTCATGGTTCTGGACTGAACTTTTGGTGAGTTACCGCCAGCTAGATGAAAGCTGCCCGCCAGATCCCCGACGCAAGCATGAAGAGGCGTGCGATACAAATGAGCGGGCCCGACTTACGAGAACTCGATCTTGAGCGGGATCACAGGTTGGGGGTCAGCGGCATTGGCTGGGGGGCCCATTGTAACAGAAGCAGCCTGGAAGCTTGAGGAAACTCAATCAGCTTTGTTTACTGGCCGTTTCAAAGAAGCCAGGGAGAGGCGTATTATCGCAGTCAAGGAGGAACGAGTACGAGTGGGATATTTGCCCACAGACAGAGAAATTGTGTCGTTGCGCGAGAGCAACAGTCTGTCTCAAGCATTGATGTATAAAGAATACCACCTAATTGGATGGTGGTTAGCCGGAAGGAGCAGGGCTGTATCGGCGCTCAAAGCGGCTAGAATAGCCGCCATCTGGCAACCTGGTTCTTTCCTCTTTGGCCAGTCGTAGTTTCCTCGTTCCCAAAGTGACGTGCATAAGAGGGCGCCAACCAGATATGATTACCTAAGCAGAGTGCTCGCAAACCAAACCCCAACGGCACAACGGAGACAGCCAATCAGAGCCCAAGGATCTTCAATTTTCAGCATCACACTCTGAACCGTCACTATCGCCCTGAGGCCCAGACGAGGACATGGGGACGAAAGGGATATCGGTCGAGTACTTGGCAACCGGTGCTAACAGGCAGACGGCTGTCTCAGACTGGGGAAAGAGAGGAATCGTAGCCTTTGGTGCCGATATCAACATAGCCCTATGGCGACCTCAAGTGAGTCTTACTGCAACTTTTAGTGTGAAGGGTATCAATGTAAATCCCAGACTAACGGAGGAAAATTTAGGCCCAGACGCCTAGAGGTGTTACAAAACTGCTAAGTGGACATAAGGAGCTTGTCAAAGCGGTTTCTTTCTTACCTGAGCGGGATGATGATGAGACAACATATCTTGTTTCAGGTTCAGATGATAAGTCGCTCATTTTATGGAAGGCAGCAGCCGGTTCTGAAGACTTTAAGATCATCCAGACTTCTTCCGGGCATGCTGGTCCTATAAACTGCATAGCAGCACACAGGGTTGCAGGCTTCGCAAGTAAATGGGTCATTGCAACAGGTAGCGCGGACGCTACCATCAAGGTCTGGGTCTTTCAGGATGAAAGCCTTCAGCTGATTCAATCCATCCAAACAAAGCCCAAGTTCTTCCCTCTATCACTCGCACTGTCTACTCTTGGTCGAGATGGAGACGTGTTGGTGTTGGCCGCCGCTGGAACGCGTGATACTATCCAAATTCATACTGCTGGTTTGAGTGGCGAGGCCCCTGCATTTGAACTTGAAGCAACACTTACAGGTCATGACAGCTGGATTCGGTGGCTCTCTTTCACAAGAGAAACCAAAGATGCTGGCAGTGATTTGCTGCTTGCGTCAGCGAGCCAGGACAAGTATATTCGGATCTGGAGAGTCCACGAAGGAGAAGAACTTCCGGCCCTGGCAGCCAAGGGTTCCGACCCGCTGAATGGTGCCTACCTCCCCGGAAAATCGCCATCTAATAAGGCTTATAAGCTCAAGGCTGGAGGGAAACAATTCTCTGTCACGTTTGAAGCTCTTCTCCTCGGCCACGAAGACTGGATATATAGTGCAAAGTGGAACCATGCCAATGATAGGCTGCAGCTTCTTACCACTTCAGCAGATAACTCCTTGGCCATCTGGGAGCCAGACCCAAGCTCTGGAATCTGGATAAGTGTCGTGAGGCTCGGTGAAATAAGCAGGGAGAAGGGTGCGACGACAGCAACGGGGAGCACTGGCGGGTTTTGGACAGGAATCTGGTCTCCGGATGGGCTCTCCGTTGCCTGTCTCGGTAGGACTGGTAGCTGGAGGAGGTGGCAATACATACCATCTGAAGATGCCTGGAGGCCCTGCATCTCAATCTCCGGGCACACAAAGGCAGTTTCTGGTGTTTCTTGGTCCAAGAGCGGCGAATACCTACTCTCAGCCAGTCTTGATCAGACAACGAGATTGCATACTCAGTGGAAAGCCGGGGGATCCAATACATGGCATGAGATGTCGCGACCTCAGATTCACGGATATGATCTCAACTGTATCGACTCATTGGGGACATCTCAATTTGTCTCAGGGGCCGACGAAAAATTAATGAGAGTCTTTAGCGAACCCAAGGCTGTGGCTTCGATGCTGAACCGGCTCGGTGGCCTTGGCCAGGAGGGATTAGAAAATATGCCAGATGCAGCCAATATGCCCGTTTTGGGCCTGTCGAATAAGGCTATTGACGCAATGGACGACGACCAAGAAATCGAACCAGTTGATGACCGTGATCGCGAGGCTATGGACCCAGCGTCTATAGTGAAAAAGTCCTATCTCGAAATCGATCACCCGCCATACGAAGAGACTCTCTCTCGCCACACACTCTGGCCAGAGACCGAAAAGCTCTACGGTCATGGTTATGAAATATCATGCCTCACTACGAGTCATGATGGTAAGCTTATCGCAAGCGCATGCAAGGCAAGCTCGACAAACCATGCCGTGATTCGTCTCTTTGAGACAGAGCGCTGGACAGAAATAAGACCGCCACTCACGGCACATTCTTTGACAGCAACTCGACTTCGATTTTCAGCTGATGACAAGTACCTCCTCAGTGTCGGTCGAGATCGGCAATGGGCTGTTTTCGCGCGGGATTCCCAGGATATTCTCCAGTATCAACTCGTTCAGTCCAACCCGAAAGGCCACACGAGGATGATTCTTGACGCTGCGTGGATGCCTTCCGAGAAACCAATTTTCGCCACCGCTGGCCGAGACAAACAAGTCCGGATCTGGGCTGGCACCGAGAATGAGAGTGGGCAGATGCAGTTCTCTCAAACAAAATCGATCCCGAGCGACTCTCCGGTCACCTCTATAGACTTCATGCCGCACCCGGTGGATGGAAAATACGTCCTGGCTGTAGGCACAGAAGCCGGTCGTCTAGACTTGTATGTCCTGACTGAAGACTCTAAGGTAACACAGATACCTCACTCCACAGAGTAAGTCCCCTGACTGCCTTCTCCGTTTAAATTAGAAATATTTAACAGAACCGTTCTCCTATAGTTTCGATCTACCGAAAGCCGTCCTTCAACTCGCTTGGCAGCCTGCCACCAAAGAGGACAACGGAGGAACATATAAACTGGCGATTGCTGGAGACGATAGCTCGTTAAGACTGTACGCGGTCGACAAGGAATTCCTGCGCTCTGTGGGCTCATAGAGCAGGTGAACTCTCCCTGTAACCACTCTGCGAGCAGCTCCAGGGGTAAAAGTAAATAAAAAGTTGTTTCTTTGAATACTTGCTTTGCCTCTATAAATGTAGATGTTGTTTCATTAATCCCTAACCGAGACAGCCGACGCTATGGCCTATGATGTTTAAAACAGCGTATGATGAAGAGGTAGAAGAAGAAGAGAAGAAAAACGCCCGGCAATGCCTAAAATCTACCACGTTCATTCATCCCCCTTTCCAAATATTAAGTATGCAAATCAATGACCCCTATCCACCATTCTCTCAACTCCCAAGCTTTAACAAGCCTGGGAACGTGTTCCTCTCCAGACAAAAGTCCTTTCACAGCTCGCGAGCAACAGTCTGGGCCAGCTTCTCCACGCTTGTCGTGGTCGTCTCCTGCAGCACGCTCGCGGACATCTCCTTGACCACCTCCATGGCCGCCTCGGCGACGTCGATGTGCTCGCCGTTGATGTAGTACCACGCGCGCCCGACGAGGAAGGAGATGTGGTGGGGCAGGTAGAGGATCGCGGCGATGAAGGTCAGGCTGAAAAGGAGGAAGAAGATGGAGTCTGGAGAGAGAGAGAGAGAAGGTTAGAAAGGGGGGTAATCAGAAAAAAGGAGGTCGACTCCTTGAGGAGAGGGTTCGGGGGAACTCACAGAAGGCGAACTTCTCCCAGGGGGTGAACATGTATACGGCAAAGGTCAGCTCAAGGTGGTACTGCTTGAGCTGGAGCCATTTCTGGATGCTGCCTGATCGACCCATCGTTGATTATGTTGTTCGCGGCCAATTCGGAGGCCGTGCAGTTTCTTCGATGAAGGATAGTACCGGAAGCGGCGGGACGTCTCTGTTGATGCGTAGAAACAAGTGTCGAGGAGTGAATCCCAGGTGGGTGGACTGGGCGCGTGATTGAAGGGTAGGTAAAGGGGATGGAGATGCTGATGTTATTACAGAAATGTTTTAATTGCCGTCTGTTAAGAATAGAGAAAACGGGCGGGTAGTAATATCAATTGGGTTGTGTCACAGGTCCCGTAACACGCTAAAATAACCCCCTACCGGCCATGTTTTAGCACTGTCCGACGATCTATCCGTCCACCCACGCTCCCGGAAAACGCACCTCGGCCGTTATCGTCCCAAGAGGATGGCAGCGTAACCCCAAGTTCAATGCGATGAGACCAGCTGTGCTAGAGCAAGTAAGCCCCGACATAGTATGCCATCATGGCCCTGTCGTTACTGTCGCGGCGCACGCAATGCCATCTAGCTAGGCTGCCCTCCACCGGGACCGCCCTCGCGAGGCCTTTCCATGTGGCCTTGGTGGCCCGCGCAAAGAGCCTGCCCCCGCGGCCAAAGCCACCTCCTGAATCGGAGATTGAGGAGTCTTACCTGAAAGGCAGCGGCCCGGGTGGGCAAAAGATTGTACGTTCTGCCTCTCACAAGCCGTCGAAGCAAGGGCACTAGCTAATCTGTACTTGCACGTGTGTAGAACAAAACCAATTCTGCCGTCCAACTCAAACACATCCCGACCGGTATAGTCGTAAAGTCACAAGCTACGAGATCCCGCGATCAGAATCGAAAACAAGCCCGCGAGATTCTGGCCCAAAAGATCGACGATTTACTCAATGGCGATCAGAGTCGCTCTGCTCGGGTTGGCGAAATTAAACAGAAGAAAGCGGCGAGTGCGGACAAGAAGAAACGGCGTAAATATAAAAAGCTTGAGGAAGAGTCTACTGGCACGGCCTCTACCGATGCACCAGGCGAAATTGATGGAAGCGAGGAGCAAAAGCCAGGCCACCTCGACATCGATGCAGGTGATGCCATCAGTTCCAAATCCAAGGCACCATGATCTAGATAATACCACACCACGATGACCGCGAGCTTTAGGCTTCCCTTTAGGTCTAGGTCACATCTGAGAAGTAGACTTTGTACATATATAAAACACACAATTATTTGACTGCTGCACTCTTCTAAAAGACAATTTTGTTTAAAACTTGCTTCATCACGTTCATCTTCCATTCGACGGGTCTAGCACGGAATGCAAAGTAATTGTATAATCAACCCAGCTTCTAACCTCCTAGGGGCCCGCATAACGCATCCGACTACAACATGGTGGCCATCATATCTTTTCTGAGAAAAGGCAACGCCCACTCCCGTGACCATTTCAAAAACTTTTCGTAAATATGAGACTCGTTTGTGACACGCGCGCAGCCCACCATTCCTTGCAAAGGCAGCAGCCACCTTTGTGATCTTGGCATCCCTGTGCGGAGGGTGGATTGGTTCGTTTTGGGCGGTGCTGTATCGCTTAGAAGCACTTGCGGTGGACGATGCTGGGGCCGCTCTCGTCGTACTCCTGCTTGGAGATCCACATTTGCTGGAAGGTAGACAGAGAAGCCAGAATAGAACCACCGATCCAGACGGAGTACTTTCGCTCGGGAGGAGCAACAATCTTGACCTTCATGGAAGAAGGAGCAAGAGAGGTGATCTCCTTCTGCATACGGTCGGAGAGACCGGGGTACATGGTGGTACCACCCGACTGTTGGTGATTGGTTAGCTAATTACGAACTACCACAAAAGTAAAGAAGGAATCGCTGCGCGAGACTCACCATGACAATGTTCAGGTAGAGATCCTTTCGGACATCGACATCGCACTTCATGATGGAGTTGAAAGTGGTGACGTGGATACCACCGCTCTCAAGACCCAGGACAGAAGGCTGGAAGAGAGCCTCAGGAGCACGGAATCGCTCGTTGCCAATAGTGATGACCTGACCGTCGGGAAGCTCGTAGGACTTCTCCAAGCTGGAGCTCTGGGCAGCAGTCTGGATCTCCTGCTCGAAGTCGAGGGCGACGTAGCAGAGCTTCTCCTTGATGTCACGGACGATTTCACGCTCGGCAGTGGTAGAGAAGGTATAACCGCGCTCAGCCAGGATCTTCATGAGGTAGTCGGTAAGATCACGACCAGCCATATCGACACGGGCAATAGCGTGGGGAAGGGCGAAACCTTCGTAAATAGGGACAACGTGAGTGACACCATCACCGGAATCCAGAACGATACCAGTGGTACGACCGGAAGCGTACAGAGACAGAACGGCCTGGATAGAGACGTAGAAGGCGGGGGCGTTGAAGGTCTCGAAGACGATCTGGGTCATCTTCTCACGGTTGGACTTGGGGTTGATGGGGGCCTCAGTGAGCAGGACGGGGTGCTCCTCAGGAGCAACACGCAGCTCGTTGTAGAAAGTGTGATGCCAGATCTTCTCCATGTCGTCCCAGTTGGTGACAACACCGTGCTCAATGGGGTAGCGGAGAGTCAGGATACCACGCTTAGACTGAGCCTCGTCACCGACGTAGGAGTCCTTCTGGCCCATACCAATCATGATACTGCCAAACAGGTTAGGCTCAATGCTCTCAGCTATGGAAGCTCCCCCGATAAGGGGTCGCTCTGGTCAATTCGGCATTTCCAACTTACCCATGGTGACGGGGACGACCGACAATGGAGGCTGGCAAGAGAGGTCAGTCACAATCATCAACACAATCTCTGGCCAGCATGGCGATTGTGCTGGCAGCGCAAGGGGCATCAAAGTGGGGTACTCACGGAAAACAGCTCGAGGAGCATCATCACCGGCGAAACCGGCCTTGCACATACCCGAACTACCATCAAGTCAGACCTCTTGTTCTATCTCACGATGCTCACAGTGTAGGGAGGGCGGTGGTCTGGAAGGTTGGTCGACGCGCCATTGGATTGGTCCCCGTCGAGACCTCCCAGCGCCCGCGCAGTGATGTCGGTGAGACGGGTGGCATGCTTACCCATTGTCGATGACGAGGGCGGCAACTTCTTCTACAAACGGGAGAACGGTTAGCAAGAATCTCAAGGTTCTATCGCGCGATGCTCAGAGGTCCTAATGCCTCAGGCGCGATAGGGGAAACTGGCGGCGACGACGTACCCTCCATGGCTGCTGATTAGGTGGAAAACGGAGTTGTGGTAAAAGAGACGGGGGAGGGAAGAAAACGACGAGACGTAAAAGAGAAAAAAGAAAGCTCGAGGGATACAACGATCTCAAGAGCTAGCAGCGGATGAGGATGGTCGAACTGAGTGTAAACTCAAGGTCGAGAGAATGGGGGAAGGTTGGCTAGAGCAACGAAGTGGATGTGGAGGGGGGGAAAGGAGGGAAGTGTCGCTGATGAGCCGTCGTCACGAGAAAGTTGTGGGCGGCCAGCTTGCGGGCGAAGTGCTGAGGTGGACCACTAAGACCAGAGACCACAGACCACAGCAGCCCAAAAGGACCCAGCAGGCCAAGTACCCAAGGAAGACACCGCCTACGTAACTGGGCTGGTACAGCAGCGTGGTTGTGTCTGAGTAAAAATCGTGGCAGAAAAACCGGGGGCAACTGCTTGCTGCTTTAAGCTGATTGGCTTGTGGTGGTGGCTGGGAGATAGATGCTGGAGCCGAAATTCAGCACCGTCGGCACCATAGCCTCCTTTCCCTCCGCCCAATTAAATACGGTGGGCTATCGGAGGCAGGAAGGGGCCGAATATGACTGCCTGGACTGGTACCTGCTGGACGCCCTCTTGCTCTGCCCGCTCGTTGCGTTCTTGGGCGTGGTGCACGTCAGCACGCACGCAATCCAGCTTACTCGCGCCAGTGTAGTTCCGCCACTTCCACGACTGCGCGGAGGGCCAGAGGCCGTCGTGTGCTGCCTTCACGATGCCAAGTCGGTACCTAATTCTGATAAGCTGCGTCCCCCATGGCAAGGGCTCTACGGGGTGCCAGTAAGGTAGCTGCCTATGGGTAATCTACTGCTACCTGCTGGCGAGGGTTCCACTCTGCTCGGTCGATTCGTCTAGGCCCCGATTTATAGCACCTCCTTCCATGGCAGCTTCCAGCACGCGGAGCTGCCAGATGATCGAATAATCAGCCAGGCGCATACTATGTAGATGCCTTCACTCGCCCGGCTACGTGACGCTACCTAAAAATATACCCAAGTACCTTAAACAATGCCATGCTGCGCATTGCCACTGGCGTGCCCCCTTTTCAAGAAGCACTCGGAGCCGACCCAAGTACCAGGCAGGAAATTTAAGCAGGCAGGAACCAATGTGAAGATGGATGCCTTGTCGGATGGGGCAAGAGCGTCATGGGCTGCTGTGGGCAACTCCCAGCACCATCTGCAGTAAGTTCGGTGAAGAGATGAAGAGATGAATTAAAGTAATATTTTGGTATGGATATGCTAAAAATAGGGGCGCATGTCGGGGGGAGGAGTCTGCATATGGACAGTACCTGCCTATCGACATTAATATCTGGCGATATAGGACGATTAATTTGGCATCCTGAAAGCTTCTTCCCGAGAGCGAAGCTCCCCCCAAACGAGTAGGTAACACCGCCGACCGCCCTCTCGTTCGCGTCTCGGCCGTGTACCGTGTCCAGCTCGACGAGATCCAGGACCCTTGGAGCCGGTCAAATTAGCTCCTCCAGTCCAGGCGTTAGTGAACTGTCCTTGCTCGCCGTGTGGGACAAAAGTGCCTGCGCGTGGCTGGACGAGCTCGACAGAGGATTGGGGAGCATACCTATCCGCCTCCCAGCCCGCATACATTCATGCGCACATGCCTCTCCAGGTGGCCGTGTAAGTCATCCTGCCCTTTGCAATGTCCGTCTCATCCTGCCCACCCACCTACACCCCCTACGCGAGTACGGGGCATACGCAAGGCTACCAACACAACCACCAGCCTCGTCAATGTCGCGGTCAGCATCATCCACATCCACTCTCTTGGGGCCACCCTCGCGAGCAGCCAACCGGGGACTCTGGTGGAATTCCGCCGTATGTAGATGGGTTCTAAATGACATGTGTCCCCAACAAACTCCCCGCCCCCTGCCTATGCACTATACCTTGCCACTGGGGACTGGTCATTATTCATCTAACCTAATTAGATCTTGGCGAGATAAGTAGGCTCGTTGCTCTGTACCGATTTCCTTGTTTGGGGCCGAGAACGCATCAATTGGGTGCATCTCGCACTTCACCACCACGACTGCGGTTGCACCCACCATCCTTTGTAGATGATGCGGCCATGGCGCCGCTCGAAAAAGACAGGAGCGAGTACAAAGCCCTACTTGGAGGGGTCAGCCAGCCAGACCAACTGTTAAAGCGGCGTCGAGGGGCAATGTCGGTGGGGCAGAATTTTTTCGCCCTCTTGTTCCAATTCTTTTGAATGTCGATTATCCGATTACATCCCACTAGCTGGTCCTGAGGTAAGCATCCTGAGAGCTTCCGCGGATTCTGGCCCGACAGTCGTTCAGATGTCTCGGCCTGTGATCTGTCCACAAGCATCTTAGCAACCAACTCATATCACGAGTAAATCTGATTATTTTGGGCGCACGTCCACGGAGAGCCCAGCTTGCACCGCACGGGAGGGAAATCCTCCCACGACCCGTCGGTCTGTGCTGACCTGAGGTAGCTCGTTAATTGTGGGGTAGATTGTTCTTGAAACTTCCAGAAAGAGCATATCCAAGCACATAGAAAAAAATCGGGCAGCCTCAGAGGTGAATAAAAAACAGAATATCAAAACATCTTCCCTTCATGATCAAGATCTCCCTCACACCAAAAGTACCTCATAATCTTTTCATTCAACAAGTTCTCTTTTTCTTAATTCGCAATAATGGGCGACAAACGGTTAAATGATCTCCTCAAATGGAGTATCGAAAATACTGAGAACGCCCAGAGTGACCCCGCAGCCGGAGCACCAGCAACGAGGCCTCATACAGATCTCACACCCGATGTCATGGCCGCCCTCATGGGCGGGCCTTCCGAGGCTGACTTGATGAAGGCGTCCATGGAGATCATCACATCCGCCGACGTCAGCGTTGAGGACAAGCTCATCGCATTTGACAATTTCGAGCAGCTCATCGAGTCGCTCGACAATGCGAACAACATCGCCAACATGGGCCTCTGGACGCCGCTGCTCGAACAGCTCAAGCATGAGGAGGGCGAAATCCGCAAGATGGCCGCATGGTGCATTGGCACAGCCGTGCAGAACAACGTCAAGACCCAGGAGAAGCTCCTAGCAATGGGAGGCATCCCGTCACTGGTTGAGCTGGCGGTCAAGGAGGAGCACCCAGAGGATGTCCGAAGAAAAGCCATCTATGCTCTCAGCTCGGCCGTCAGGAACTACCAGCCAGCCATGGATGTGTTCGCCGACGAGCTGAACAAGGGCGGGCGAGCTACGGACAAGACTGACGCGACCAACATGGAAGCCATTGATGATATCATGGGCGACCTTCGAGCAAAGGCCAAGGCCTCCTCAGCATAGGCCGAGCATTTGTTTCGACGATTTAATGAGAAGTCATGATCATTTGTAGGAGTTAGGGCGTTCTTCTGACACAAGGAGCACAAATGGAAGGGATGGGGATCTATCAAACGGTACGGGAAAAAGGGAAAAGAAAGAGTTAGGGTACGGCTCCAAATAGGCAAGGATATAATCTTATTATACAACTTGTATACATCTATATTGTTTGTTTTACATGCACAATAGCCCCACGTAGAAATGTCTTCTAGTGTGTGGCCTTTCCATAGAAGGGGAAGCCGAGAGCTTCCATCAACAACCGCCCATGGCGATCAGATGTGCCCGTAGTATGGATGAAAATGTGGCAGCCTGGGATCAGCTTGTTGGGGTACATCTTTCAAGGGGTTAGTGATACAGTATTCGTACAGTGTCATTACTGTTGAGGGGCCTTACAGAAAAGTTGTATTCCATCTCTGGGAAGTATGACATCCACTCTGGCTCCATGCCAAAAGCGATATTGCCAGCGCTGTCACCACTGCTGGCCTTGACACCAGGCCAATCCTTGATTTTGGGCAGCACCAGGGTTACGAGCTTGTCAACAAACTCATAGGCTGCATTTCCAGTCAAGGTGACCTTGGCTCCAGTCTTGTCACCCTTCTTAACACCCCATGGCATGACGTGGTGCTTGACTGTCGTGGTCTCGGGGAATTCTCCCGTGATAGCCTGGACAACAGATCGTGCTACTTGCAGATACTCCTTGTTCTCAGCCGCCAGCGGAGCATAAGAATTGACTGTGACGGCCGTAATCTCCGGGATGTTGTTGAAGTCAATGTCCCGCTCCAGGAGGCCCAATCGGGATGAACCTCCGCCTCGAGGCCCTCTCCGAGGACGGTTCTTATGGTACGGCGAGGAGCCATCCCATTCCCTGAGCTCGCCTTTTTTTGACTCAACCGCCTCCTCTCCGGGAACCTTATGCTGGTAGGTTAGGGTAAGGATGTCAGGCGCAATTGTGCCATCGTATGTATGTCTAAGCCGAGGAACATTGAAGGGTCCGGGCTTGAAATCTCGAGCCGTGGGATCTGAGGGAGCGGGCATCTGAACAGGATGAAGAGGGCCGCGGTAGTACTTGGGGGGATGATATTGGTATCTGAGAAACTGGTTTGTCAGTAATGCAACTGCAACCTGGAGGTATAAATCGTCTTTACCGGTTGCCTGGAAGCTGCTTTCCCTTTGCACCTTCGGAATTGGACGTACTCCATGCCTCCAATTGCGCTTTATCGGGCTGAGGTGTCGAAAATGAGGATGCTTGGTCAAGATCAGACAAGGCGTCGGGTTTCGTTGATGCAAATCTCCTGGCGCAAGAAGGAGCTAGAGGTGAGGTCAATTGTCTTCTGAGAAGAGAACTCGCCATGCGAGTCCCTTCGCGAGCCCCGGCCATGGTGAAGATATCTTTGTCTGATTGGCTTGGGAAATCGGCCTTCAAGACGGCCTTGGATATCAAATTTCGAAGCTTGCCCAATTCGCGAACTGGCACTGCCGTCACGTGCGTGGGTGGTCCGTGCTTTTCCCGTTGTGCTGGTGCCACTCCAACCAGTTTCTAGAGGTACTCGACGTCGCTTCACAGCAGGCATCTCATGGGCCTTCACTGTTCCAAGATACTCAAAGTCCAAAGAAGGAGGCCCATGCACATCTTCCATGCATGATATTGAACTGTCTATCGCTCTGGTGACGCTGTGTACTCTCACCGGTTCTTCAGTTGCGATGGTAAGACGAATACGAATTAACGAAGTAACACAGTTCAGTTCATGCGCCACATTGACTGCTCATGTGGCGGTTAGTCCTGTGGCTAGATACATCAGCTCATAGGCGTCTTAGGGTCTTGCATGTCTTGTGACATCTATTTTTTTTTCTTTCAACAAGTTCTAACAGAGGCAGTTGAACTTATATTTCGGGCCTTCCTATCCCATGCCAGGTACAGCGACTCGGTGCGGAAAGGACAAAGGGTCCTACCTACCAGTGTATACGTGAGCAACGCACTCAAGATGCTGGAGGCAGATTTCGAGTCAATGGCTGCCGGCTGGTGACCAATCAGCTGACGACGCATGCTGCCGAGACACAAGCACGCTTCGAAATCAGCCCTCTCAGCCCGGGGAACTATGCTATAATGGGAACTCTGGGCGGCAACCCGGCGTCGGCCTTAGACAGGCTACCAGAGTTAGAGTCAAAGGATTGTCTGTGCATAACGTACTCCCGTGCCGTGCTTCCAAGGGTCACACTCTAGGCATGCCTTTTGCGGGACAACGATCGTCAAGGACCCTTTGCCCCACGCCATGGCTCAATCGTGATACCATGGAAACGCCCACGCCTCGCAGTGCAGCACATCAGATGCCGTGCACTTAGGTAGTGTTTTGGTTGGTCCAGTGCCTGAATGATTAAAGTTGCTGCCATTGGAAAGTGTCCTTAGCTGGCCCCGTCCGGACGCTTCAAGATCCCGCGAGGTACGTACCGTGTACATGTCAGGTACGTGTCCAAATATAAATGCGGACCAAAATGGAGCCTCCGCCCCAAAATAAGAGAGTTGCATCGAGGTACAGGGCAGGCAACTCTTATTCGGCTCTTACAGCCTGCCTGCAGAGGCAACACGATTTCCAGGGTCCGCCACCAATTTAATGGTCTAATAGGGCCGTCTGCCGAGCCTCAGCGGCGCATCCAGCTCCTCCTCACTTCTCGTTCTCCTCCTTCAGTCTCATGATACCCGGCTCTCGATACTGTGAGAGGCAGCGCGTCTTTTCTTGTTTCTACCTTTCGTCTCTTCTGTGAACAGCCCGTTTCTTGTTGAATTATCGCTCCTTGGCTTGTCTTTTCCCAACGGTTCGTCTCGTCGCAAGCCATCCACCCACCACGACTCGACCCCTCCTACATTCTTTCCACCCTCCACACCTCCTACCCGCCTCTAAGCGACGGCTTCCCGACCAACGAGTTCACTTAGCACCAGACTTTTACGTCGCGCACCCTCGATCGAGCGCCCGAGCGGCCAACAACTGGTCGCTTACGCCTTGTCTCGAGAATGTCGGGGACCTGAAAAGCGATTGACCAAAATCAAACCGGCTTTCCCCAGCCCATAAACATCACTTAATACTCCCGAAACCACGACCGACGCACCACTTTTCGTCTCAAAATACACAGCGCAGTCCCCTAGCGGTTGAGGAAGAGTGTGAAGATGAAGGAATTTCCACGCAAATTTCTCAGTCTTCGTGACAAGAACAATCCACACCAACGAAGCAAATCAGCTCCGCCTGGAGGCAAGGTACGTTTCCGCTGTATCGCGTAGCTTCTGTGCTGTACTAATGCAACCAATTAGCCTCGTACATCAACCTCTGAAACGTTTCGATCTCTCTGGAAAAACAACAATCAAGGCAAAAATGGCCAAGCGAAGGAAGAGCCTGCAGCTGATAAGGTTAGCGCGCTCTTAAATGCATCCAAGTACCAGCCTTCCTCTAACGAATTGCAGGTCAAGGAGATACAAGACAAGCTCGAAGAAGCCGGAACGGCATACATAACCCCCGATCACATAAAGGCCATCCTGGCCACGAGATTCGCCGATGGAGACGTAGACAAAACGGTCGAATTCATTCAAATAGAGCAAAAGGCATACAAAGGAACAATCGTTCCATACGATCCTCATGTTGAAATGGTAGGCGCTGAGAACCGAGGAAATGTTACCTGCTATCTTGATTCCCTACTTTTCGCCATGTTCGCCAAGATGGACGCATTCGAGTGTGTTTTGAAAAACAATTTTCCTCCGGAAGATAGCAGACATAAACTGGTCAACCTTCTTCGAATATGGGTGAACATGCTGCGTTCTGGAAAACTCATTCGGACGGATATGGTATGTTTTCAAGGTTTCATACTTACCGAACTGTTGCTTACACTTGCTAGATGCAAATCATACAAGAATCACTGGCAGAGTGTGGCTGGTCAGACGCCAGAGAGCTTGAACAGCAGGATACCTCCGAAGCATTTGCATTCATCACAGAAACGCTCCAGCTTCCTCTCCTTTCATTACAGGTGGATTTATTTCACCATGGAAGGAGGGATGATGACGATCACAAAGTCGTATTCGAGAGATTGCTCAATCTAGCCATCCCTCCTGACACTGACGGGCGCGGCATCAGACTGGAGGACTGTCTGGAAGAGTACTTCAATGCCAGGGTGGATGTCCTAAGAGATAGCGAAGAAGCGAAGAAGTCAGGGTTGGAAGAAAGGACTGAGAGCGGGATGCTTATCAACCGGAATACGATCCGCGTAACGACTAATGATGGTACCTCGTCAACTGTTGTGGTGTCATCCCCTGTCTCCATAACCCCACCAGCTCTATCCGAGACATCAACCCAGCCGAGCTTAGGAAACGAGGAGACTATCACGTTGCAACGCGTCGAGTCAGTAAAGGAGTCTGGCCGAGAAGGCGGTCCGATTCAGGGACAATTGACAAACCGACAGCGGTCAACAAGCGTTATTCAAAACGTCCTCATCAACAATTCAGGGCCACCAACAACGACTGACGATCCAACGTTCTTACAGCGGGCCAAGAGCAAAGGCTCGACTGTGATCAAAGCAGTCACGATTCCAGCTTGGCAATTTTTTCGACTTATTCGTAAGTGAAGAGCGGCGTCTTTTTATGGTACAGGGCTAACCACGTGTATAGCATGGCATGCTGTGACCAGTAGTGAGCCAAAGAACGATATTGAGGTTGCTATGAACTTTGACCAACGGCCAGTTGTCGGCATTTGTCTCAAACGATACACTATGACAGAATCCGGGGAGCCGAAGAGGCACAACACCTATATTGATATCCCGGATAGTCTCCGCCTACCACATTTCATGCTCGCAGACAGTTCCTCTGACAAGGACAGCGACTCGGTCCCAGCATTGGAGACTGACTACAAGCTAGTGCTCCAATCTGTCATTTGTCATCGTGGAGACTCTGTACAAAGCGGCCATTACATCTCATTCGCCCGGGTGGCTCCTAAACTGCTCACTGACAATAGGAGGCACGACTTCGATCCGCCCCCCGATTACGAAGAAGCCGTTTGGGTCCGATTTGACGATCTGGATTTGGCCCATCGTGTCAACTATGTGGGTGATATCAAAGAAGCATTGAAGGCAGAGATGCCCTATCTTCTCTTCTACCAGGTTGTTCCCATGGCGGATAGTCCCTCCACGGTGAACACTGAACCCGAGCCACCATCCTACGAAGACTTCAAAGCTAGTATTGAGCTCTCGAGGCCACCTTCAACTGTTTACTCCGGTGAGACTGCGGTAAAAACTCAATCGGAGCTTCTGTCTGAAAGTACTATCATCGAAGGAGTACCAAATCCTTCACCTAGCGAGCCTCCCAGTGTACGCCTCTCTACCGAAGACACTCAATTTCGAGAGAGCACCGACGCTACAGACACTACATACACTACAGATACCACAAGACCAAATTCATACTCGGATACAACAGAAAATGAGTCTCGCCGCCCCAGCATAAACCTCACCGAGTCCACAGTGGTCACGCCGGCAATCACCCCTGACCGCCTCAACTCACCCTTGTTGAACCCTGTTGATGAATCTACAGCGTCTAGGCTGTCACGTGCGGCAGCCAGATTTGCTTCAAAGGGAGGGAAAAGTCGGTCAGGAAGCCAAACGGGGGAGAATCGCGTCAGTAAAATGAGCCGTGTGGCTGGATTGATGATGCGACCAAGCAAGGAGCCAATTGGGGAACCTACCGCGCTTGATATTACGGCAACCGATGCCAACGAGCGCGTCAGCTCCGAGAACAATGCCCAAGGTACCGACGTACCTTCTGACAACGAAAAACCACATCGCCATTCCCATAACCACAAGCATGGGCATAGACACTCGAGATGGAAAGAGTCAGACAAGGGTCATAAAGCAAAGAGTGGCGAACAACCTGAACGAGAATGTTCAGTGATGTGAGCTCTGCTTTTTCTAAATATGCGTACATTTCAATTCTTCTCTTGCCGGGCATCATCCGCCCGGCTCTTTTTCAGCCCGTCTTCATGAAGGTTTCAGGGGGTTGAATTGAGCGACACGGAATCATATGATATGCCCTTCAAGACATGAATTACAGAGGATCAAAAGGCATTCTAATTACACCAACAGCATAAAGGGGAACATACCTAGAGAAATCGGTATGAGATACCAATGGCAGTGTTTACAATAGCATGGCGTTGCGGGTTTGATATCATCATGAGTAGCACCAGTATTGGCTACCAACTTGATAATTTGTTTTTTTTTTTTTAGGCAAGCAAGTTAGCTGGTTCAAGGACACAGGGGTTCATGTTTCCAAAAGAGATTCCCACGTAGGCAAAGTTCTTAGAGTTTGAAACAGAATATCATCAACCATGTTTCTGGCCACCTGCTCCTCTATTTCCGATATACACAATACATGAAGAGAGATAACGTCTTTTTGAACATACAACCTCCAGCCGCCTCGTGCGCCAAAATAGTCGCACTTCACTCATGGTATCTCCTTCTTCTCCAGAAATCATGACCAGGCACGTACAAGAGGAACACCTATCCTGGTCCCATTTATAATATACACAGGCAATCCGAGTCTCCTGTTTCATCAGTCCAAAAGACCGGACTCCATCGCCGTTTGGCGTCAGGGGATGCCAATCACCGGTCAAAGACGAGACACGCGAACATTGTGCCCCCAAATGGGGGAGATGCCAAATAATTAAGACATTTTGATGGAGAAGAAAAAAGAATTTTCGGAGAAGCGGGGGCCTCATGAATGTTCGTGTGCTCGTGCTTTGGTGGAAGTTTGCATTACATTACTTCTTCCACCGAGGAGAACCGGGGGCATCTGTCCTCACAACAGAGCTGGGTTGCCATTGTTCTCACATCCACCCTAGTTGTTTAGAAGGGGATGTTGGGAGGGGTGGGAGCACCACCTGCGGCCTCCTGCTGGTCCTGTAGCTCTTCAGGGGCAGCCTCAATGGAGACACCGAGACCAAGCTTGGCGGTTTGCTAATTAATAATATCAGTATCGTGTCATCAGATATTGGGCAGGTAACATACCGTGAAGTGGTCGATATCGGCGGCAAAGGTCATCATGACGGGAGGGGCAACTCGCTTCTCCAAAAGGCAGCTTAGCTTGCCCTTAGAGTCGACCTGGGCACGGAAAGTAGACATGCGGAAATCGTACTTGGCGCCAATTGTAGTCACACCCTCCTTCTGAATGCCGCCACCCATCATACCGCCAGGAGAAGGAACAAGGCCGAGAGACATCTCAACGCCGGCCTGGACACGATCAGACAGTCTGCGCCAGAAGGATGTGCTCAGGGTACCCATAGCAGCTTGGAGTTGAGCAGTGGCGATCCAGTCGTTGGACTTGTATCGGGCAGCATATGAAACGGCGCACTCGGGACCTTGGGTCAGAGCAGGGCGCTGCCAGAGGGCCTCCAAACCAAGGGCGAGCTTGGGAGTAACGGACTGCAGGTAGCTTCCAATGAAAATTCCGGTAACACCACCCTCGAGGTAAGAAGGATTCAACATCTTGAGAGAGGCACTGAAATCATCACCAGTATACTCATGTTCGAACTGAGCCATGTCCTGGCCTCCGGGAGCAAGTTGCAGCTGTGACTTGGAAACAAACTTGTCGGACCAGCGCCAGTTGAATCGACCGGACAAAGAGCCCTCATTGTCGAGGTTGCCTTGGCAGAATACCTATTAAGACAATTTTTGGTCAGGACCTTCGCACTCGAGTAACCGGAGAGGAGATATTTGGGGTGAGCCGAAAGCGCTTACCTTGCTTGTCCCGAACATAGCAGCAAAGGTGTAGGGGTTGATGCGCTCGCCCATTGCAAACTGGTGGGAGACCTGGAACAGGGGATTCATGCTGAAGATCTTGGTAAGATCGGCGCGGAGACCGGTGAACATGGAGTTGTTGAGGAAGACATCGCGCTGGATCTCCTTTGATAAGGTCTCAATAGTACCGGGATTTGGCAGACCAAGCTTTGCTCTGCGTTCGTTGAAAGAATTGAGCGCATCTCCAAGAGGCGACACCACAGGGTTGTTGAGGAGAGCGGTCGTTAATGAGTCTAGTGAGGAGGCCATGATCGCGTCTGGGCTTTCGCAGCGAGCAAGGACAGAGTGTTGAGGAGAGAGAAAGAGGGCGGAACGCCTAGAGGCAGTCGGGGCGGAATCGACTGGCACTGAGGCTACGGGCGGCTAGACGGAGGGAGAAGTAAACCCAATCGAAACCAGTGCTGAAATTGCTGCACTGGCGGCGTGATGATAGAGCTCAGAACCGGGCGCTCGCACTGGTGATGAAACTGGAGAATATTTTCAAGACGTCGGTGCTCGGCTGGTGGGCCACTCTTTTTCGAGCTAAGTTTCCTTGTACACCTCACCATCTCGCTCGCGGGCGGCCAGGTGCTGCCCTCCACTCCAGCATGCGGATGAATGTTTTTTCCGTGGGCGTCATTCCAGGCTTCCTGTAGGCCGCGGGTGGACGATGACGCCTGAGTGTTGGTGAGGTCTTCAGCTAGCAGGCGCTAAAATAGCACCGGTAGAAGTACCAGCTACCCTGTACATAATGGGACTTCTGCGGTTGCAAGATGTAGCCTCTACTTGCCTGGCACCCCTCTACCGTTCTGGCCTCGCAACTTCCTTACACTTCCACCTCAAGGCGCCCATCACACATCCAGTTTACCGAACCTGTTATACGGCACGGGCTGTTATCAGTCTGCACCATCTCATTTTCCAAGTGCAAGCCCAAAGTTTTTCTCTTCCCATTCTTCATTTCACCACCTCCCTGCCCCCATCTGCTTGCGCCCTACATTATTTTTGTCTTATTCCGTCATTGGAAGTGTAGGTTAGTAGCACAAAGCTCCGACAATATCCGACTGCCCCCCTTCCACAGCCACCCGACACTTTGGATCAACGTCTCTGTGCGCTGGCTCTTCAGCTGCAAGAGTTTTTGCCTTCTTGAAAGTCGCTGCGGCTTGCTTACTGCCCAAGAGTTTCCGGGTGAATTACTTGTTAAATCATTTTGCCCAGCCAAGACAAATCCGACTGTCATTGACACCGTTATACCTGCGTATTAGCTGGATCAGTGTTCCCTCGCAGTCTGTCAAGTAGAGGATTCTCTTTAGGGTTATAGCTTCCGCATCGACGCAGGCGCGATCATGGACACCTTGCTGTAAGTGGCCCCAAAACTATTGTTCAAAGAAAATACAAATTTGAGATTCTCGTGTGTTGGCCTTCGAATAAACCAGACCCGACCCAGGACATCTGTGGTCACACACTCGGAGATCAGCTCTCAAAACAGGACTTGGTCTAAGCTCCTAAAATGTGGATTGAGATTAACGACAGATTGGTAGAACTGCTGAAATTGCGGCTAACGCCCCCCGATACCGTCGCAAGAGCTCAACTTTTATCGACGGTATTCACGATGTTACCGCGGATCAAGATATGGCCCCGGCCCAGCTTTACAGTACCATGTCTGGCCGCCTTTTCCACTCTGGCCGGATTGCTATTGTGATGGTTGGCCCGCCTGCCCGTGGAAAAACGTAAGATCTACTTTCGAATACACCATTCAGTAAGATCAAACTGCTAACTCTACTGTCAGCCATATTTGTGTGTCTATGGCCCGTTACCTTCAGTGGCTGGGTGTGAAGACTCGTATCTTCCATCTTGGCGATTACCGCCGGGCCACCATTGGCCCTGAAGGCACTGTCCCTGAGGACTACTTTTTCCCCAATGCTTCTCCGGCATCCATAATTCTCCGGCAAAAGATCCTGAAAAAGTGCCGTGAGGATATATATGCCTGGTTAAACCATGAAAACGGACAAGTTGCGATCTATGATGCTGTCAACCCAACAGCCAGCGGGCGGAGATCACTGGCCAAAGAATTTGCCAACCATGATGTTCAGGTAACCTTCATGAGCAGCGTTTTGACAGAGCATTGGTTGACGTCTTTTAGACACTTTTCATTGAGTCATATGTGGACGATGAACGAATCCTGCGGGAAAATGCACGAAACGTCAAGATATCATCACCAGATGTGAGATTACCAGTCCTAATTCTGAGACGTGCTTCTAATCCAGAGGAACTAGTTTGCTGGTATGGATCCTGACAAGGCCGCTGAGCTCTACCTTAAGCGGATCGAAATGAGGATTCCCATGTTTGAAACAATGAATGAAAAGGAGCTCAACTATATCAAGATGATAAACGCCGGCGCTAAGTTCTTCTACAACAACGTCAGCTTTAACTACCTGTCCCACAGAATTGTTTTCTACCTCACAAATCTCCACATCAAATCACGCACCACATTCTTCGCTCGAGCGGGAACCACAGCTGAAGGAGAGGATTCTTACAAATCTGACGGACCTCTATGTGACGAGGGAAGAGCCTACGCCGAAAAAATGGCGGAGACTCTCTTTAAACACCGCGAGCAAGAACATGCAGAGAAGGTTGAGAAGGGTGACCAAGCACCCCTCAGACCTCTATCCGTGTGGACCTCGACTAGACTTAGGACAGTCCAGACGGCCGATTATATCAAGGATAAAGGTTTCACAGTCAGACAGAGATCACAGATGAGCCAGATCAACCCAGGGGCATGTGAGAAAATGCCAGAGCGTTTGATCCGCCAACTGTACCCCGATGAAGTTGAGAAGCATGAGCTGGATCCATATCATCATCGATATCCACGAGCAGAGGTATGTATTCGGCCTATGCGAGATGAAGATGCTAAGTATTGATATGATGAATAGTCTTACCATGACCTTGCTGTCCGCCTTGAACCTATTATCTTGGAGCTTGAACGAGAGCAGAACGACTTGCTCATCATTGCCCACGAATCGGTCCTTCGAGTTCTCTACGCTTATCTGATGCATTGTTCCACTATGGATATTCCGTTCCTCAAGTTTCCCCGCGATGAGATTATTGAAATTATTCCGGCTGCATATCAAAACGAAGCCAAACGCATCCATATTCCAGGGCTCGACCCGCGAGTTCTTGTTAGCTCGCCTGGATTCTTCAATGGGACACCTGGCGCGGCAAGTCTTTCGAGTATGCTTGCAACGGGGACACCCACTGGCAACCTAAGCGGCCATGTGACACCAAATGTTGATGGACTGAGCAGTCCTCCAGATACTTCTGTGGAACGGCCGCCGGAGAAGGTCATTAACACAGCAAAGGACATGGTGGCGGACAAGGTAGATGACGAGGACTAAAAAATATTTAGTCAGACTAGAAACCACCCGGAAAATATGATATTAATTTCAATTCCTAATCTGATTCCCCCTAACACCCAGCCCGTGATGTCTCAAGCGCTCAGAGGAAATGAGGTTCCGACGAGCCCCTTGATTGTCCCAAGCCAAGAGTGTCACCGCCCTCAAGTAATGGTGGCTTAACAACTCACCTGTAATAGGGAATCCTGACTACAGCCTGTCCTAGACCACTGGCAAGACCTGGCCGCCAAGTCTCTCATGTGTCTCTCTGCCCGTGTGACTATCATGCGCAGTTAGAAAGTAGTACTACTGCCATATCGAGAGCTCTGCAGACTACGGAGATACGTATGAGTGACTGAATGAATAAAAACATCATGCAGTATGATAAGCAAGGTGAGACAGAGAGCTGAAAAAACTTTCCTTGTCCTCTTCCTTGACGGATCTTACCGGCTGGTCTTGGCTCGCCTGCAGGAAAGTGCAGCAGCCACATATTTCAGCTCAGTTGCCCCCAAGAGAAGCAAGCAGGGGTGTAGATTCTGTTGGCTGTTGGCATTTTATCTCATAGGTCTATCACATTTGCGCCTTGTACATTCGGATTTTCCCATTTAGTTCCATTAGGTGATTTGGTTACACAAAGCTGAGCTGAGTCCAAATATTCTCGAAGCGGTAAAGGGGTTCCCGGCCCCCGTTTACAATCAATCCCCAACGATGGGGTTCTTACATGTAAGGTCGTATAATCTGCTCGACAAAAGCAATACCCATTGGATGCTCGTGAGCCCATGATCTGACACAGAAACACACCCGATAGCCGATGTAAACATGCATCCGGACGCTGAAACTCGCTTCTGGTTGCAGTTGCTTGGACATCAGGGTGGGGGGCAGGTTGGACAAATGGCACAGTCTACATAGTACCTCTGCAACACACACACGCATCCATTTATCGAAAAAGGTGGCGTCACGTACATGCAGGCTGATGAACGAAGCAAAGAAAGGGTAGGGGCGTCCATTCGTAGGGTCGGCAATGGCCGCCCAGATACATCATCACTTTGGCGTCAACGATAGTTCGGGACGGGACACGGAACAGTCGGCTAGGGTTCCAATTCCAGGGAGCCAGTCTCGAGAATGAGGCTGTCCGTGCAGGAGAGAAGCAGAGGAAAACATATTCCCTGCCACTGGCTTCCACAGGAACAAGTCCCGAAACAAGGAGGGTGTGCATGAGTGATCGCCGCCGGACTTCAGCCCTTGCTCAAACACATAAGACATGCAGGGCCCAGAACCTTTTTCTTTTGCGTGATAAATCGGATACGGGCTGATTGGGTGCCATGTTGTTGCGCCCATTGTCCTGTCCTCCTGGGTCGCGCATAAGTGCCGTTTCCCCCCTTTCCTTTCTTTTCTTATTCTCTGCCGTGTTTTTGGCACATCTGTGCCGCAGGCTAGCCTTATCTCGACCAGGGGTGGGAAAAACGAGGGTTCTGGAGGGAAGAAGGACGCCGAGTGAGATGCCAGAGCGGCCACACGGCAGGTTCCTACTGGGTTTCCTATACCTTGTTCGAGGGTTGGTTTTCTTGCCCTTCACGTGAAGGATGTCGTGACATGGCTGGGCAGTCGTACTATTCGCTGGCAGCCCAACCAGCACGGCAGGCAGGATTGACTCGCATGGACGCGTCTGACTTGAGCTAGAAGTAGAAGCGAAGAGCCAGGGCATCGAGAGGCAAAAGAGGGTCACTTGAGCATAGGATAGACCAATGATGTTGGCGCAGGGGGGGGCATTGTTACACAAGGACTCAGACGTTGTTGACGCTTTCGAACCAGATGCATGTCAACTTCGAGTTCACTGCGTGGAAGTGTGACTTGTTTGTCGGGACTCGTTGGGGCTTCTCTCTGGCTGGGAGGCAGTCGGTGTCTCTCTGGCATTGGATCAACTGTGGAATTTGGAAGTACTCTGGCCACGGCAGAGCGACATGGGCTTCAGCAGATGACAGATCACCGCCATCTTGATCATCTCGCTAGCCTGGGAACTAGGCATGTACATGCGCATGTATGCAGAGCTGTCTGGCAAGTGTGAATGCCCGGCGTGCTCCAACGTAGGTACCCAATTGCATGCGGACAGGCTGGCCGAGGGTTGGGGAGTGGAGCGGCAGAGCCCATTGCCTGGTCCTAAGCGCTCACGGCAGGTGGTAACTCACACATGCACATTGGAACGTATGGTCTGGATGGACGAGGGTGAGTGTCTAGATATCAGAAAGCTGTCGCTGATGCAGCTGTTGCGCGATGGTGAGACCCGAAGGACATTTTGGGCGCCACATTGCTAAGCTGTCCAATTGAGGCAGCCAATTGGCCCGGCGGGCGGTGATCAGGCAGCTCTGCGTACATGCTAGTGCGAGCCAGAACGTTTCTTCCCCCTTCTGTCTGGCAGCTCTACCTTTGCTCGATCCTCTCGGTTGCTTTCCCGCCACTCCTGACCTTGCTGCGTCTGGCCCGGGTCGGCGTCTAACTCAGTCTAGGCACGGATTGGTGAGCATTTCTTCAAGTCAGGTGAATGGGAAAAGGGCCGGGCTGGCGGGTCGAGCAGCACGTTGGATGGAGCTCCTGCCCCGAGGCCGCCGTCCGTAGTGCGAATGGACGGACGCTGGTAGGTTCAGCAATGTGGGAATAGGCCCCATAGTATAGCGGGTGGGGACACGGCGTTTTGCTTTGGCTGATGACCCAACCTAAAATCAGATGTTAGCGTTGCATGGAGGGCCCAGGAGGGTCATGAGACCAGAAGAATGCTGTCTCCAACGCTGACCGAGACCCTCGATCGTGCGTGCGAGGAGAATAGGGGTGGTGGTGTGCGTACGCTGGCAGCTCTGCAAGGTATGGATGCAATGGATGTACGTGTGAATGGATGAATAATGAACGCATGTACATACAGGCGCTTGACTCTGTCCAGCGCAAATCCCTCCCACATCAGCCATCTCTACCACCCTGCCTCCCGTCACATACATCGGTAGGCACAGCATGCACCTGGGCGATGACACGGGATTGTCGCATTGCGTCCTTGCAGACAGTCAATTGACATCCGCATGCAGGCCAAGTGGCGAGCTCAGAGGCCGGATACGGTTTCCAGGCGCCGTCACTCTTATTATTTATTATTATTAGGCCTCACCTCCATCGCATGTGACATTTGGCCAGTCATGACGTATGTAGCTAAGTGGCCACCATGCAGCCATCCAGGCGGGCGACATAAACAACAGTGCACTAGGACACGAGCCTAGCTTCTGGCTTGTGCGCTATCACCTTGCTATTCTTTAATTGACTGCAAAAGAACGCGGTAGAAGCATATAATAACCTTGTATTCTGGACATCGTACCGATAGCTGTGGTAAACGTTGTCGCATGCCTCCCTATGTCGCGCGCCCTCTTTGGTGTGCAATGATTTATGTCATGCACTCAAGGACCAGGACCAATGGCCCACCAACAGGAGCCGATCCCTTGGTAGCTCAAGCACACGCAGCCTGCATTTGCCCACTTGGGCTACTATCGTGTGATTTGTGAGACTTGGGGCTTGGTGCGTGCGTGCGTGTGTTTGCGAGCGTTTAAAGAGACCACCGATTCCCTTTCCGGGACGCAGACTTGCAGTGTAGCCTGTAATATAAACAGCTCATGTGGCAAGGGGAGTGAGCACCCAGCAGATGCCTCTCATCCCTTGCTGAGAGGCTCGAATTGGCCTTGAATTGCCTCGTTCTTGCTTTCCCTCAGGTGGGGTCGAGGTGGGGTTTCATCATATTCCTCGTCTCTTTTGCTGCCCACATGACTTGGGAGGCAATGCCAGGCCCAGCTCTAAACCAGGTAATACCTGTAGACAAAGGGGGCCTGTGGGTGCGGTGTTAGGGCTTAAGGCCTCGGTTTGCAGCGGTGCGGACAGCGAGTACCGCGCCACTGGGCGCGGGAGGTTGGAGATGGGATCTGGCCAAGGAGGCCCGACTCCACTTGTGATGCAGCTTCGGAATGTGCGCAGTAGCTTTGTAATGTGGATGGCGAGTGGAGAGCGAGAGCTGTTGGGAGGGAGAGACCTTGTGCGGAAGACGAGGGACGTTGCGGAGTGGGTTGCAGCACATCGAACGCGAGCTCGATCTCGGAGCGGGGAGGCCAGGACACTTTCGAGGGCAGAAAGGGCCGCTCCCGATCCATTGAGCCCATTGCGCTGGTTCTCGAGGGGAAGATATGCAGCTAGGCGCCAAGCGGCTCAAACGAGGAACTTCGTTGGGGGTTAGGATAGACTGTATCGACATCTACCTAGGTACCTACCTACGTAGGGCAATGCACAATCCGCCCTGGAGACCATCGCCGGCTGGGACTGATCGGCGCCAGCAAGTTCTGGGATGCCAGTCGAGGGTGGAGCTGCCTAATGCTGACCAAAATATCCATCTCAATACGCAGCTTAGCGGTGCGGTAGCCTGCTGGAAAGGCCAGGCCAGGGAGGTCGGGGAGCTCAGGTCGGCCAGCACAAGCCCCCGCGGGAGTCGGGAGCTGCTCAGGATCTGGCGGATGCCGTGCTTGGGGCACTGAACCCAAAAAATCTAGCGAGGGAGGTGTGTCCATCCAGCCTGGCCCAGCGTTTCTGTCTCGGCCGGTACGCCAGCAGGTCACCATCGACCGTCTCCTCCGGCGCGATGGGGTTGGCTCGGTTGAGCTGGGGTAGGCTTCCGGAGGGGGGAGCAGCATCATCCCCATCGCCATGGGATTTGTTTTCGGCGCCGACGCTCCTCGCTTACCTTTCCAGATCAAACCCCCTCGCTTATACGTGTACCTTCCCCCCCAGCCAACCATTTCGTCTCAGATGTGACATGACGCATCGAACGTTCGCTAAAATCTACAGGCCGTCTACCTAGTGGTTGCGGAGCATTCGCTCAAGGGTTGGGAGCTAGGTCCTGCTAGTGTCCTAGCCGAGTTGAGATCTTGGGGTCATCAGTGTGGGAAAAAGAAAGGAAAAGAAAAGCTCCAGATCCAGGATGCGACGCCAAAGGCAGGTGGAATGAATAGGCAAATAATATATACTTTTGGCTTGTGTTTACACATGGAGGACAACATGGACTTGCTCCGCAATAAAAAGTCGAGGACGGGAAAAAACATCTCGTCATGGATGGTACCCGCGCACCAGAGCAAACACGGGAACCCCTCACTTACCCTTACCCCCAACGGCTCAATGCAGGATGCACAGAGGGGGAGGGATATGCCGAAGAGGAAGGGTTGGATAGCTAATCACTCCAGCGTGGATAGCCCGTGATGCTAGGAACCAGCCTGCTCAATTCTGTGAGGGGAACTGGCTGCGTGGGCAGGGTGAGGTCGCTCTGGATACCTTTGCCCCGCATCGTGTTGCTTCTGCTCATGGGGTTTTGAGGCTACCAGCCTAGCTCCAGAGACCCAAATGGCCGTGCCTGATGTTGGTTAGCGGTTTAAACCTGGTACAGGCGGCTTCGCCCACCAAGCGCCAATGGAGCATGGAGCACAGGCAATATTGGCACCGTAATTAGAGACTTGTACGTGATACCCACTTAAATCAGATATCTGGTGACCGGGACGGAGTTCGACTAGGTACCCCCGAGAAAAAGAGAGGTACATGCATTCTCCAAGCTCCCTGGCCTGCAGCATGTTCTTCGTCATGTCTTTCCTGTTCTCGCTGGTGGACCAAGACATGGCGGGAGTTGTGATGATGAGGCTAGAGATGGAGGGTAGTCGGAGGAACAGCACCGGCCGTAGCACCACTGCCAGCTACCTCCTACCTAATGACAACCCATTCCTGGCAGGATTTCTCCAAATGTAAAGAATTGACCTTTAATATTGACTCCATTCCTTGTCTTGGCTGTCGATGGCATCCTTGCATTGGTACATGGTATTGAACTGATTTTAGTCGTTGGTCCCTGGTTCCCTCATGTGAGGCGTGTGCCCATGTGACCAGCACGATTCTGCGCGCATGTACCAATTCTCGAGCTACCTGACCTACGAAAACGACCTCTATCCTGATTACCTACCTCCCTCTCCAAATTGTATTTACCGGACAAGCTGCAAGCCGCCTGCATTTCTTGCCGTGCACCGCGGTGTGAATTTACCGTCCCCGTCTGCTGGCTCGAGCGGTCTGTACCGGTATACGAGACCTCCCAAGGTGCACAAAGTCGCAAAGTCGTACGTCTGGCCTGGGCACTCTACCCGCATACCACTACCACCTACCGAACCCACCTGACATCGGGAGCTACCATCTCCTGGCCTGTGCCCCCCTGGCTGGTCTACCGCCGTTTGTGCCATCTCCCTCCGTCATCGACCAGCCGGAAGATATTTCATCGCAAGGCTGTTGTTGGATTGTCGTGACTGCGACTGGCTGCCCTGCCTGCTACATCCATCCAGCAATCCAGGCAGTACCCATCTGATCGTTCCTGCCCGTTGACCTGCACCGCTCCCTGCCTGCCATCCGGGCACCACGAGTTGGAGTGGCTCCTCGCGCGTCCGATACCTGGGGGATTTTCCTGCCTGCTGGTTCCGTTGCAGTCGCAGCACCTCCAAAACCCGTTCTGCCCAATAGAAGCTGACGGCAAGCTGGTAAGCACCCATCTCTCACACTTTCTTCCCCGTCTCGTCCAGTCATGCCAAGCCTAGGGCTCTGGTTCACGTTATTCTCACCCGTCCCTTCTCGCAAGTCAATCGCCGGTCCGTCGCTTCTTGGCGGGCTGGAGATGCGAGGCCCAGTGGCCTGGGGCTGTTGTTATTATTCCCCGTCCTTTCAATTCTCCCTCGCCCATTGTGCCATGCACTCTGCGTCTTGGCCAGGCCCCAGCCAGCCCAAGGAGCTATGGACAGTGTCTCTCCACCCCTCCTCAGGCGCCAGAGGCAGCAAGCATAGGTGAGGTAGGTAGGCGTCTGCCCTCCGAACGACCCCCCTGGTGCTCTGTCGCCTGTCACGAGCGCGCTACATCAAGCACCCCGCCCCCTCCACTGCTAGAGCGACCCGCCCTTCCCCTCTAACAGCCCAGCCCAGCCCAGGCCAACCGCCAGCCCAGCTTTTGTGCCTCACCATCACTCAACTCTTTTACCTGACCATACCTCACCTATTACCTCCCTCCCTCCCGCACGCAAATCCCCATTTCATTTCCCTCCCGAGTCCTGCACGCCGACTCACCCTCTCGAGTTCCCTTTATGGATACCTGGATCTACCTAAACAGCACCCAGATGAGATACCCTGCTGTACGCGAACTCACCTTTTCGGCTCCCTAGCTTCTTCTTCGTCCCTCGTCCGGTTTCTCAGCTGCCGCCCACCAGCCCGCACTGGCCTCAAGCTCTGGTGCTGTTCAGTCTCCTCCCAACTGGGTGCTGCGTCACATACGAACACCACGAAGCTACCGCATCCTTGCTGTTGCTTCTGCTGCCCGCCCCCCCCTCTTTTACAGGTACAGTTCCCTGAGCGTTTCTTTTTTCATCTCTTCCTCTTTCTCTCCATTGTCCTTGTCGTCCTGCTCCGACTTTTCCTTTCGTATGCATAGGTGAAAATTCACCTCGTGCTACTTTCTTCTCAAAGCAGTGCATTGTGCACGCTGCCACACCCCTCCACCTGGCCATCCCTTCGTCCCAACCTGCATTGCCACCCTTTGTGACTTGCTCCTCAGGCTGTTCCTTTGTCCATCCCGGGGGACTCTTAATACCTGACGCGCTCCCCCATATCACTTGGGTTTTTCTTCCCTCCCTCTCTTGCCGGCCGTCACCTCAGCCCCGCACACCCCCCTCCTCTCTTTCGCCAGCCGAGCCTGTGTCACCAAAGCTTTTTGTCATTTTCTTTTCGACTACCGTGGCCATCACGTATCTTGCAAACCGAACTTTTTAGCCCGTGCCAGCGACTTCTTCTAATTGTTCAAGCGTACTAAGACTCTCTGCTGCAGCGCCGAAACGCCAACCCAGACCTGCCACTGTTCTACGCTACAGTGGTCACGAGGCGTCAATTCTTTTCACCATTGTCGGAATACTCGAGCTGTTTCGACCAAATCTGCACACCGAAAAAGCCTCGTCCTTGCCAGCTGTTGGCGAAGCGAAAAGTTGTCTGGGAGTTCACACATACCCTTAACGTCTTCGACCATCTTTTAGTTGCCCATCACGGCGTACTCCCAGAGAGCTACTTTTGCGCCTTCATTCTCCTTGCATTCGCGGACCTCCTTGACCAAAATCTGGTAGTCTGCGCTTGGAGCGAACCACCGCAACAATGTCGTCGCACCGACCTAACGCTTTAAACAGCCTGAGAATGGGAGGTGAGTTTTTTATCTGGCGGCTAATATGCACTTGCGTGCTTTTCTTACCTGTATTGTATCTGACTGTATTTCAGAGGTTATCCGCGAGAAAGTTCAGGACGGCATCACAGGCGAGACCAGAGATTTGCAATACACGCAATGCAAGATCGTTGGCAATGGATCTTTCGGCGTGGTGTTCCAGACCAAGCTTTCTCCTACTGGAGAGGATGCCGCCATCAAGCGTGTTCTCCAGGACAAGAGATTCAAGGTGATTACATCCCATACGCTTACCTTGAGCTCACATAGACTGACATGATATCCTCAGAACCGTGAGCTCCAAATTATGCGAATTGTCCGCCATCCGAACATTGTACAACTGAAGGCCTTCTACTACTCCAACGGTGAACGCGTAAGTTGCCACCCGATCCTTGACCACCATGGACTATTGCTGACTTTGGCCGTAGCGAGACGAGGTTTACCTCAACCTGGTTCAAGAGTTTGTTCCCGAGACGGTCTATCGAGCATCCCGCTTTTTCAACAAGATGAAGATCCCCATGCCTATTCTGGAAGTTAAGCTGTACATCTACCAGCTGTTCCGAGCACTTGCCTACATCCACTCCCAGGGCATCTGCCATCGTGACATCAAGCCTCAAAACCTCCTCTTGGACCCCAACAGCGGAGTTCTCAAGCTCTGTGATTTCGGCAGCGCGAAGATCCTGGTTCCGAACGAACCGAACGTGTCGTACATCTGCTCGCGTTACTATCGCGCCCCGGAACTTATTTTCGGTGCTACAAACTACACTACTAAAATAGGTGAGACAATCATCCGCTTTGGGCCTCTCTTTCTCGAACACTGAGGCTTTTCATTTTCGTGGGAGATCGACACCCTTTGCTAACTTGTTTCTAGATGTGTGGTCGACTGGATGCGTCATGGCCGAGCTCATGTTGGGGCAACCTCTCTTCCCTGGAGAGTCGGGAATCGACCAGCTTGTGGAGATCATTAAGGTTCTGGGTACTCCCACCCGTGAGCAGATTCGGACCATGAACCCGAACTACATGGAGCACCGATTCCCACAGATCAAGCCACATCCCTTCAATAAGGTGTTCCGCAAGGCCGATGCCAATGCGATTGATCTTATTGCTAAGCTGCTGGAGTACACCCCCACCGAGAGACAAACTGCCATTGATGCCATGGTGCACCCATTCTTCGACGAACTGCGCGATCCTGCCACGAAACTGCCCGACTCGAGACATGGCACCGGACAACTTCGGGACCTACCTGATTTGTTCGATTTTTCACGACATGGTAAGCTAAATATTCCCTAGCATGGCATGATCTTGTTGGCTAACGATTGCAGAACTGTCGATTGCGCCATTACTGAACCAGCAACTGGTACCATCGCATATGCGTCCTATCTTAGTCTCTCGAGGTCTTGATATTGACAACTTCACGCCGCTGACCAAGGAAGAAATGATGGCAAAGCTCGATTGAGCGTGCTATGCCTGGCGAGATTGATAGAAAACTCCCCTGCATTGCTATAGCACAACATGTGGTTATGAGATGCCTACCATTGATATTGCATGCCGGCAAGGGACATGGAGTGAAGAGTGCGTCTGTTTGTTCGTTACTGGGATCGGACCGACGAATAGACGGCAGAAATGTATGTCGAGGCTCAATGTGTTAGTGCCAGGAATGCACAAGAAGTTCGACGCTGGAGGCCGGAGGATGAACTTGGACGGGGTGCAAAAAAGCCTATGAGGCCGCTGCCTCTGGAGAGGGTTACCGGGCCATTGTGTATGCCCCCGTCGGTCACGCTTTCTTGGGCGCCACAGGGGGTGAGGCGTTAGGAAGCAAGGTTACATGATGCATGTCACAGGGTATTACGTTTTTTTAGACCAAGTTTCGGTTCATGACAGAGATGGCTCTCTATTTGTTCTCCTTGTTATCTTTCGTCCTCTTTCTCCAAGGACCAGTGTTGAAATTGTCGTGGAAGATGCGGGCATGCAGATTGTGCGTGTTTCCTTTTTATACTGAAATTGAAGGGAATCCGTCGAGCGATCCATGCGCCACTGGACTGGTTACCCATTCTGCCCGACTTGCTCTAATGGCGGCTGGTTTTCTCTATTCGCTTGGTGGAGAGTAGACATACTGCTAACATACACGATTTCTGCTGTTTGTTGACCAGCATTGTCACATTGGAGGGAGGGTTTAACGACACATCGATTATTTATTGGGAACGCCCGAGGGTCTTTAGTTTTGATATGCTATGATACTTTCCTTGGGGGTTTAAAAAAAGTAGACACAAGGAACCAGGAGAAAAAAAAAATCCATGGGCTGAACAAGCCGAAGCCAACGCTTTCAGGGGTACCCTATAATTCTTTGCCATGTGCGCGGTGAACAATTACCAAGACCGCAATGTCCATCAATAAGGTAGGCAAGCTGTACTTCCACTTAGGCATTCTGAAAGCTGGGTGCACATATAACACGGCACACCAGTGCTCTTTTCATGCAAGCTAGAGACCTCATTCTCTTATTAATAATATTTCATATAATGTTAGTAAAATAATAAATTATTCTATATAGCTTGATATTATATTGATAACTGTGTTTCTATTGTGTCGAAATCCGAGGCTGTATGGAGGCTTTGGTGTGCCATGGTTTATTTTAGCCACTTGCCTGCGCACGCATTCAGCCGCAGAACTGCTTGGTTGGTTGACCTTTATACAAAGCCTGCACCGCGTAGACTAGGCTGGAAATTCGAATTTTATGCATTGCATGCTGTGATAGTTATTAATCAAGACAGATGATAGAAACTACGAAGGAGACTATATGTGATTGCACTCGAAAGACATGCGGTTTCAAGAGATGGCGCTGTGATCCATGAGGTAGATGTGGCTCGCCCTTGGTGCCTCAGGCAAGAAGACCTGGAACGCCTCCAGGGCGCTGCTCCACTGGAAGCTAGCACCTCTGCATCATCCATCCGCGGTACAGGCACTGCCAAGGCTACGACTTTTGACGCGCGCAGATCGTGTGTTGGCGCATTGGCCGTCTTTTTTTAGGCTTTGGGTCGACTCTCCCGATTCTCAACTTTAACCTCCCGCTCCTCTTCCCCTGACCGAGCAACCTCCATTATTATTGTTAATTCTGTCCAATTCTGGTATCAATTTTTCAGGATGGGTGACTACGACAGACGCCAGTCAGGTGGCCACCATCGCAAACGGAGATATAGAGGTCAGTCCCTCGAGCTTTAGTCCCTCGAGCTTTAGTGATGACGTGGAATTGCTAACGAAGATCTCTGTCTAGATGACGATGACCACTACGATCGAAGAAACCAGCGACGGCGGACGGATTCAGCACCGCTCCCTGTCAGGGTCCGACGCCAGCTCTTGAGCATTGCAGATTCGCCAATGCGCCGATGGTCCGAGGAGGTTCAAAACATCGCCTTCATGGTTACAGATAACTATGACGACGAGAATCTGCGCAGCACTTTCACAAAGCTCGCGATGCAGCTTCATCTTGAGCAGCCGCTCAAGACTCCCTTCGTGGCCGCTGTGCTCCTGGTTGCCAACACGCGCAAGTCCGAATTGCTTGGCGACTTTCTCACGACGCTGGCGCAGAGCATCGAGTCGAAGATTGCCCTTGGAGAATGGAGGGACGTGAAGCTGCATTTGAAGCTTCTTGCTTGCCTGCAGTCTACTCTGGAGGGAGACGGCCTCTTCCCTCTGCTGGATGAGCTCTTCAACCGTGCTGCTGACCTTCAAACCGCCAGTTCCGATGATGTGAGTTGCGGCCGTGTCCAGATGAAGCGCTCTATTGCTAACGATATACCAGACTATTGGAACCGAATTAGTGAAGATCATCCAACTTACTATCCCATACATCATGGTGTCGTCGGCGCAGGGTCAATTCCACCAGAAGGCTGCTGAACTGATGGAGAAGACTGACATCATCGCGTCCGAGCCGCATGCACTACAAGCCCTTGTCGACCCCTTCCTCCCCGAGAGCGAGAGTAAATCGAGCACTGCCTCACCAAGTTTATGTATGTTGCTGCAGAAGCAGCTCCAGGCTGAGGCTGGAAAGAACTGGGCGCTTGCCTGCTTACCTCGCCCCTGGGAAATGCCACTGGAGGACGTCGAGCTCCAAGAGAAGCTTTCCAGCCCACCCAAGCATCCTCTTCCAGCTATTAATATCCCCGTGACAGTCATTGCGGGGCCCCATCCTCTCTTCCCTGAGGTTTACTTTTCTGTTTATGCCGATCAGGATACTCAGTCTGTCCCGCCATCAACCAGCATTGCCTCCTCTTTGATTCGCGATGGGCTTGTTGATACGATCAATATCCTGAACTTCAACCGAAATGTTACAGCACGCTATCTTATGGATTTAGATTGCTATTTTGCGGAGGGAACGTTCGTTAAGCGGGCAACACCTTTTGATGAATTGCGCAATTTCCCTTCGAATAGCTCGACATGGAAACCGGAGGACGTGGCTGTCGATACTGTTTTCTCGCAGATTTTCCAGCTTCCTAAGCCCGAGTGCAAGCTTGTCTACTACCACTCCGTTTTGACGGAGGCTTGCAAACTGGCCCCGGCTGCCATCGCACCAAGCTTGGGCAGAGCTATTCGATTTCTCTACCGCAACAATCCCCGGATGGATTTGGAGTTGAGCTACCGTTTCCTCGACTGGTTCTCACATCATTTGAGTAACTTCGGCTTTACCTGGAAGTGGGCTGAGTGGACATCCGATACGGACCTGCCTGAACGTCACCCTTGCATTTGGTTTCTCAAGGGTGCTCTCGATAAGGAGGTCCGATTGAGCTTTGCCCAGAGAATTCAGAAGACCCTGCCACCGGAGTATCAAAAGTTCGTTGGCCCAGAGAAGGAGAAAGATGTGCCCGACTTCAAGTTTAAGAATCCTGGTATGTGCATTTCCTCTAACCGTATCTCTTTTGCATGTCTGGCCACTAATACTAGGACTATAGACACACCATTCTCCAAAGAAGGCCAAGAAATCGGAGCGCTTTTGAGACGAAAGGCTGCCGATGAGGAATTCGAGCCTCTCATCGAGAGTATTCACGCCCAAGCTACGGAACAAGCATTGGATCCCCTCGTGGCTAGCACTGACGTGTTCATGACTGCTGTCTGCTGGGTGGGTTCCAAGTCGCTCAGTCACGTACTTGCATGCATCGATCGTACCAAGCTAAGACTCCTTGACGTTGGAGCGAAATCGGAAGCAGCCCGATCGCAGATCGTCACCTCCGTCATGGATTACTGGCAAGCTCACCCGGGAATTGCCTTGTCCATCATCGAGAAACTCCTGAACTACTCTGTGCTTACACCCTTCTCCGTCATGGACTGGGCGCTCGCTGCTGCCGCACCTTCCAATGGCACGGATGGCGGGTTCTCCCTCGCCCAGCCACACGTGTTCGAACTCGTCTCCCACACCGTCGCCAAGGTTACGACCCGCGTGCGCCAGCTGTACACCTCTTCAGATGTTGATGAGGAGGGCCGCGCAAAGGAGACAAAGGCGATGAGGGAGCTGTTCCAGGCGATGAACGATGCCCTGTCTAGCTGGGCGGCCGGTAGCAAGGACGAAATGATGGAGGACGGCGACGGCACCACTTCCGAGGAAGCCATGACCCGGAGGTGGGGTCAGAGATGGCTTCGCGTCTTCCAGCGCAGGGCGGCAATCGAAGAGGCGTTCTTGCTTGAGGCGGGCAAGACTGCTTCCGCAAAGGCCGATGACTCGGCTGACGCTGAGCTCATAGCTTAGAGCGGCATGGAGCAGAAGATGATGTGAAAATTGTGTAACATTAGCGCCAAGAGGATTTGATATTTTTTTTCTAGTAGGTAAAAGGTATGCGTACGGGTTTTCATAAGCTGGTTAGATGGAGATTCTTTATCATATCGCTGGGCTTGGTGACGAACCGCAGATGGCCAGAATGCCAAGGGCGGTTGATGGTCTACCCCTGAACACAATACCCATGGAGTCATCGTGGGGTGAGAGCCTGGGCTGGCCAATTGTTCCTGTCCCAGGGGATTGGCCCAGCGCTCGCTCTTTGTGTTTTGAGGGGCTAGCTAGGGAGGTTTTTGATAGTTCTGAGATAATAAAAGCCAGGCTGGGGAGCAATATCCCCTTTACTTAATCGATGAGTGCATTTCTCGTCCGATCAGACTTGGAATTGTGAGGCGAGCTAGTTTACTTTACCTAGCAAGACGCAGTATTCAACGTGAACCTAGTAATACCTTGAATTCGAAATACCTCCTGGGGCCCTCCCTTTCCTTGGCCCTTAACTCCGTATGTGTATGTATATATTCCTAACGTGTCCAGTCCATATGCCTGAACCGAAAAAGTCACCTGCTATGTCATAAAAGTCTTGTTTATATACCCTGGAAACGCCAAAAAAACAATCAATCTGGGGTATCATTCTCATTGTTGTCCCGGCTTTCACCCCGATGCCCTGGACTAGACTCATCTGGCTCCGTCAGACTATCAGATTCCGCCTGATTGGCTGGGGGAGGATCGTCCCGTCGATTGTGCGCGGTTCCTCCTCGATGGATGCTTCCCCGAGCCGCTTGAGTTTTTCTAGTAGGTGGCTGTGATGATAGAGTTAGCAAATGTATGTTGTCAGAGATTGGATGTGCACGGCGCCGAAATTGGTTTAGATGGTGCCGAAAGGATACTGTTGGCGCCGGATGGCTGTTTTGTAATACGGCGGGACTGCTTGATGCTTCCGATATACCTTGAGACGAATGGCTTGTCTCTATACTGAATCTAGATCTGCTAGATCTAAGACTTCTGGAGTCATGTGCCGGCTGAGATATTCGCACAGCTGCATCTACCTCACTAGAGGCGTGCCGGAGGGTTGGGGGTTGTTGGAATATAACTGTTATAAGGAACGGGGGAAAGTAAACATACTTTACTGGGAGATGGCCACGGGTGCCTTCAGTCATTGCAAGCTGCACTCGGTTGTGCTGCTGCTCATGAGCATGGAAGTGCTCGTTTATCCGGGCCTTGCAATCCTCCTCATCCCCTCCGCGCACCATGTAGTCGCAGTCTTCCTCATCGCAGGTCCACGCGTTGTCAGGGCCTCGAGGAACTGTTGACGGTATTTTGTCCGCTCGGATAACCAATCTAATGGGATCAACAGACGCGAAAGAGCTTTCGCCCTCATCCGACTCATCCACGTTCTTATCATTGCTCTCATCATTATCGGAGAAGTAATGTGATTTCTTAGCCTCTCGAGCTAAAGGTGACTCGGAATCGCTCTCGATATCAGAGTGGTGCCGTTTCTTGGTGCTAGTCGCTGGGCGAAGGGTGGATTTGCCAGCCCGCCTGAAAGATGTGCTCTTTCCCACCCTTGGTGTCTCGGGAATGTCATCGTGGGCTTCCGAGTCGTCGTCAACGAGGCCAGATGCGGTCTCAATGACTTGATTCGTTGCAGTCCGGGGGTAGAATGGCTTAGACTTCCGAGGAACAATTAGAAAAGGAAACTTGCCCGGCGCAAGCGCTACGGGCTCGAATTTTGTTTTCGCCAGCTGCTGAATGTATGCGTAAATTTCGGACCCGGAATATTTCTTCTTGTCAAGTACTTGTAGTAATCGAGCAGCGTTGAAGTGAAAAACTTCCTCAACGGGAAGCCGGTGTGCGCCGGGGCCAGCTCTGTAATTGGGAAATTTATTTCCGAAGTAGATTTTATTCAGAATCTGAGTTTTAGTGGGGGGTTTCTTCTTTTGAGACAATTCGTCAAATGCGTCTTCAAGAACTTCCAGCAACGAGTTGAAGGCGTTTTGATCGTCAGTTGACGTTGAAGGGGCAGGCAGTATCTTTTTCCCATTCTGAGCCGATTCTGAAGGAGTACTTTTTTGAGGTATCTCAGGAACTGGGTTATTTGATTTGGATCTCGAGCGAGTGGCCCGTGAATGTATTGGGATGGTTGTTGTGCCCGCCTGTTCTAATGGCGTTGGCGCATCCTCGGTAGTGACGACACTGGACCCAGATCTCGTTCTTGTTGATCTTAGTAGTTGGGTTCCCTTGCGTGTAGTGTGGGCAGTGCTGTCGGAATTAACAGATGATTCTTTGTGTGATCTCGGGGGTGCCTCGTTCACTGAAGGGGCTGTTGTGGAGGGCGGTGCCTGATTCTTGAGCGGGCTTCTCAGGGCCTTCCAAGTCTTGTCATATGTCTCCTACATCTACAATTAGCACTCGAGATGATAGATAGGAGTGAGAGACGAGAACTTGCCTTGTGGTTGCTGGTAAGCCACCTGTATAGATATGTCTTTTTCCAGTCGTTGTATTCTTCATCAGTCTTTAGGAACTGGCACAGGAGAAAAGGGGCGATCTCATTGCACCGGGCAGCAACCTCCTCGACGGTTGAGCCATCCCCTACCCTAATAGCATACTGTAGAACATACTGGTCAGTCAATCTGTACGCTGTAGCTGTCCGGGACGAACACACCTGAAGAAATACGGGTGCAAGTCTCTCAATAGGATCGGATGTATTCGACGTCTTTGACTGCCGATTCAGAGTTTGTGCCCCAAAGGTATCGTATATATCGTAAATCGTATAATATAGTTTGATTGCTTCGCGGATCTTTCGGTGCATGAGTTGATACGCAGGAGCTGGATTGACCTCGAACCATCCACCTTGGCCTGCAACCCACAGGACCTGGAGACTCGGCGGTTCGCCTTTGGCGTCTTCTCCGGGTGCTTCACCGATCGAGTAGAGACTACACGATTTGATCTCAATGGGGACTTCGTTCTTGAACCTGCCAACCACTGCACGCAAGGTTAACTGATGATTCGTGGCAGGAGATGAGAGAGGGAGACCACGTACAATATTCTCTTTGGTCGTCCTCATCAATGACCATAGTGCCGCGCACGATGAAGGGCCCATCTAGGAGGACATTCAGCGCATTCTCCAGAGCGGTCCCATCCTTATTGAGAACAACAGCGTCCCTCAGCTCGAAGCACGGCCACGGGTTCGAGGCTGTCTCGGGGGGCAAGGTACGCAAGACCGTTGACTCCTCGCGCCATCGAATGCGGCTAAAGTCCACCGTCTCAACGCTCGAATCCGAATCTTTCCGGGACCTTCTAGCCATGTTGGCATATGTTGCGATCGGGTAGGGTGCGATGATACGAGTGCCGCGGCGGCTGTGGTGGGGTTATGGTCGTGAAGCCTGAGCAACTAGCTGGCGGTGCAGGACCATAGGCTGGGCGGTTTCCAAATGGAAGTAGGGCAAGCTTAGGGCGTCATGGGGGAATAGCAATGCCAGCCAGTGACGAGTGCATCCTACTGTGAGATGCTGCTGAGGTTGCGACTTGAATTGAGGTGAGCTGCAAGACAGTCGCGTGTGAACCGCTCTTATCGGTCAATCGATAAACCTCAGCGCGAGTCCGCCCACTATAGCGTCAGCAGCCGCTAATTTAGGACGGAACCATGCCAGGATGCTGTAAGTCCGAGCCTACTGATCTGAGGTACTGTTAAAGTCATGTGCACGTTTGTTTAAGCTTGTCAATAGTAGCTCTTCCCTGGAAAAAGCAATTGATTGATATTTAGTTTGCATTGTTCATGTATTGTTCGTGGGTCGCTCGGCAGGAAGCCGCCACTATGAATGCTGTGATTGTGAAGCAGCAGTAGACGTACCCCACTCACTCCTTCTGGCGCCGACTTATGGTTGTCGCAGGCCAATTTTTTTTTTGAGCAGGCAGAAGGTCGAGCAAGCTGCTCCACATACACTTTTGCGAACAGCGGCCTTGCAGGCCTTGATCCTCTTTTGAAATAGTTTGTCGGTTTTCGCGAAGCTTTGCGCTCCACTTCCAGACTTTTTTTTCTCTTCCAGACGCACTGCCTGGCGCAATCTCCTGGTTGCGGCGGTTGGATCCGTATGCCACGCGCTGAGACGCTGATCAAGATGGCTTCAGAAGTCATCCGAGAAGGCTGCCTGGGTATGTCCACATGGAGGTTTAGCCAGTGGCTTTCCTTTTGCTCCCCCGTATACTTCGTTCGAACGATTCGCTAACACCAAGCTTTGCCTTGCTGCTTAGCTATCAATAAGCCCTGTGGCATGAGCTCCGCGCAGGTCATTCGGGAGTGCCAGATCGTCTTCAGCCCGTCCGCCGTATTCAAGCCTCTTATCGGATCCGAATTGGACAGAGCTCGCAATGACAAGGGTTACGCTACCGGTAAACGGTTGAAGAGACAGAAACCACTGGTGAAAATGGGCCATGGCGGTACACTTGACCCTCTTGCGACCGGCGTCTTGATTTTGGGGATTGGGTCTGGCACCAAGGCTCTTCCGCAGTTTCTGAACTGCGTCAAGACATACGAGACCACGGTCCTTTTCGGCGCAAGCACAGATACTTACGATCGCGTGGGTCGCATCATCAACAAACGCCCGTACGAACACATCACAAAGGAAAAGGTCCTCAAGGCTATGGAGGCGTTCAAGGGGAAGCAGAAGCAGGTTCCGCCTCTGTTCTCGGCACTCAAAATGAACGGAAAGCCTCTGTACGAATATGCGCGCGAAGGAAAGCCAATTCCTCGTGAGATTGAGGCCCGAGAAGTTGAGGTCAGCGAACTAGAACTTGTAGAATGGTACGAACCAGGAAAGCACAACCACAGATGGCCGACAGAGGAGGCTGAAGCAGCAGAGCGCAACATTGCTGAGCAGGTTTGGCGACTCAAGAAGCAACAGGAAACATCGAAGAATCTCACACCGGAAGAGAAGGAGGAGGATAACCAGGCAATCGAAGCCCACGAAAAATTTAAGCGCAAATTCGAGGAGAGGCAAGACTCTCTGATCAAGGATCAGCCCCCCAAGAAGCGAAATCGTCAGGAAAAGCACCCGGCCATGATGTCGGGTGCTCTGGGCAAACTTCCCCGTGGTCTCTCTGACAAGGGCCGCGACCTAATTCCAGCCGCGCCCGATGCAAGCACACCTCCTCCCTGGAGCGACGAAGGCCCACCTGCTGCGAAGATTCGCATGACCGTTTCATCTGGATATTATGTTCGTAGCTTTTGCCACGATCTCGGGGCTGAGCTAGATTCGGCGGGTCTCATGGCTGAGCTTTGTCGCAGCCGGCAAAGTGACTTTACGGTTGGAGGTACCACTTGTCTTGAGTTTGACGATCTGGCCAAAGGAGAGGAAGTCTGGGGCCCAAAGGTGAGCGACATGCTTGACCGTTGGAACGCTGAGCCCGGAAGTCAATGGCAACTACTGCCAAAAGAGAAAAAGATGAGACCAAGCCGACCCCAGGAGGATGTTTCCAACATTATCGAAGAGAAGCCCGTTGAACCAGAGAACAAACCTTCACATAGACCGAGCCCTCCTGAACCACAGTCAAAATCCGTGGAGGGGAATTCATCGCCTCGCAAGGCAGTGAATGGCGAACGCCGCGAACGAAGTGACGATGAAAAGTCTTGGAACGGCATTGAAGACTGAGGTGCACACAGTAAGGAAGAAGAAAAACGAGTGAAAGGAAAGCCTGTAACGATTTTGTTTTGGAGTTCGGTTTATTAGGTCAGACGTTGAACACGATTACCTGGGGAGTCCACGACTCTCACAACCATATTTGCACTATTTCAAGAACAGCTGTTGTCTCGCGATGTGTGAATTAGAAAGCCTTTTCCTTTGCTACCTCGGTTTTCCTACCCAAACTCATTATATTTAATACATAAAGAACATGGTTTCTTCGTTGGCCATTCTCGTTGGCTCCTGACATTGATAAATCTCTAATGTATGAAGTGAATCTGTCACCCCTGAAGCATGATTTTTTGTGCCCCCCCCCCAACGCCGTTAATCCCAATATCCCATTGCATACCATCGTACCCATACCCTCGTCAAATCACTCGTCAAGCAGAGACCGCACATGCTCGATCCTCGCAAGTGCCGTCTCCAGCCGTTCCAGCCGTCGTCTCTTCTCCACGTCCCTCTTCTCTAGCTCCCCAACCCGCTCCTCAAGGTGTGCCCTCGCCCTGCGCTCATCGGCAACCATATTATTGGCCTGCTCGAAGAGCGACACGCTCAGGTCCTCAATCTCCTTGCTCGTGGCCGTCAGCCGCCCCTCGGCCTCCTTCCGCAGCAGCTTCTCCCGCGAGAGGGCCCTGAGGAGCTCCCGCGTCTGCTTGTCCGGGGGCGCCGTGTCCTGGGCGTGCGACGTCGGCACGCTGTTGATGCGGTGCAGCTGGGGCGGCCGGTCAGCGCCGCCCCCGACGTGGAGGGTTGGATTCGTGAACGATCGGGTTGGGTGATGGGGGGCCAGGCCGACGTCGCCCGGCCCCCGCGGGATCCTCGCCCCCGGATTATCGTTCTTGGGCGGGGGCGGCGGAGGGGCCTGGTCTTGCGAGCGCAGCTTGGTGAGCTCCTCCTCGTAGCCGGCCCATCGCTCGGCGGCCGCTGAGGCCTTCTCGTTGAGCGTGCGGATCTGGGCCTCGAGCTCGGCGATGCGGGCTTGGGCCTGGGAGAGCTCGGCCTGGGTCTCTTCGGGGGAGGGGAGGCTGTCCCCGCAGTTTGGGCAGCTCGGCAGGCTTGTCGTGGTCGTCATCGTCGTTGCTGAGAGCTTGGTGGGAGCTGCTGTGGTGGTGGTGGTGGGGAGCGGCGAGGCCATGGTTACCACCATGGTGGTTGACATGGCATGGATTCCCAGGATAAGGAGGCTGGCAGGGTCAATATGTGGACGTCTCCAGCGGCACACAAAATCTCGTATAGCCAAGAGACAGCCTGGATGCGGGCAGGAGGGGTGATTGCTGCTGCTGGCGTCGAAACTAGGTGTGAATTGCCGCCAGAGCCCTGTCGATCATTAAGTGATTCTTCTGGTGGTGGCGTCAATTCAAATGAAATTTACGGTTCTAGCTCAGCCTAAGCGCCACAACAGTGAAACCCAACATCACCCGTGTGCCAAGTGCGATTCAACTACGACAGACCAATAGTAACAATTGAATTTGACGATAAGTTGTCTTTTTTATCTAACTGGATTTCATGCAAATCGTTTCGCTGTTTCTCTATCTTTTTATTGATATGGACAAGCGGTGGTGGGTGTCGAATTATCCGTTGATAGCCGAAATCATACCACCATGAGAACTCCTCATATAAAAAGCTGCAGTGTAGTGTATTTGCAACTCTTCTCTTGTCTCACGGTGTCTGGTTGTGGCATTTCCATATTTGATCCGTATCTGATCGTTTCCGATCTGTAGCTCAATGCAAGGGCTTTTGGGGGGCTGATGTATGATTAGGAGCTCGGCGCTGGGGCGATCACTTCAGCTCGGTTTTGCGACCTTTCTTAATTCGCTGACGCCAGTTTCCGGATCTTTGAATTCCTTCCAGCTCACTGGAACCATGTCGTTCCCAGCTTCACTTGTCGCCATAATTACTCCAAGCTCATTCTGTGCTGTGGACAAATAATAGTTTGCTTGGTCACCAAGCGAAATCTGCATTGCTTGTTAATACAATGTCTCAAACATACCGACATGGCTCAGCATATCCCTATGCATGAGTTTGGTGTGAAATTTGAAGGATGAACTCACAACTTGTGCGCGGACGATGTCGCCCGGCTTGAAAGACTCGTAGATCTTCACCTTGTCCTTCTCCGTCGCCCTCACATCCTGAACCCGGATAACCCCCTGCCACTCCGTCTGCAGAACAGTATCTCCAACTTGCTTGATCATAACGATAGCTTGCTTTGGCATCAGACGTAATACCTGTGCCAGAACAACGTTGCCAACATCGGGCAGGACCTCACGGCGGCTACTGTGACGCGCGACTGAGATGGTAGCCAGTTCGTCCTTGGGCAGAGCTGCGCCGGTGATCTTGTTGAGCCTCTTGGCCGGCCCGGGAGCTTTGGCCGGGGCTACGATGGAAACCTGGCCCATTAATGAGGAAACGACATTGCCTTGGAATATGTGTGTTCCAGAGCCCGGCGCAAACTTGGTGACGGGACCAAGCACTTGGCCAGGCAAGGCGACGGACTGAACTCCGTCGGTAGCCATTTATACCCAGTGGCTTTTTGATCCAATAATGAGTATCCCGTGGAGTTTTGGATTTAATTCTTGGGCTTTGCACTCGCGACGTCCAAAATCTGGTCTTGCGACAGCCTTTCCTCGTACCTGGTTGCAGAAGGTTGATGCTAAAAAATGTGCCCCACCATCGCGATAAGATAAGGATGCTTATCAAATCTGAGTTTTCCTGTTAGAGCTCCATGATGAGCAGAGCGTCGCTGTCGAACTTGCGTAGTATTCAATCTATATCGCTTATCGAAATTCAAATAGACTCCAGTAAAAAATAGTATGGCAGTTACATTTCGCATTTCAACAGTCAACATTCGCGATAGCTGGTTGCGAGCGACCTCTGCACATTGGGCACAACCATCCAAGAAGCAAGACAATAAGGTGTATGATGTAAGCAATGGAAGATATATGCTTATATTTTGGTATTAGACAGCTATTCGCGATTCCCTATCTACAAGCCATATGTCACCATGGCATTTTGTGATGCCGATACCGACCCGGGCTATGTTAGTCGCAGCGAATTTCAAACGCTATCACAATCCCAATCTCCTTCAAGATACGCGTATAGCTCCTCGTATAAGCTGGCCAGATTAGGCATTTGTTTCGAGGTAGCGAGGAGCCCTGCCGATTCGGAGCCGTAGGATGGTTATTCGGCACCACATTCCGTGGCGCTACAGGTAATTAGTCACCTCAACGCACTCTTGTTAAGTCCGAAATCCGTTGCTCGATCGCCAGATCCATGATCCGTCCAATCGCTGCCAATGCTTGGAAATATAAAAGAAGGCAACCGAGAAAATCTCCGTTAGGCATCAGCTGCGTCTTCGTCAGACGGCGGTATCGTACTCGTTCCGCCTCGCTCAGTTGCCGAGTAAGCGTCGCATGGGCACTGGACCGAACCGAAACCGAAATGTTCCGCACTTTGGCAGCCGGGTCGGGATTGGGGATCCCGTTTCCAAAGCCTGAGTTGATGAGGGCTGAGTTCAGTTTATACTGGATCCGTCTAGCCCGTTGACAGCGTCTGAACGACCCGCCAATCTCCCATCCCCAGCTCGACAGTTGGACAACGGAGCTCTCAAAGTGCAGAAGTGGTGGAGTGTGGATCTGGAGTTAATGAGCTGCTTGGTAATACAGGCCACCCTTGGGAAACACAGGGATACAGAAACCGTTTAAGCCACAACGGTCGAAAAATTAGCCTGATGGGATAGAGGATGGAGGCATGGCTGTGTGCGTATGCGTATGATATGCTATCGTGCCCGGGTCTATATTCCCCGGTTGAACTGTCTATCTGCAGCATGACTCTCAACAAGATGGTGGAGGTCACAAGCTGATATATAAGGTGCTGACACACCACCACCAGCCTCATGGACAAGGGAGGAATTTTCAGACCTGCCTGATTGCAATGGCCTTGCCGGTCTCCCATGTGTATCTAGTCCCCGTATTTCCCATGGGCGACCTAATACGGATAGAGCAGTAAACCACCGACAATGGTGCAGTGGCAATCGCAGGCCGGGCTCCCGTCCGGCCCACCCTCCATGACTCTTGAGTATGACATCCCCCTACATACAGAGCTTGTCACCTTGTTGCCTGTTCTCCGATGATACGCACAACTTGGCTCGCGCTTTTCCAATGCCCGCTCCTTTCCCCGCAACCCGAGGGCCCTGATTTGCTTCAAGTAGCCGTGGTGCCCTGTCCCTTCGGAAGCTTGGCAGCCGAATCGACAACCTGTTTGTTGGTTTTAATAAAACCACAACCCATCACATCTCACGCCTAACCCCAAATTGTCTGGATCATCTTGAACTGGTCTCCACGTAGTGGCGCTCGACAGATCATCCATCCGATCGTTAATGACAGCGCGGTAGAGGCTTGAACCTGGGTCCTTCTTACCTATACATACTCTTTGAGTACTGGTCGACTTTGAAATGCCCCATAGTTGAGCATTGGTTTCCATCTAACGTACGGAGCAAGTCTTGGCAGTCGTAGTTGTCGCATCGCAACCAAGTTGGCAAGTGGCCGCCATACACACAAAGCCAACATCAATTAGACACAACTGGTGACCATGTCGGGGCCCACGAGTGACGAGGAAAACAGGGAGCTTCAGGCGCAACCTGCAGACGTCCAAGCTGCAGCTCTTGAGCCCACAGTCTCGCATGACCCCGAGCCCGAAGACGTTGTCGTCTCCCGGGTCCAGAGTCGCAAGGAGGATGAAGACAGCGGGAAGACGCCCAGCAATCTGACGCCGTCGATTGGAGACGAGAAGGGCGACGGGGATGCCATCTCTTCGGCACCACGCATCAACTCGGACTCGGACGTTGAGGATGAGAAGCCCCGGGCCAAGCTCACAACCACCAAGAGCTACGCGACCGATGCCACTGCCACTTCGGCCGGGCCCGAGCCTGCGCAAGGTGGGAAGAAGGGCTGGCGCAGGATCATCAACCCCTTGAGATGGGGGAGCATCCCGCCCGTCCCCGAGGAGAGGATTGTGTCGAGGGAGTACAAGGCCAGCTTCCTGAGCAAGATGGTTTTCGCCTGGATGGCGCCCATCATGACAGCAGGGTACAAGAGAGAGCTGGACGCCAAGGACATATGGTCAGTGAATCCAGACAGAGCCGCTGACCCCATGACGGCAAAGGTCAAGGAGGCATTCAAGAAGCATGTTGATAAGGGGGCCAAGAACCCTCTCTTCTGGGCCCTCCACGATTCATTCCTTGGAGAGTTCTACGTCGGCGCCTTCTTTGCTATAGTATCGTCAATCCTTCAGACCTTGTCGCCTTTTGTCCTGCGTTATCTCATTTCGTTCGCTAGTGAGGCATGGATCGCCACGCAAACCGGCAGAGACGGTCCCCCCATTGGTAACGGAATCGGACTTGCTGTTGGAATCACTGTGATGCAAGTGCTTCAGAGTGTTTCTATCAACCACTTTGTTTACAACGGCATGATGGTGGGAGGCGAATCGCGTGGTGTCCTCATTGGATTGATATACGAGAAGTCGATGCTCATCTCTGGGCGCGCAAGAGCTGGAGATGTCCAGATTGAAGGGGCGGCTCAGGCTGGAGGAGAGGACAAGTCCCCCAACGCCGACGGCGCGGCTGATTCCAAGAAGAAAAAGAAGAAGGAAGACAAGAAGGCCAAAGCTAAAGGAAAGGGAGAGCCGGATATGGCTGGCTGGGGAAACGGTCGCATCACGAATTTAATGAGTGTCGATACCTATCGTATTGACCAAGCATCTGGCTTGTTCCACATGGTCTGGACCGCCCCAGTTTCGCTCATCATCACAATCGTCCTTCTCATCATCAACATCTCTTATAACGCTCTGGCAGGTCTCGGCCTCCTGGTCATTGGTGCACCGCTTCTCACCAGGGCCATCCGCAGTCTGTTCCGGAGGAGAAGGGAGATCAACAAGATCACTGACCAGCGTGTTTCCCTTACTCAAGAAATCATCCAGTCCGTCAAGTTTGTGAAATTCTTTGGCTGGGAGAAGGCATTTTTGGGTCACCTGCAGGACTATCGTAACAAGGAGGTCTCTGCCATCCAGGTGCTCCTTGCTATCAGGAATGCAATCAACGCAGTGAGCATGTCGCTTCCAGTCTTTGCCTCCATGCTCTCGTTCATCAGCTACTCCTACACGAGGCCGGATCTTCCCGCTGCTCAGGTCTTCTCCTCGCTAGCCCTGTTCAATGGCCTCCGTCTTCCCCTCAACTTGATCCCCCTGGTTCTCAGTCAGGCCATCGATGCCTGGGGTTCTATGGGCAGAATCCAAGAGTTCTTGCTGGCAGAAGAAATGGAGGAGGACGTTGTTCACAAGGATGATGGCCCCAATGCAGTTGAGCTGCACAACGCCGCGTTCACATGGGAAAAGACACCCGCGAAAGAAAAGAGTGATGAGAAAGAGAAAGATACCAAGAAAGCCAAGAAGGAAATTGCCAAAGACGGACCCCAGGAACCCGAACCTGTGAAGGAGACATCTGAGAGAGAACCGTTCAAGATTCACGACCTCGACATCGAAATTGGCCGAAACGAGCTGATCGCCGTCATTGGCTCAGTCGGTAGCGGAAAGAGTTCATTGCTCTCTGCTCTTGCTGGAGAAATGCGAAAGACAAGCGGTGAAGTTGTATTTGGTGCCTCGCGAGCGTTTTGCCCCCAATATGCCTGGATCCAAAACGCGACAGTGCAGAGCAACATTACTTTTGGGCGCGATTTCGATAAGCCGTGGTACAAGGAGGTGATACACGCGTAAGTGTTCACATTGAAATCCCAACGTCTGCTTCAGAGACTGACATAAGTGATCTACAGATGCGCTCTCCAGGCCGATCTCGACATGCTTCCTAATGGTGATCAGACGGAGATTGGTGAACGAGGCATTACCATCTCCGGCGGTCAAAAACAACGTATCAATATTGCAAGAGCCATCTATTTTGATGCCGATATTGTCCTCATGGACGATCCCCTGAGTGCAGTCGATGCCCACGTCGGACGCCATATCTTTGACCATGCTATCCTCGGCTTGCTCAAGGACAAGTGTCGCGTCCTCGCAACACACCAGCTTTGGGTGCTGAACCGATGTGACAGGATTGTATGGATGGAGAACGGGAGAATCCAGGCTATCGATACATTCCAGAACCTCATGCAGAACCACCAGGGCTTCCAGACCCTGATGGAGACTACTTCTGTCGAAAAGGAAAAGGAAGAGAAAAAGGAGGACGGAGACGACGACGGAGGCGACAATGCCCTTACAAAGAAAACAACGAAGAAGAACAAGAAGGGAGCCGCCCTCATGCAGCAGGAAGAGCGAGCAGTCGCCAGTGTGCCCTGGTCAGTGTATGGTGACTACATCCGCGCCTCGGGTTCCATCTTCAACGGGCCTTTTGTCATCTTTCTCCTTATTCTCTCACAGGGATCCAACATTACTACCAGTTTGTGGCTTTCGTACTGGACCTCAGACAAGTATGGCCTCTCCAAGGGCCAGTATATTGGTATATATGCTGGTCTAGGTGCCGTCCAGGCTCTCCTGATGTACTTCTTCTCCGTGATGCTGTCCGTTCTAGGAACAAAATCCAGCAAAACCATGTTACAGGAAGCCGTCACGCGAGTTCTGCGTGCCCCCATGTCGTTCTTCGACACAACGCCCCTGGGCCGCATCACCAACAGGTTCTCTCGAGATGTCGACGTCATGGACAACAATCTCACGGATGCCATCAGGATGTTCTTCTTCACCATCGCCATGGTCACCGCCGTGTTTGCCCTCATCATTGCCTACTTCCACTACTTTGCCGTGGCCCTTGTGCCAATGTACTTCTTGTTCATGTTCTCGGCATCGTACTACCGCGCCTCGGCCCGAGAGGTAAAGCGATTCGAATCCGTCCTGCGTTCAAATGTCTTCGCAAAGTTTGGAGAGGGCCTGAGTGGTATCTCTTCGATCCGGGCCTACGGTCTCCGGGACCACTTCATCGCCGACCTTCGCAAGTCCATTGATGAGATGAACGCCGCGTACTACTTGACCTTTTCCAACCAGCGCTGGCTCTCCATGAGGCTGGACAACATTGGCAATGCCCTCATCTTCACCGTGGGCATCCTGATTGTCACATCTCGCTTCAGCGTGGACCCCTCCATTGGTGGTCTTGTCTTGAGTTACATCTTGTCCATTGCCCAGATGCTCCAGTTCTCTGTTCGTCAATTGGCAGAAGTCGAAAACGGGATGAACGCCGTTGAACGTCTCCGATACTACGGCAGGGAGCTGGAAGAGGAGGCGCCCCTCCACACAGTCGACGTCCGCCCCAGCTGGCCCGAGAAGGGAGAAATCATCTTCGACAAGGTCGAGATGAGATACCGCGCCAACCTGCCCCTCGTGCTCAGGGGCCTCTCCATGCACATCCAAGCCGGCGAGCGCATCGGCATCGTCGGGCGCACGGGCGCCGGCAAGAGCTCCATCATGAGCACCCTCTTCCGCCTCGTCGAGATCTCTGCGGGATCCATCACCGTCGACGGCCTCAACATCTCCACCATCGGCCTCCAGGCCCTGCGCTCGCGCCTCGCCATCATCCCCCAGGATCCCACGCTGTTCCGCGGCACCATCCGCAGCAACCTCGACCCCTTCAGCGAGCACACGGACCTGGAGCTCTGGTCCGCCCTCCGCCAGGCCGACCTGGTCCCCGCCGATGCCAACACGGACACGGCCTCGGCGTCGGACTCGTCCCACCTCCACCTCGACACCGTCGTCGAGGAGGACGGCCTCAACTTCTCCCTCGGCCAGCGCCAGCTCATGGCCCTCGCGCGCGCCCTCGTCCGCGGCTCCCAGATCATCGTGTGCGACGAGGCCACGTCGTCGGTGGACATGGAGACCGACGTCAAGATCCAGACCACCATGGCCACGGGTTTCAGGGGCAAGACGCTCCTCTGCATCGCCCACCGTCTCCGCACGATCGTCGGCTACGACCGCATCTGCGTCATGGACGCCGGGCAGATCGCCGAGCTCGACAGCCCCGCCGAGCTGTGGAAGAACGAGGGTGGCATCTTCAGGAGCATGTGCGATCGTAGCGGGATCCGGTTAGAGGATATCAAGGGGGCTAGGGAAGCCATGGAAGGGATTGTTAAAAGCGATGACGCCTAAGGTCGAGTGAGACATGGCTGTCTTGAAATGAGGATCACATACTAAAATAGATTTCACAGAACCGGGGGGTTTCAAATAGTGTTTTAGAGAATGAAGAAAAAAAGTCAACGGCGTTCGGGCTTTGTACAGTATAAAAAAAGCTAATCACTATTAATGGCTATGTCTAGCATCTCCTGTTTGAGATGATACCTATTCCAGAAAGGCAAAGGGAATTTTCAAAAGTGCAAAAACAAACACAGGCTGTTCCAACCTCGCTATAACAATGTGGTATAAAATATATCCAAGTCCACACAGTCCAGTCCAATCCTGTCGTTCCGAGCTATGAAATTCAACGGTACTGCCCACCCCCAAGATGCGCAGAATGTCTTGATGTCGTGGAAGGCATCTGAGAAGGAGGGAAGGCGTTCGGGTCATCGGCAAGCAAATCGTCCAGATAGGCACTAGGGGCGCGCTGGCTGTGTGGGCGGTTAAGGTTGAGCGAAGTAGCGCTCAAATCTCGCCTAGCTGTGCCAACTACTTGAGGGGAATCGGGAGGTGTGCCTTGGAATGTGTTGCGGGAGCCGCCATGACCCCTTGAATCTGGTCGAAGATTTGTCATGCTAGTAGAGTGTCGTTGCGTCTGGTTGTTGGATCCTGCTCCGGCAGCGTAGAAACCAGAGGGAAGATAGGTCGATGCCCGGTTTCCAGGGGTTGTCGAATTAGCTGCGGTGGGAGAGAAGAAGAGGTTCGAGGCACTGGGGTTGGTCATGGATGGAACTGTACCACGCGTCGTCCTTCGGGGGTTGCGACCAGGCTGAGAAAGAGACATGGTTGAGTTCTGATCAGTGTACTTGTAGAAGGGTGCAGGCGGGGCAGGGAAGCCGGCCTTGGCGTTCGTGTCGTGCTGAGCCTTCGCAGCACGCTCGACTGATCGATGAAGCAAAAGACCAACAATGATACGCCAGAGGAGAATGGCCAAGAAAAAGGCGCCCAAGATAGCTCCTACGGCGATAAAAACGGTTCCTTCCGGTGCGCGAGAATGCTGCATGAATGGGGCATTGACTGTCGGAGGAACGGCTGCAGGAGCATATGTTGGAACACCATACTTTCCTGTCAGCGACGCTGTGATGCGGATATTGCCTGAATCAGAATCCGAGGTTGAAGTTGTCTTCGAGGTAGTTGTCGAGGTCGTCGAAGTCTTTGAAGATGACGTCGTCGAGCTTTTCTCCTCCTCGGTGGTTGTGGTTTTTTTCTCCTCGCTCGTAGTGGATGCCTTGTCCGTCGTGCTGGGCTTAGACTCCGACGTCGTGGCAGCTTGCGAGCTTGGCTGATTGGAGGTTTGCTGGGCTGAGGTCTGTTTGTCGTCCCCAGATGCCGTGGTTTTGTCCGTGCTGTCTTGAGCAAGAACAGGCTTTATGGCGATGAGGGCTGTCGATAATAGGGACGTATAGAGAAGCGACCGCTTCGAGGAGGGGGCGAAGGCGGACATGATCGGTCGGTCGATGATAGAGAAGGTGGTCGAAAATCGCGTAGGTGGGTTCGGAAATCGGTCGTGAGGACCTGAGGAAACGGCGGTGATCAAGTGCTCAAAACATGCGGAAAATAGACGATATAGCGCATAGGGTTGCGGCGTGCTGGAATGCAGAAACGGATAAACGAATGGTGGCTGTGTCTCGGGGGCGACGTGGTGCGCGACGTGCGACGACCAGGAATGGCCCTTGGGATGAGTCAATTGGAGTTGCAGGGTGAGCGAAAATATATCAACAACGAAGGACTATAAGCAAGCAATGACGAGAGAAAAAGCAATGTCTGAAAAGAATGCTGGGCGCGGCGATCAGGCTAACGAAGCCATGAATGCATGGTGGTCTTGGATGGGGCGGAGAGACAAGAAGGAGAAGGGTTCAGCTGGTGGGTGGTGTTCGTGGGTGTGGGATGGAGGGAATGGGGCCCAAGAAAGAAAGACCAGACCCATCTGGGGCTCCTTCCAGTCCCTGGTTAGCGCTAAATTACCTCGACAGTTGGATCAACGAGAAAAGGAGGAGCGTGCATCTCCCAAACGCGTTAGACCGGCGTGAGCTTATGGGATGCCCTCGAACCAGGCCGCTTAGCGCGCTCCACCGTTCAAGAGCAGAAGCCGTCTGATTGGAGGTTAGCGCCCTGGCCAGGAGGAGATATCAGCGCTGTCGCATTACCTCGTGGCGGTCGTCATCAGGGATCACGCCAGTTGGGATGCGCACTGAGGCACGCGAGTTTCACTAGTGAATGTTGGAGAATTATCGATCTAGGAGGGACAGACATATTTGTATTCTCCCTGCGGTTACTCACGTCTGCAATGCAATATTAATGTTCTACCAAGGAAACGTCACCAACAGGCCGCTGCCAGCTTCCCTCGCACTCGTCCCACCTCAGCGTCAACTGTCGGACGTGATCTTGAGAGCAAGGAATCCCACCAAGTTGCTGTCAGAAAACAAGGGACCGCTAGGTCACCTCGACAATCAAATAACAATGCTTCCTATTATGTCATTGTGGATAAAACTATAGCATAACTACTCAACAATTTATTATTCTTGCAAACTATCATCTATTAATACTGTGGCGTGTAGAAAGTTGAGGTACAGAAACCCCTCTAAAGTCCCTGTTATTCTGACGCCCGCTTTGCCCACATCCCGAATCACGAATCACAAATAAAAACGCAGATGCTCCGGACAACCATAGATTCGTCATCCTGCTTGCGTGGTATTACCATCCCCGATTCTCATTGTTTCGGACGCTATCGCTGCATGTGATGTGTTGCTACAGAGACAATCCGGCGGTTGCCACCACTCTATGTATTAGCGTCCGGGGCCACTGCAAGCCGCGGAGAGCGTGGCCCAATTGACCTGAGCTGAGAAGGGGTCCGTATTATATGCACCTCCCATCTTTCCCGATTTAAGTCGACAGATACTCATAATAATGAAGAATCGGGAGATTGGGCCGGCCCAGCTATTCTCAGTGTCCTTTCGAGGTTTGCCAAGGCATCGATTATCACCAATGGTTGCAAGATGCCTCAGAAGCCATAGACTCTCCACTCTGTAATGGGCACGTGACTAAGCACTTCGACCGTGCCAAGCCCCAGCCTGTCTAGGCTGAGGCGTCATAGCACATCAGCAGGCATCATCAACCGCAAAGCTCTCGACACCTATCTCGCTGTTCTTATCGCCCTGCCCTTCGACCGTTCGCAACGCCCTAGTCCACCCCTCAACAACCCTATAATCGAAAGGACTCATAATGGAGGAGGACCGCCTCTGGAAGTTCAGCAAGCCCGAGTGGCTGAACAGCGCCTGGGCTCGCAACACAGGCGTCTATAGCGCTGGCGCTCTCGTACGTTTCCCAAGCCGATTCTTGTGACAAGCCTGCCATCTATCGCCAGACATTCGCGGTGCGGAATAGAAAGGCTAGCGACTTTTGCGCTTAACTTTAGAATGCGGACTGACCTGTATTCTCTCACAACATAGTTCGCCGTAGCTTTCTACGTGATGCTGGACTCGGCAGTCTGGTCGGGATCGACGATGAACGCCTCCGATGTCCACGTCAAATTCGTCGACTGGCTCCCCCTCATCTTCTCCAGCTTGGGAATGCTCATCATCAACTCGGTCGAGAAGCAGCGCCTGAGCGCGGATTCGTTCAGCTACAGCGGCTCCGGCGTCGCATGGAAGGCCCGCGTCGTCCTCTTCCTCGGTTTCGCTGCGCTGGCTGGCGGGATGGCCGGCGGTGTGACCGTCTTTGTGCTCAAGTTCGTTGTTCCGGGAGTACAGATGCCGGCCCTTAGCATGGGCATTGAGAACGTCGTTAGCAATGCGCTCGTCGGACTCAGGTAAGCACAGGCCATCAAATGCGATTTTTGCCCGTACTGACGAGTTGAAAAAGCTCGGTTGTTCTCTGGGTGAGCCAGAACATGGAGGACGAGTACTCCTACAACCTCTCTCTGTAGATTCAAGGCTGAGAGTTCCTTGAGAGACTACATCACCAGATATTGCCTCAGTTGTTGGGTAACCGGCGTCTTCCACACTTTTCTTTTACATGTTCGTCGGGGGCATTAGTTTGTATATTATATTGCAATGCAATACAAGTAGGTGATGGGATGAAACCAAGACATTAGATGTCTGGTTTTCCAGGGGCTTGTGAGGATGGGGAGCAGTCAGATGCGCTACAGCTCCGAGGTTCCAGTGTTCGAATATTATTAAGCCAGTTTATTTGTTATTTCATCATTTCATCGACGGCTCTTAGTTGGTAGTTTTCTGCATAATGAGCGATTGAGTTGTAGACCATATCCCGTCGATTTCTGCAAGTCGAAAGAACAACTTACCTGGATAGGCGATGAACACTGATCTCACTCCACCGCTCAATGCCTGTTTAGGTGGTGAGCAGCAGGTTGCCCCTCCAAACCTGCAGGCTACACTTACCTATCAACAAAAACACGACCAGCAATCGATTCTTTTTTTACTTTCTCTCCCTACTAGAGAAGTCGCCAATTATCATTAATTCAATTGATATTGCGCCCATACTTGGATTTCGATAGCTTTTCCACCATCACCATGGCTGACCGCAGCCGTGGAACGACGACAAACTTCAACAGCAGCACTGGAAGCACCTCATCCCGTCCCCGGGCCAGCGCCACTCTGGCCGGGGTTCGTCGCAACCTCTTTCAGACTCAGAATGCAAAGCCACGGCGGCCTGTAGCTCCATCCACACACTCTGCCGAAACGCTGAGGATTGAGGCCGAAGCGCCAGCCCCAGACACCTCAGAAATCGTCGTTCGCGATCGCCATGGAGAGATCGAATTCGGAGAGCCCCCTTCCCCCGATCTAGAGGATGAAGAGGAGTTGCCGCTAGACGACCAGCAGGAAACGGAGCGTGAGTATTGATGGGGCTTGGGATGAACTCGGATACCATAGATAGATACTGACTGGTTATTAGAGGAAAGGCAAAGACTAGCAGACGCAGTTAAGCACCATCAAATCAACAGCAGCTCCATGGCCGAACAACCAGAAGGTAGGCCAAGTCCCATTTGGAAAACTTATTCATACATTTATTTTTCTAATCAACAAAACCCAGAACTCCTCGAGGCCGTGAGGGCAAGTCTCCGTGCTAAAGTAGCCGCTCTCTCAGAAGACAATTGGATGTATGAGCCAGAGGAGCAAGTTCGCACGCTCTGAGAAACTCACCTTTCATGTCTTGACTTACTTTTCTTCCTACCCTATTCTATGGTGAAGCGCACAGGCCGCTCTTTAATATAGTGTACTTTGTTTAATCTAACCCAACTGGTGCCGGGCCGTCATTCCCTCGCAGGGTCCTGCGCTGGGGCTGTTGGGCGCCGCCAGCACCTCCGCCAAACAGACCGCTCATCATGTCCATCAACGGGTTGCTCTGCCTTGGCCTCACGATGCCGAAGTACATCTCTCCAATGAGGTCCAAAGACTCCGACCACGCGCCGTCGGTTTCTGAGAGTTGTGTTGCGTACCTGGAAATAAGGCCCTTGAACACCTCTGGAGCTCCCCTTTGAATTGCAAGGAGTAGCAGACCAAGGAAGTTCAGAAGGGGTAGGCTAGGAAAGACACGAATGTCGGAGCCCGAGCTAGATACTAACTGGACGCCGAGGCTATCGTTGTCGTCGCTCAGGGCGCTTGTGAAGAGGCGGTAAGAGGTGTTGGCGGCGCGGACGTTGCCCACTAGAAGATAGGGAATAATGGCACGGGCGGCGAAGTGCGCAGCCAGGTGTACCTCTCCTTCCTTGTACCATTCATATTCCATCTTGACAAGTACTTCCGGCGAATCTCTCGTTCCAATGATCAGGTGTTTCTCTGCCTCGTATGTGTCGTGCTCCTCGGCAAACAACGAACCCGCAACATGGTGAAGCTCGGGATCACCGGCAGGATACTCGCCGAATTTCGATGACCAACTAGGATAGAGGGCAACAGGTCAGCCGAATACTCGAGAATGATTATATTCTTGCTAGAATGAATTCCTTACGCCATCAACTCTGTGATAAATGTCTTCCTCGTCGGCTCTCCAGCTTCAAACAACCGAAGGCAAGTCAGAAGTCTGCCCTTGGCGGCAGCATCCGGCTTCAGCTCGGCCTGCTTGTACACATCCACCATCATGATGCACAGGTCGCCTCCACTGCCGCCCTGCCCGGCTTTCAGCAGCGACTGTGCAACATTGGAGAGGATGTCGATGGCGGCGGGCCAGTTCTGAGTCTTGATGTAGCGGGAAGCCGCCACGCGGGTCTGCTGCTGGGCTTCGTAGAAATCGCCATCGGTAATCTTCTCCTGCAAGCGGGCGACGATTCGGTCGACTTTGCTGGCCATGGTGGGCTGGGGTCCTGCTGGGGATGTTGCGAACAAAAGGAATGACGATGCTGATTATTTCGGGTCCAGCTGGAGAGGTGACACCTAATGTTGCCCTCCACTGGCGGGGTAGCGCCTAAATCGAGAGCTCAGGCCTTGATCTTAGCTTCAAGCTCCAGGTGGGGGAACGATCAACCAGCTACCCTAGATATAGAAATGCCTTGTACCGGCTGCGTCGACACTTCAACTTCGAAATTGAGGAGTCCAGGGGAAACATATTATTGGCTTCTCAATGTGTAGCATCGGTTGGAGCCTCTTACTACTTGTTAAATTCCACTTTTTAACTAATGCGTTCTTGTGATAGCTTGTAAGTGCATCAGCGGGCCTTCAGTGCTGAGAAACTTAAAGTCTTTTGAAAGAGGCTTCTGTTTTCCGAAATGATTATCTCAAACGACTCACTTCCTCTGCTTTTCGTTTCCATAGCTAGGTACTTTTATTAGACCCAGAATTTTCAACCGCCCCAACACCATCCGTTGCCTTTCAATAACCTTGCTGTCTACCAACCAATAATCCACTCTATCGTGAATTCAAAACCCCATCATTCTTCCTCGGACTCTTCAGATTGAGCTTCTGTAACCTCTCTGCCCTGGGCCTCAGTTTCTTCAATCCAACCACTTCCGGGCACTGGCACTGGTTCAAACTGAACTTCAGGTTGTAGTTCTTCTTGGGCCTCTTCAGCTCGAGTCTCTGAAATTACTTCACCCTGAGTCTCAACCTCTTCAATCCAATCACTTCCGGGCACTGGCATTGGCTCATCCTGAACTTCAGGCTGTAATTCTTCTTGAGCTTCTCCAACTTGAGCCTCTGTAACCACTCCGCCATGGGCCTCAATTTCTTCAATCCAACCACTTCCAGGCACTGGGACTGATTCGTCCTGAACTTCGAGCGGCACTTCTTCCTGAGCTTGAGTCTCTGAAACTGCTTCACCCTGAGTCTCAACCTCTTCAATCCAACCACTTCCAATCACTGGGGCCGATTCATCCTGAACTTCGAGCGGTACTTCTTCCTGAGTCTCTTCAGCTTGAGGCTCGTCTTCGAATTCTCCCTCCATGAAAGTTTGCTCGGCAAATTCAAATTCATCGTCCTCTATTTCATCCCACTCAAAATCAAACTCGTCATCCACTTCGACGATGTCTGAATGTTGAATTAAATACCGATTGCAGGACTTTCGCACGTCACTGCCTAGCTCATCAAGTTTCTTGAGGCTCTCCACGGCTTTGCGCTTGCGCCGTATGATCATTTCTCTGTCTCGAGCCCACATGTCCGGCTCCCCAGACTCTGCTAGATAGATGATCCTTCGATGGCGAAAGTTAATGGAAATATTCACACCGTTTCTTCGGTTAGTGAATTGGCCCATCATTACTTTTACATATAGCTGCTGAGGCTGCAAGTTTCGGATGGCTTCGAGGATAGGGGATTTCTTGTCAAAAAAATTCACGAATGTGAAGCTATCATTCTGGAGTCGACTGGGCCGAATTTTGATTACCAGAGTCATGATATTCGGCGTGATAATTGTGGGAGTGCGAGCTTCTTCTCGTCCAACCCCATGCTTCGCTTTTCGCTCACTTTTCTGTTTCTTTTTCGAGAGTTCAGATGCTGTGGTGCTTGGATATAAGGGGACTAAATCCTTGTCGACAGAAGGGGGGTTGCTTAAGATCTCGAGGGCCTCCTGCATGCTTCTCAATGTATCGTCACCACATCGGTTGTGTTCAGCCTCGATAATAACATGTCGAAAGAGATGGTGGAATTTGCCAACATTGATGTATGGCTCATCGAGCTCCTTTTTCTTTCTCCTTGATCTTGCTCGCCGTGTGCTGCTTTGAGGGTTATGCTCTTGGTAATCTCCATCATTGGGATCGTCGCCTTCTAGGCTCCCAGTAGTAGAAGAAGGAGAATCAAAAGCTACCAGTGCGTCGAGGTTGATGGGGGGTGGGCAGATGGCTGGGGGATCACGAAGGCGATAGAGAAATATGTTTTCGCTGTATAGGATTCGTGCCGCTTCTGGATAAAACGACTTGTTCAACCTTAGAACGCTAATGTCTAGCGACGGCCTGTCGGTGAAAGCCGGCCCTGTTTGCCGAGTGTTCCCATGCTTGTAAACCCTTTTCCAGCCATCAAAAACTGCGATTGGCATATTGGACCGCAAAAGATATCTGTAAATCTCTTCCCGTATCTCGAGAGGAATCGGAAAAATTCGGATACCTTCGTCTTCAACGACTTGTGTTAAGCGGGTATCGTTCTCGAGTTGGATGTCATCGTCTCCCGGAAGGACGAAGAAGCTGGACTTCGGAGGTCTCTTTTGAGGCCTCAAGCGAGAGCTAGAGGACATTCGGTCGCTCGCATTCCAATCCGCATCAGATGGGTCAGGTATGGATGGAGGAGCAGCTTTTCTGGGAACTCTGGGGGTTCCATCTCGGCGAGAGATTTGTATTGCTGCAATGTCTGCATCTGGTGCCCAAGCGAATCGATTAGGATCCAAACCATTCGCTCCGAAATCACCGGGATCTGGCATCTCCAGTGACGACTCTCCTACCAGATTGCAAAGCTCTGATGGATCTACTTCGGGTGGTCTGTTTTTCATTCTTTTCTTGAACAATCTTTTGTTGGTTATGACAAGTTCATCGTCTGACTCGGATTTCCTCTTTCTTTCGCCCGCCCCATAGTTCATTGATGGTAGGTTCATTGTTTGAGGAGAGGTGGGTAATGTAGATTTATATTCTCTCACGAGCACCAAAGTTAGACGTTTCGATGTGGAGGGGAAATGCTTGGTTGGAGAAGGTTCTTAGCAAAGGGAGGAAGGTTTTAATGAGAGCGAGAGATGCAAGGAGGGAACTGGAAGTTGTGGTGAAGAAAAGGGAAGAGTGTTCACGAAGAGCATCACAAGTTGGTGGAGGATTTATGTATGCTAGAGGAAGAAGAAGGCAGGTACCTATTCATACGAGAGAAGGAAGGAGCCGGTGGCATGCTGGCCTAATACAGAAGCAAACTACGAATATTGTGATATTTTTTAAAAAAGCATTATTTTGTAAAAATCTAACAGGACTGGTGTCGACAACTAAGAAAATGAAGATTGTGTAGCTGTGAGTATACTTGGAGTTGAGGAGGCGGGAGGCACGTTAGACGAATGGCCGATAGGCTTATCAATGCCCGATGCAGCCCCGCTATGAAGTTTGGGTGGGTTGAGCCCCGCCAACTTTTTTTTCATGTGCTGCCTTGATGGTTTATCTGCCAAATTCCAACCAAAGACTAGAAATACCGAAGTTGACCGGCTTCACTCGAGGTGGCACCATACATTTCCCAAGATGGCTCGAGGCAAGTGGATGTAAGAAAGACTGCCATATTGTGAAGAAGCCGTCTCCAAATCCACATGACTAACTCGGACTTGTAGCGACAAGAAGACGGCGCAGCATTTTACGCTGGTGCACCGGCCGCAAAATGATCCTCTTATCCACGATGAAGATGCACCCTCTATGGTGTTGAACCCTACGCAAACGTCGTCGCAGAAGAAAACTGGCGCATCGCAAATCAAACATCTCGATGATCTCGCTTCCGAGCTGGGCTCGGATGCGCAGCACATTCGCGACAACGAAGGTGAAGCAGCCAGTTATGGCGTTTACTTCGACGACACAGAATATGACTACATGCAACACTTGAGAGATCTCAACTCCGGGTCGGGAGGACAGGTCGTCTTTGTTGAGGCCGACGCGACGGGAAACAAGGGCAAGAAGAAGCAGAAGCAATCGTTGGATGAGGCGCTAAGAGACATGAGTCTGGATGGCAAGTCTGGGGTCGATTTGGATGATGAGCTGTTGCCCTCTAAAAACCTCACGAGGTTAACATACCAGGCCCAACAGAGTGTTCCGGACTCCATCGCTGGTTTCCAACCTGATATGGACCCCCGTTTGAGAGAGGCGCTTGAAGCACTGGAGGATGATGCTTACGTCGAGGATGACGATGACATATTCAAGGAGCTGACCAGCGACGGGAATGAATTGGATGATTACGAGTTCGAAGACTCACAACACAATGGAAATTATGAAGATGATGATGAGGGATGGGAATCCGACGACACAGCAAAACCAACGAAAGAATTCAAGGACGAGGTGCCGAATCTCGTCAAGGTCGAGGCACAGCCCGAGCAGGGACCCTCTCAGGACTGGATGGAAGACTTCAAGCAGTTCAAGAAGGAGCAGAAGAGTGGGCGAGCCCCAGCTGCCCCCTCTGAATTGCAATCCCAATGGACAACCACGACAAACGGCGGCCGTCGCAAGAAGCGGAAAGGTGCCTTGACGGACAACTCAAGCTATTCGATGACATCCTCTTCGCTCATGCGCACCGACCAATTGACTCTATTGGACTCAAGATTCGACAAGATTGAGGAACAATACAACGAGGATATGGATGACATGGCCTCAATGTCCGCTGTATCGACGGCTTCTAGCGTCACAGGGCCTGTCCGTGGGGACTTTGATGGGATCATGGACGAATTCTTAGGGAACTTTACAAAACCCGGAAAGCGAACATCTAAAAAGACCAAGGCACAAACAGGGCTAGAACAGCTCGATGAGATTCGGTCGGGATTGGGACCGCCCCGGATCCGTGGCCGTGGGTGAGATGAGACACGATGGTAAATATAAAATAGGATAAAAATATTGAATGACAATGAATGACAGCAAGATAATGAAAGAAATGTGCCCCACTTGACACTCACATTCAGACGCGTGAAGGCCAAGGATGCTGAGAAGTAGCTGAGAAGTAACTGATGAGAATCACAGTGACTGTCTTTGGGGGTGGTTGGATCATCACGTGATGCCCAAGGACAATGGTTGACTGTAGACCCACCGGGGGTTGGGATCCGTTCAAGCTACTGATGGATGGAGCAACAATAAGCTAGCTTCTTGAATGCCGGTGAAACGTGATTCCATTCAACAACTTCACTTTTTACTTCGCGTCCTCGCCCAAGTCTCCGTTGCTCCTCGAACACGACCGAATCATTAGACACCTATTTCTTTCTCCTAATGTGCAAACGATCTCTTGGATGAGTGCGACGTCTGTTGCATCATCGGCCAAATGATCAGCAATCCTTTCTCCCAGTCGGCGCAGAGCCAGCCAGCAGTTAGCAACCCCTTTGCTGCTGCTGCGGCGAAGACTGGCAAAAACGAACTCAACCCATTTGGTTTTGGTGGTGCAGGCGACTCGGCACGAGAAAAGCAGAACAGCAAGCGAAAGGGGGGACTAACAGACCAGAGCGACAACCATGGATCGAAGCGCAAAGGTGGGAAGCAACCTCGCGACAAAGATGCCGCGGTGAGCGACAGCGACGCCAGCAAGCGAAAGCGCCGCGATGGCAATCAGAAATCTGCGCCGAAAAATTCCCTGCCCAATGGCAACGCGGGCGCAAAGAAGTTTCAGACTCGAAAGCCCCGGCATGAGAACGGCTCTGTCGCAGGCAATGCTACTGACGGATCTCGACCGAGCTCCTCCTCCAGCCAGGCGTCCAACGAGATTGAAGGCACCACCGAGCCACCAAAGGTCCCAAACACATCCGATCCGCATGCGAAAAAAGTGTACACCCGACTGCACAGCGATGGGATTAGCCCACCAAACTGGCCATCGCGTCCAGGCGATCCTCGGAATAAGTCTGCCATGGCCAAGTTTAGAGAGCGGTACGAGGGCTATCGCACAAAAGTACGCGCGTCGTTGACCAAGGCTGATTTAATCGACGACCCGACGAAGCGGAGAACTCTGGAAGATGCCATCGTCTTTCGCGGCATTTGCGAAGACATGTGTCCTGAATACGAAAAGATCCAACGCATTACCGAGCTTGATGTGCTCGGCCCTGAGAAGGACCCTAAGGACAATGTCGCTGCTACCCAAAGAATGGTCAAGAAATTGGCCCGCTCGGCTGCTGGCCAAGAGGCACCGTTGCCAATGGATGTACGTTCCGTACCTGCATTGCGGCGAACCCTGGACTACTTGATCGATGACCTCCTGAAAAACGACCAAAACTTGCCTGGGCTTCACGGATTCTTGTGGGATCGCACGAGAGCTATTCGCCGTGATTTTGCCTTCTTTTCTTCCTTGTCGCCTGACGAGCTGAAAACTCAAGTATATGTCCTGGAAAACATCGCACGATTTCACGTCACAGCACTTCATCTACTCTCTCAGGCTGGCAAAAAACCTGAAGACTTTGTTGAACAACAGGAGCTTGAGCAGCTTGGAAAGGCTCTCTTGTCGCTCCGTGACCTTTACGATGATTGCAATGAGCAGGGGATCGCATGCGAGAATGAATCAGAATTTCGAGCCTACTACCTTGTTTTCCATGCCCATGATCCAAATATTATGGAAGTTTTACAGAGGCAATGGAGCCCACACCACTGGAAGAACTCGGATGAAGTTCGTACAGCAGTTTCGCTCGTGGAAGCTCTGCAGAACACCAAAGATTTCCATGGCCCGCTAAAGCCTGCCCCTGCGCTGGCTGCAGGTGGTCCTCTGCACTCCTATTTCCGGATAGTAGAGGACCAGGCGGTGTCTTACACCATGGCTTGTTTTGCCGAGTGTCATTTTGCTTCTCTTCGCCGCTCTATGCTCATCGCCGTTGTAAGGGCGCTGGCCCGGCCCAAAGACGAGACGAAAGATGTCAACGCCGAAGCTCTGAACCGCTTTCTCCGATTCGATACCATCGATGAGGCAATCGAGTTCGCGGAAGCCCATGGACTGGAATTCGAAGCAGATCCAGAGGCTCCAAATGATGCCGGGCGGCGGCGGATTTTGCTCAAGCCCAGGCAGCAAGTTCCTCATATTCGGTTACAGCATCAATACTCTCAGAAACTTGTTGAACAGAAGCGAGGCTCACATACTCTCCCAAACGTCATCCATAATACAATATTCCCCAGCGGCCATGCTCCTGTAGCAAATGGTCTTCAAACCAAATCAGCTCCTACTGGCCCACAACCACCAATCAACACAGCCAGTTCGACCAAACCTGCTATTTCCAATGGCATTCCACCACCGACTGCCCCGTCCATTTTCCAAGCACCAGCACAGGCCGCCAGCTCTTTGTCCACCGGGGTTGGATTTACAGGTAAGAATCTGGCCTCAAAGACGCTACTTGTTCGGCGCCATATACTTTTGATTTCTGGGTGATATTGGCAGTTTGCTGAGTCGAGGATTTCAACCCATTTGAGGTATTGAACTATATGCCACGTCAGTTTTTGCTAATCTACTTGCAGGATTCCCGGCACCATCCCAGCCAGCACCAGGATTCAGCTTTCCCAAAACACAGCCCCCAGCAGCTAATGCGTTTGCTCCTTCGAAACCTTCAGACACGAAGCCATTGTTCAACCCCTTTGCCAGCGCTTTTCAGCCGTCTTCAGCCCCCACAGGTATCGCAGGTACCCATCCAGGAGCGACTGGGGGTTCACAATCTGCAACAGTGTCTGGAACACCGGCGTCCAATCCATTTGCCAATGCTATCCAGGCACAACCTCCTGCTAATTCATCACCGCCAAAATTCCCATCGCCATCATTTCAAAACCCACTCGCCCCGACAAGTACCACCACCCCCTTGACAGACGTGAAAACAGGGCCACCTGCCTCAGCCCCAGGATCTGTACCGAGTACACTGTCTAGTGGGCAATTGGCCTTGGGTACCTCGATTCAATCCACGCCTGCATCATTACTTCCTGCAAGCGGTTTGCTTCCGCCATCAGTTGGCCAAAAGCCATCATCACCTCTACTCAAATCTTCTGGTTTTAATTTCAAACCTGCGGATGATGCTAGCCAGAAACCCCTATCTACCATCTCGGAGCAGAAACCTGAAATCCCCAGTCAGAAGGGAGATCTATTTCCTTCTCTGCAGGCGGCGAAACCTGGGACAACACAGACAGCAGACATTCCTAAACCAGCTATTGACGCTGGCAGTGCCTTATCTGGCTCGTCAGACGTAGCTAAATCGCTGCTAGGAACTGCATCTTCGCCACAACAGACCTTGACAGCCGCCCCTCCTTTGAAGCCTGCTTCCCCTCCACCGCCTCCAAGGGACTTGATGGGAGATTTCACCAAATGGTTTGTGTTGGGTGACAAAGGTCTTCTCGAAGAATTTCAGACCTTCGTTGTAGAGGATCTTGTGAGAGAAGTGTTTGATACATTTACCAAAGAGAACGAAGAACAGAAACGGCGAGAAGAGGAGGAAGCAGCAAACGCTGAGGCGGATCGCTGGCGTATTTACAACCTGCGGCTAAAGTTTTTCTACAGATGGAAGAGAAACGCTCGCAGCAAGAGACAACGCTTCCTTCTCCGGAGCGGACGAGAACAGATGCGAGAGTATTGGGAGGCTCAAAAAGAAGCCGAGAGAGAAGCAAAGTTGGAGGAGGAGCGGAAAGCAATCAAGGAAAAGAAGGAATTGGCTCGTAAGCCTGATGTTGATCATGCCGCCGAACTGCTGAGTGTGGTCAAGAGGCGTCGCGTGAGCAGAGCTCGTGAAGAGGAAAACCTGTTATCTTCCGGGGTCCTCTCAGGAGTGACAAACGAACGGGAGGCAGCGGCAAGGATCGTGCGACACGACAGCCCTGGATCGGATGCTGTTTTCGAAAAACCAGCAAGGCCATCTCCATCGAAAGTCGGGGTTAAAGAAGGGGCAAAGTCTAGGGCCCTTCGCGAACAATTACTCGGTATCCAACCTGCTGGGTTCCGCCGCTCGCTGCCCAGCTCCTCAGTTAGGAGCAGCGCAAGCCCAACACCGCCCAAACACGTTAGTAGGGTTTCGGAGCGGTGGCGACTTAAAGCGATGGGATTTGTCCAGATGCCCGATGGCTCTGTCTTGCCCGAGTCGATTGCCGATGAGGTCTTGGCCAGCGGCAAGAGGTTCTGGACAGGTGCCCGGGCATCATCATACAACCAGTCAGCATTCAATGTGTCAAGGGCCCACGCGTCTTCGATTTCACGACCCAGAGCTTCATCATATAGCACGCCAAATCACAATGACCCGACTCCTGCAAGCCAAGCCTCTGGCCATCTCACCCCGACAACCCCTCAGGCCGACCATGAGATTAGCCACATTAAGAGAAAAAGATCATTCAATGACGACGGCGAGCTGTCAATGCCAGATGCTGAGAAGTCGCGGCCGCATAAGCGGACTGTGAGTGATTTAGTCGATATCGCAAGCAAGGTCAGAAGCCAGCACCAGGAGCTCAAAGCCATGCTTGATGATATGATGGGGGACGATTTAAGCGAGCAACTCCAAAGCGAAATCAACAGCAGAGGGACGACGCCATGGCAGGAAAGGTTTTAAATTAAATCTTGAAACAAAACGCGCTCGCATTTCCTCGAACGAGAGGCAGACGTCAAAATGGAGACGTATTACAATACGATGGAGGAGGTTCAAAGACGGAACTAGAAGGAGATATATACGACAGAGTCCTGCCTCACTATCCTTGGGTCTATACCAGGCCCTTAATATCACTGGATTTTGGGGTAGTAGAAATCGGCACAACAAAAAGATACCCTTCAACAAACCCGGTTCTTCTTGACAGGGTTTGTTTTGGCTAGTTGGGATAACTTGTTTTTTTTTCGGTTCCTTGCTCTTCAAGCGATTTTTGTATTCCCACTATAGGATCAGGCTTGGTTTTTCTTTTGTTTCAGCATGGAGTAGCTAGCATAAGCATGGATAAGGGATTTACACGAAAGAAATGTGGATAGAACAATACGAAGCACGGTCAACGTGTACAACCGTCCAACCTACGCACTTTTTCGCAACGGTGAAGCATGTCATGAAGCTTTTGAAATGTGGTATCATTAACTCGAAATTACAAACAATGCCTGTTCTATAACACGGGCTCCCAAACAATCCGAGACCCATGCTCCTGATAAATCTCTATTCTAGCTCAAGGTCGCCATGCTGGCGGCGGGGGCTGCGAAACCTGGAAGGGGCTGAACTCGGAGGGCAGCAAGACCGGGCTGGACTTCTCCTCGTCCAAGTCGTCGCCGGCAGGCCGAGTCTCCGCCGCGGGTGCCGCATCTCTGGACCATCCGCGGCGCGGGCCCCAAGGCTGGTAGGAGTAGCCCCGCTGAGTATTGTAGAGGGACTTCTGGACGACCTTTTGTCCAGTGTACAGGGCGGTGTCCCCCGGGGTCGAGATGGCGAGCCCAGGGATGAAGCCGGCAGGTGGGTGGCCGTCCATGCTTGAGTACTCTGGGGGCTCGGCCGAGTCTGTCCGGGCACGGATGAGAGGGGCCGTGGAGGAGACGGAGATGGAGGAGATGGATGAGGAGCCGGACCGGGAGGGAGGCTGCTCCTGCTCGGACGAGCGTGTGAGGCCGGAGGCGAAATGGGCTGTTGGGGGTGGCGAGACCAGGGCTGTTGTGCTCGAGGTGGGAGTCGTGTACCAGTTCGAGGGGGCGTGCCACTGGGCGGTGACTGGGTTTGAGTTGAGAGCAGCTCCGGGGTCGATGTATTCCCCCTGATGATGCTCGACCATTTCCCTCTGCGTGGCTGCGAGCTCGCGGGGGAACCGTGGGGTGCGTGGGGTGACGCGGGTCTGGCAACGGAAGGAGAGAAGCGATGACCGGCTGGGGGGCGGTGATCTCTGACGCCTGCGCATGAAGAAGAAGACGCAGCCGGAGACTAGGAGGAGGAAAGCTACAATTCCGATGACGATGCCGGCAATGGCAGCGGGCGTGAGTTTGCCTTTATCGGATTGGCTGGCATCCTGGATTAGTGTTTCGCTGAAGACGCTGTCACTGAGACCGAGAAGGCTCCCGGGAGACGGCTGGCTCTCACAGCCAGTCTTGACAGCGACGAGAACTATTTGCAGATTTGGGTGAGCCAAGAGACCAAGACTGCGACGGGATGGGTCAAGACTAGGACGAACTTACAGTTTGAAAGGTACTTGTGCGAGTCGCTCGACTGGACACACCGAAGACAGGTCTCAACCGAATGTGAAAGATCAGTAGATCCGTCCACAGCACAATAGCCATCTGGGCTTTTGCTCGTCGCATCATTCGTGTCCGACTTCAAGACAGCATCAAGTCCATCACAAGGACTATCCTCCATACAAGAGCCCAGAGTTTCCCCTTGGTCATCGAGATGATCAAAAAGGCAGGAATCGAAAATATATCGAAGGTGGTCTGGGTATTCGGTGAGCTCGCATATCACAAGGTGATTAGACGGCATGCCACTTACAAAGAAACCACTGCTGATCGGTTTCGTCACCCTTGGAGAAGGAACTCTCTTGCAGGCAGGTGAGGCAAGACTGGAATAACTGGCCGTTGTATTTGCTAACAAAATCCTGGTCCTTGCAGGCGAGGCCATATGAAGAGCTTGGGCTGAGATGAGGTGCGCCAACACAGCTTGAGGCGCATGGAGAGCCAGCGGTGACTTGAAGAGAGGCTGCAGGGCGAGGGAACAGAAAAAGGAAAAGAATAACGCCTGCTACCGACACATTTAAACGAGAAGTGGTCATGTTGGGCCAGACACAATCTCAAAGAACATAGACCAGCTATGGAAGGGCCATCAGAGGCTCACTCAGAGGGCTGGAATCGAAAGTGAAACGAGACGAACGGGTAGAAGAAAATAAAGTATGCCAGATACCTATTATCGAAAGGGAAATGACCAGAAAGAGAAACAGGAAGGAGAACTAGAAGAAAAAGAAGCAAAGAAACATTAGTAGCATAATGTGAAGGGAAAGAAGTAAACGAATTAAGACAGTTGGTCCCGTAAGGCTGGGGAAGAAGGCGAAGCAGAGGCATCCCGTCAATCCAGTCATTCACATATCCACACCTCCATCCCGGTATGAGAAAGGTGAGGGAGGAAGGGGGTGTGCCAAGGACGGCCTGCCCAGTGAGAGGTCAACAATTAAGCCATACGCAGCCCGGCGGCATCGCATTAACCTACCGGTTCGGCCTGTGGTCGCGTGTCAGGCAACCAGCCGTCCAGCCATGAAACTGGGAGGCTTCATAGCGCTTCCGATGCAGTGTGGATGCACTGTGCCTGCATGCCGTGTCACAGTCTGTTTCCATACATATGATGAAGTCAGATGCAAGGGTCCGGGCGCCAGCTGGACACTACTCAGTCTGATACGTAGCCAGACTCCGAAACAATGCACGAGACGCCCAATCACAGGCTGGATGCTCAGCGGGCGCTTAATAGTGCAAGCATCAGACACCGGGTGCAGGTTACAGAAAAATACACAGCAAGAGGACTAAACTCGTGAGCTTTGGGGGCGGGCGCTTAATCCCAACAGTCTCACCCGATTCCCCTCACCCTCACTCTCACACCGGCACAAAGTTCATTTATATCGCTGCCATGGCGAGCACAGCCTGCTTTCCCATATGGATTTTCTTGCAGACTTAGACTCTGTCTGTCTAACGCACACAATATCATTTCTGATTTCTGAGCAGATGCTGTTGGTCTCATCGTGGCTAATGAGCCCATTGGCTCATGCTGCTTGACGCCGAACCTAGAGTGTTCACTCACCCGCTTCACTTAACTTGATACCCGGCATGGAGTTCTATTAATAAGTTTAGTACTTTGGATCGAACCGCGAGCAGATCTCCGGCGACACGATGCACCTTCGCGCTGTGTGCTACCCAGCTGGAGAACCTGTGATACAATCCAACGGCCCAAAACGCGGCCGCATCAAGTCGATTATCCAATAGCAACCAGCGGTTGGCTCATTAAGTACTTGCTTTATTTATACAGTATCTGCACATCTATCAATACATCTGTTGACCGGTTAGGGGATTCATCATCTGACTATGGATGTGCATACATTGGGTGCACGCCGCTTCCCTTGCAAGACCTCCTGAGTACCTGTTCCCGCTATTAGAGCAAAGATTGAAAGGATACATGCTAAATCGTCATCTTTCATATTACTTGTATGTTCGTGAGGAAGCAGAATACTCCCTTTTTGGCCACTCCAAACTCCAGTTCAAAGCAAAGCTCCCAGTCAGCAATAGACAGAATCACAGCGCCGTCTTTCCGGCATTTGCTGAATACAACCCAGGTAACTCAGCACCTGAATCTTCATCTAGTGTAGGCGCGATACGGACGGCTTTCGGCCCTTCTCGTACAGCCATTTATTGTTCAATCCCACACTTGTTCGCTTGCCACCGCTTGGGCTGGGCGAGCCGGGGTCTGAAAACAGGTTGGCGGAGGCATTAGCTCCAAACGGGCTTGCACTGCCGAATGATGACCTCCTGCCGTTGACTGAGGTATCAAGACCCTTCTTGAACAATGGGCTGCCGATAGGACTGTACGGTGAGCCTGATCCTCCTTGAAACGCAGGACTCCCTCTCCCAGAGAGAGGGGAGCTGGCAAAGCTGCCTCGGCTCCCCACCGATCCTGCAATCGAGGGCGTTCTTGAGTATCGTGGAGGTGTGCTGAATTTCGCATCTGGGGTTGGGGCAGCAGAGGACGGGGGCAGGCCCAGAAGCTCTCTTTGCGCGGGAGTCAAGGCAATATCCGAGAGGTCGTCCTCCTTTCGAACTAATGGTAGACATGCGAGGATGATGTTGGTGAACGGGATCAGCTGGAGGAGGAGCCATGCCCAGTCTAGATACGTTTGAAAAGCTACCGGCATCCTATTCCCGTGAGTTAGCACGCCAATCCACCTGGATACTTGTGAGTGCTAGGTTTAGACCACCCGTACAAATTCTGGCAAAGCTTGAGTTTCGAGAATGCTTGGAGCAGCCAAATGGCGACAATCCCCCCTGCACTGAATGCAATCTGCCTAATGTTCTTGTCGGAGAACGTGGACGCGTTCCTGCGGCGAGTGATCTCGTCAAGGCGCGGATGTCGCCATGTTCCAGGGCTGTCGGTGATGGAAGGATCTAGCACGGTCCGTGTCTTTACTGGAGTTGTCGTTGCCATCCTTGCTTGGCGATGTATTACTGCGTTGAAACGAACGGCTTTTCGATCATGTGCCTACTGCTTTCTGTGAGCTCTTGTTTCAACCGGGCATGATTCCAGTGTATGCTCACCCTCAATATCCTGCGAAGAGAAAAAAGCAAAATTCAAAACTGGACAATTTTTACTTCTCTAGTATCCTGCTGGTTAGTAACTGCACGAATGGCCCGAAGCCGGTGTTAAGCTGGTTGCTCCCTTGGGTGCTGGTTTGTTGATGTTTGTGAACCTGGCAATGAAAGATTGCTGGTTGCAACCGCAACAAAGTAGAAATGGTGGCTGGAGCGAGGCGCACAGACCACCAGCCACACTCAGCGTGCCTTCTCATTTGCTGAGACGTGCCTCTGCGACACGCCGAGCTAAATTGTCGGCAGCTACGCTACAAGCTACCTGCTGCCGCCTCTAATGTATACCGTCAAGCCCATCACTACAGTATCCGCGCGAATGGGTGTTACACGTAATCTTAGAAGCTACATGGTGCAAAATTTACGCCTCCAGGCCATCTGGTAGTGCACGCTGTCTTCGATTGAGAAGCCACCTGTGCATTCTTTCCTCTCCCCAACGAGAGTTATTAGACTGATCGGAGCCATTGAAACTACTGCGGCTGCACGAACGCCTCGTCCCGGGTCGCAACACCACAATCCTCGCTCGATCGTCCAACAACCATCCATCCGCATTCGCCCTCATCACAATGGCCGACTCACCGGCATCGGGTGCGGCAACGTCGGATGCAGAGCCCATGAGCTCTCCCGTACGGAAGTCATTCGCGTCGCGCGCTCCTGATTTCGATGATGCGTCGCGATTGACTGATGCTCCTGACGAGGTGTCGGAAAAGTCGTCTCGCCCCAAAGGCAAGTCAACTGGAAAAGACAGGGACAAGGACAAAGACAAAGACAAGGAAAAGGACAAGGACAAGGACAAGGAAAAGGATTCTCAACCGCAATTTGGCAAGATCCGCCATTTGAAGAAGGAAGATGGAGAGCCTCTCTGGCGAGAGGATATTCAGTACGATTTTCTCAAGGCTGTTTTTGATGACGACCAAAAGGTCTTCACGAATTCCTACGACTCAGACGGACTCGGCAAGCAAACCTTTGCAGACCTGTACATCGACACCATGTCACGCAGCACAAAGACGAGTAAAGTCCTGCGTGATAAGCTCCTGAGTGATCGAGAGGCAGCCAAGGGGATGGCCATGGTCTGTCTTCTAGTCAATGTAGGACGCATGAACACTACCCTGAATTGTATGTGGCATCCCCTTCAGTTTCCCTGCATCGACTGGCCATTTTAATTCTGATCTTTGTATAGTCTTCCCAGAAATGCGTGCCCAGCTACGAACCTACCACGCGATCCCGTCGCTGCAAGCCCACCAAGACCCCCACGCATACAAACAGCTTCAAGATGCACCTCGATTAAAATCGATCCTCAAGGGCGGTGCTGAAGATAGAGATGAACCCAACTCTCTGGATAAGATTAAAGAACAAGACATTCCACGGACGAACCCCGTCAACCTCATCTTCGTCATGTGCAACGCAGCATCCAAAGTCGCCGAGTTGCATTTCCCGCGCCATCATGAGTTCCACGATCTCATCATGAAGACGCATTATAGCAGTACGAGCCGTGCCAAGGCCTTCCTTTGGCTTATGTGGTTCTATCTCGAGTCAGATTTCACTGAAGAGGGCTGCGAGGAGAATCCGTTCGGGGCAGGCGTCGACTATGGCCTAGGCGTTGCCAATCAAGGCGTCCCAAAGCTGGAGAAGATGACGGATGAAGAGAAGAAGATGGAAAACATAGATCCCGAGGAGGAGATGGAGTTTGGCCGCGAGAAGCAAAAGATGCGAGCCAAGATTTTGGAGATGGACCAAGCTTACCTCAATGAGAGGGAAAACAGACGCGGAAAGATGAGACTTCCTTTCGCGGAAGATGGACCAGCAATTTTACCACGCATCAGACCGTCAAAGCACGAATCTGATATGGATAGTACAAGATCGACACCCCCTCCGAAGGGGCCGAGCCGCGCATCAGCTGCTGGTTCGACCCGCAGGGGAGCACCGCTCAAGTACCAGATCATAGAAGGCTCTTCCCCAGCTCGCGGCACAGAAGGCGTCATGGCCCGAAAGCCCCGTCCCCCAACAGCTCACCAGCTCGCCGTGGAGCGCAACAGACATGAGAGGGTTGAGTATATTCTTGAACGTGGGCTACGAAGGCAGCACCATAAGAGCCGCAAACTGAGGAGGCAACATGGGGCCGTGTTCCAGGCCTACAGACGTGCCAAGGCCCATGCTGATCCTCTTGAAGATAGTGATATGGACGAGAACAGTCCCCGCAACCTGCAGTCTTCCCGCCAGCCTTTCCGTGAGAGGGGCATTGGAGGCCTAAGCCTCCTGTCAGCTGAAAAGGATGACTTTGGAGAGGAGGTCTTTTCCTATGCTGCCGCACTACGACGTGCGAACCGACGATTGGTCCGATGGGTTGACCGCGATGCGGCATTGGGCGTCGTGGCGCCCGTCAAGAGAAAGAAGCAACCTGGAGAGGGAGACGATGGTGATAAGACCGTGTTAGGCTTAGGGCAGGACGGCCTGTCGACTTCCGTGTCGAAGTTGAATGGGGATATCAACGGCGATGTCTCCATGCTTGACATGGAGCTTGAAGACCAGACAGCTTTAGGGGATGACGAGAGAGCTGATGAGGACATGGATGACCCTGACCGGACTGAGGTAATGGGCGACTCAGACGCAGAATAGCGAGGCGTTGGAGCACGTGTCATGGGTATGCCTTCGAATCTGTGTAATGGGTGATTGGTGTGGCAGAGGGTTATGAACACTGATTTTCGTCTTTGTACAACAAGCCGCCATTTTGGTGCGGGGTTTCCTGGGCTAGGGTAGACAATGTGTTTGGCGTTATGGTTTTGAGCAATAGTACAGTATCAGAGTTGGAATTCCAAAATCAGGCCGCTCGCATTTTCGAGGGGCCTATGTTGATTTTCTTAGCTACGAATACGTGCATAGGTAGTTTCACGGGATCGCCAATGGCCGACCTAGCAGCCATTTCTAGCGATGGCTGATTCGTAGAGGCCTGACTTATAAATCTGCTCTTGAGACGAGAGATTGTTACAAACCCGACCTATTCATCTTCCATTATAATGAGCGGTGGTTATTAGTTGAAGCTAGAAGCCATCTTTCAAGACAGTGAACTTGTGGTGACCTGACCTCTCTATCTGCTGTTGGGATGAGCAATCGTTGTATGGTTAACCTGGCTACGCATCCAGCCAAAGCAGGCTTGAATGCCACACCGCATATATTGCATTTGACAACCCCTTTGACGGTTTTTGGGGTAATTTTTGATATCAAAGACAGAAAGAAGAGTAATAAAAAAGAAGATAAGCAAAGCAAAAAATTCGCGGCTTGCGAGACTCGAACTCACGTCGAGTGCTTGGGAAGCACCCATGATAACCCCTACACCAAAGCCGCTAACTAGATGCGTTGGTAGCTGTGATATTCAATCTATATATACATACCGCACAGAAACATCATCCATCACAACTGTGAGAAGGTTGTCGCCGATTTTCGATGAAGGTTCTATAAATTCGCCAAATGGTCATTCGATATGACTTAAAATACCTTTGTCACCGTCAAAAAGCAAGTTTTCTAAAGGAAAACATGATGTAGAAAGTTAGCAGGCGTAAGTGACAACTCGTTATTTCTTGGCTCTCAAGTCATCAGACCTGACTTTGTTAAGATTGAAATTTTGAAACGCTGGCTACCTTTTAGCCACAGTCTATATCGGGGGTATATCCGTCTCGCCTCGCCCAGCTATGTACGCATGCATGGCTCTGAGCTCTAGCTGCTTCGTGATAATCCCAACTAGCAAGATGGTTATTCCCATGCAGATGCATCCAACCCACACACGGGCCATTTCACAAGCCATGAGAAAAATGAGTGAAATATACTGTTCTCAGTAGAACAAGCAGTTGTGTAGAAAGCTGAACAAATTGGACAGACCTTAGGAGGGCTGGAGCACTTGCCAATGCTTGACCTGCAGCATGCAGTTGTCTCCTTGTTGAAAAGAAGAACAGGAATTGATAAGGCTAAGCATCTGCATCTTTAATAAGCTCTTCCGAATGACCGGCCTTGGTCTGTGAGAACCCAAATCTGTGCATGTGGCTATCTATGTCAACCTGGCAACGACCTACATAGTTAACCATATGGAAACACCCCATCATCACCACCCGTCACTCCTCTTTGATCCCCACGACATCCTACTCTGTGATGGTGGGGGTCTTATTTGTGGTATTTCTCTTGGTGGTTGAATCCTGTTCCTCAGTCTTGTCCCGGCATTATGTATGCTGTGTCCTATTTTTGCCCCAGCATTCCCTACTTTCTTCCCAGCATTCTTGAACTTTTGTGCAAGACCTCGACGGTACACATAATCCAGCTCATCTTCATCCAAGCTTCGCAAGAAGTGGGTGATGATCTCTGCATCAGAAGTGACAACATCACGGGCTTCAAGCTCAGAGTGGAGAGAGTCGAGTGCGGATGGCGAGCGCGTCTGGTAGTAAGAGCGTGCAATGGCAGTGTTGGCCACACTTGCAATAATCAACAAGACGGAAAAGCGCATGATGAGGTTGATGAATAGCTAGGTAGCTTATTTGTTAGTCAGGGGTCAAATATCTCAACGGCTCAGAGGCTTCACCTGAAGAGCAAGTTCTTAGATTGTGTAGTAGATTAAACTTCGAATTGTAATGCAATAATGAATTGGTGATCAATGTATGCTGAATGGAAGGAACTTGCTTCTGATTTATACTTGGATAACCACCACTGTACGATCTACAGTAATACTAGGCCCAGCGGCGTATCGTGATCATCTCATCGCAAGATACTCCACTTAGGATATTTCTGGTATAACATGAAATCAGCCGTGCATGTCGCTCGACAATTATCAACTGAATAATAAATAGGGCTGACAATCCTCGCACAGGATCTTCCTCTTGGAGGCTATAACAGGATCCTCCTTTTGGGGGCTACATTTCCTCATCCTGGCGCATAAGCATTCTCCATGCGTCAGCCTCGCGTACAAGCAAGATGTTGGTATAAATGATCAACCTAGATGTCGCCCTATGATCATTAATTGAATGCTAAATGATGGATTCTCCTTTTGGGGGCCATTGGCGTATAGATATCCTCCATGCGCCACCACCCTTACATATTTGCAAGATCTTGGTATACCTAATACAACATCTGCAAACTGCATACATCGGTCAATATTAATTAAATGGTAGCTAGTGCTGGTACTCCTCTAACCTGTGAATAATTCTTTCACAACAGACTCCAGAATGACTGTATCAACTTTCGTCGTGTCGCCTAGTCGACGGACCCAAAGCCTCGAGAAACTTGTCGTGGACGGCGATCGCTGGGACTCATCTAGTTTTTAAAAGCATCATCGCCTGGGCAAAGTGGGTGTAGCTGACTTGCCCCCTTGGAAAAGGAAACTCTCCTCGAGTCCCCTGCAGCAATTGGCTCACCTTTGGCAAGTACGGGGCAGCCTTTACATACCTCCTTCCGTGGCGTTCCCAGGTCCTCATCGCGCGTCCTGCTGAAGTGAGCGACACTGTGCTCACTGAGAAATAGTTTCTTTTTTATTGGAAAGTTAGGCATCTGCATCTTTGACAATGGAACCTGGAGGTCACCAATACGAGTAGAGTAATGTCCCTTTTTACGTCACTCCATACTACCCAAACATTCTGGTATCTCTCGTCTCCATTGTCGTGCCTAAGAAAATCACCAATATACCGGAGAAAACATCAAATGGCTCTGAAAATACTTATGAAACGAATGATCGTCTCCACTCTATATCTGATTTGAGAGTTTACACTCGAATTCCGCGACTTCTCCTGTTTCTTGGCGAGGGGAACCAAACTTCAAGATTGGTCGCGCTCCCTCGGAGTGGCATCCCGAAATTGCATATTCGAAATACTGGATAAAGAAATTTGGTGAGCTCCAAGACCGTAGGCCTCCCGTATCATATCTAACAACTGAGCGTTTTAGCATGGAAAGTGGGAGCGCGTCCGATTGGCAGGAGCTCACTGGCTAAGAAAGTCCCTCCCAAAGGGACCGCGAGGCATCACAAGATCAAAGCTTCTGGCGCATCGCCGACCAATTCCAATTCGCCAAGGACAAAATCCGGGTAGGGTGGCCCTGGTATCCCTGCCACGAGAATATCACGATGTGGCTGGCTAACCCTGGGTGATAAGCGGAGAGTGTTCCTCTGGGTAGGTATTTTGTCGTTATCGCCCGACGATGAAGCCCGATTGGGAGGTAAAAATCATTTTGTCAACCTTGCTATCGTGTTGAAGGATCATGTTGCCTACAACACGTGAGATCTTGATACTAGGAATCCCGCATTGGTCTCCTCAATGTCTCGTCTCCTCAGGATAAACACATCTCCCATGCTTAGGCCCCCATCATGCTAACTATGGGAAGGGTGTGGTCGTGAGAATATTCACCCTCTGGGGTTTCTCTTCAGTCAAAAGTTCCTTGCTTGGCAGCACGCTCAGCAGAAAATCAGCCCGATAAAAGGATATCTGAAACCCTAAAAGTTGATTCAGCTGGACGGCTGACAGACAGAAGCGTTATGTTACATTTCGTGGATGCGACCTTGCAATCAGCAGGGTGAAGAGTCCGGGGTATGTCCCTAAAAGGCATCGGAGCCAAGACCAGGCGTTGCATTACACAGCGGGCCTAGAAGTTCGTACCCTTCTCTGGCCCGTTCATATTCAAGCTTATCGCTAAAGTGCAAGGATCGCCAAGAGAGGCAGTTGGGCTGGGGCCTCAATTGAGACTGAGCTTGGGGCATTTCTCAAGACGATCACCCATCCTTTATCTCTTCTCCGCACCACCGCATGGATGCAGTGGCCTTATTCTAGCCGACAAAAACCGATCACCCCTTCCTAACTTATCCTAGAAGAGAAGGCCATAACGCGCCAAGGGCATGGCAATGGAGGGTTGTAAGGGATCCTATCAGCATCGAGAGAAGGACCTTCGTTAATTGAGGTGGGGGACCCGAAGCTTGTCTACGTGACATCGCTTACTTGGACAGGCTCTTCTGCAGGATTGTGTTCCTTCCTGTCGTGGACGGATCTGTTCGATCAGGCTTCCAATCTGTTTGGGGAGGGGGGTCGTAGTGCGTCGTCGTCATATGGCCATATACATATGGCGCCCGCCGCTCTGCAACTGCCTCCCTCTTTCTCAAGGGTCCTTGCACAAGAGAAAGCTGCTCCTTATCAAAGTGTTTCTTTGGTGAGAGACCTGCGTGTGGTTTCTTCTTGCAATTATCAAGGTAGCATTATCCTGCTCTCTCGCCGAGCTTCGGTGCTTTGACACTTGATCAAAGTAATCCCCCTCTGCTACCACTGCTGGGGTTCTCTAACAAGATGCCTGCTGGAGATGCCACTGAGGGGATTGCCGGAGCTGAGCTCCGTGCCGAAGCCATTGATGAGAAGAGAAACTCACTGGCTATAGCTGAGACGACCCAGCATGCTGCGTCCCTCGCTGGCTCACAGGGCCACATCCCTCATGATGGAGAGGCCCCTACTGCCGAGGACCTTGTCACCTTGCGCCGTGTTGCAACCAAAATTCCACTGAAACTCTTCTCAATCGCATTTATCGAGATGTGTGAACGGTTTTCGTACTACGGCACCACCATCGTCTGTAAGTTGACCGCAGGGCAATGCATCTATCCCTTGCCCAAAGCAACAATAGACGCAAATTTACTGACGGCGCATTCCATTTAGTTACTAATTTCATCCAGCAGCCTCTTCCTGATGGCTCTACTACCGGTGCGGATGCGGATCAGCCCGGAGCTCTCGGTATGGGTCAACGAGCCAGCACAGGTCAGTATAGATTGCCAAAACATCGCGAAAAACATCAAAATATTAAATATTAAATATTTTTTTAGGATTGACTACATTTAATCAATTTTGGCAGTACATGATGCCTCTCTTCGGTGCCTACGTTGCAGATCAATATTTGGGTCGATATCGAACCATCAACTATGCCCTGGCCATAGATATCATAGGGCACATTATTCTCACGATGTCTGCGATCCCTGCGGTTATTAGCAACAAGAACGGCTCATTGGGAGCCATGATTGTCGGTATTCTTATCATTGGCTTCGGTACTGGAGGTTTCAAGCCCAATGTGAACCCATTGATCGTGGAGCAGCTTGGAGAGCAGCATCTCCATGTCAAGACATTACCGAGTGGTGAGAGGGTCCTTGTAGATCCAGCAGTGACACACGAGCGAATATATCTCTGGTTTTATTTCGCTATCAACACTGGGGCCCTCGCAGGGCAAATCTCCATGGTATGGGCCGAGAAGTATGTTGGTTTTTGGCTTTCCTACACTCTGCCTACAATCATGTTGTGCCTCTGCCCTCTAGTGATGATTTGGGGCCGAAAGCGCTATGTTCGCCGCGAAGCAGGAGGTTCAGTTTTGGGCCCAGCAATGAAGACCTTCTTCCTTGCTAACAAGGGACGCTGGTCTATCAACCCTTATCGAACCTGGAAGAACCTTCATGATGGGACCTTTTGGGACAGTGTCAAGCCGAGCAAATTCACCGACGAGACTCGACCTAAGTGGATGACTTTCAATGATGCTTGGGTTGATGAAGTCCGCCGTGGATTCAATGCCTGTGCTGTATTCCTCTGGTTGCCTTTGTATTGGCTGTGCTATAATCAGAGTAAGTGATAACTCTCAGGACATGTTAAAGCTATCGTTGGCAACCAAAACTGACTCACCTCCGTTAGCAAACAACAACCTTATATCCCAAGCTGCCGTCATGGAACTGCACGGAGTGCCCAACGATGTCATCACTAACCTCAACCCCTTTGCCCTTCTCATCTTCATCCCGCTCAACGACTTCTTCATCTATCCAGCTCTGCGCAAGTACGGCATCCGATTCACCCCAATCAAGAAAATTGCGTGTGGTTTCATGGCCGCAACCACTGCTATGGTTTGGGCCGCCGTTGTCCAACACTACATCTATCAGACGTCAGAGTGTGGCAAGTACGCAGCGGGTGAGGACTGTGCGCCAGCTCCCCTCAACGTCTGGATTCAATCCGGTCCCTACATCCTGATTGCTCTGTCCGAAGTCTTTGCCTCCATCACATCACTCGAGTACGCCTTCTCCAAGGCTCCCAAGAACATGCGATCCATGGTTCAGGCTTTTGCTCTCTTCATGACCTCCTTCTCGGCCGCTCTCGGCCAGGCCTTTGTCTCCCTTTCTGCCGACCCTCTCCTCGTCTGGAACTACACCGTCGTCGGATGCCTCGCCTTCGCCGGCGGCATTTGCTTCTATATCCAGTTTAGACACCTCGACAAGCAGGAGGATGAACTCAACGAGCTTCCCGAGGGTCTTGTCGCCAACAAGGAAACTGGCATCGACGTTCCCCTGCACAAATCTGTGTCAGAGACCCAGAGAGGAGACGCGGTATAAGAGGCGCAGTTGGGCTGATAGTATTACGGAGATATTGTGATGTAGAGTTGTTGGCTCGATCGGATTTTCTTTCAAGGGTGGTCGACGGTGTTCTCCGCATCGTAACAAGATTGCAGAACAATCATGGACTCGGGACTTTAATTTCAGTTAGGATTAGGAACATTTATACCTCTTTCCCAAGCCACTAGCTGCCTGCAACTCATACCCGAATCTCCCTCCCCATGTTGTGTTCAAATTCATGTGACCTTATTAATAAGTAAAGAACACATTTGGGTGTCATGATCGCTGATCAGACAAGACCGCGAGTTTCGTCCCTGGCTATTTTCTCTGCATGTTGGTATCGCTTATAACTTCTTGACTTTGCACATCATGTTTTCTCCACCGACTACCTGCCACTTTCCCAGATCACCATCGAGACTTCGCAGACGTATCATCCCACTTTCTACCGAGATCGATCTTATCTATCCCCCACGTTTGAAGAAGTTCCTCGCCACAAACTGCAGGTCACCACCCCACTGCCCGGTCGACGGGTACGCTAATCGACGCGATAAGAGAAGATCTTGCCATCATAATTCGTCCAGACTTCACATGAACATGGTGGGGAAAGGGGGCAGACATCGTAGCCTATGATAAATCGATTTGCTGTATTACAGTGATTTCTTTTTTAAACTATGCACCTTTCCTCTCTTTTTTGCTGTCCTCGACGCCGACGCCATAAAGCCCCTTGAAACCAGGGGAACAAGTAGATTAGGCCAAAAAAAATAAAGCAATAAACGATGCCGGGGGTTGGTCATGTTCCCTGAATAATAACGAGCACTGATACAGATCCGTTACGCTAAGTCCCAGTGTAAGAAAATAGGTCATGAGTGCATCCATCCCGGTTCTCTGCCCTCATTTTCCTTGCTTATCAAAATGTCTCTTGAACATATGATTCTAAGCCCACACGGCCGTGACATAAATCGCACTCTGTCGTGTGTAGATGCGCGCAGGCGGAATATACAGTTTACTGTATCGCCCCATGGCTGCTGATTGGCCATAAGCGGCCAACAAGAGCGACATGGGGTAGGAGAGAGGGGTTCTTGCAGGGAATGTCTGTCCAAAGGCTCAGCCACTCATTATGCAAGCCACTGCTCCTCATCTCTTTTGTTTCCCCGCATCACCAAGCCCTCGTCTTCTTCATCCTCGTCGTCATGATCATCGTCAATTCGTAATTGCTCGACAGAGGTGGCGGTGGCCTGAACACCATCGTCACCACCGTCCAGCTCGTCGGGATCCAGCATCCACGTCAATCCATTGGCCTCCTCCTCCAGTGGGAACATCTCGCGGGCGTACTCTTCCAGTCCGCGGGGACCCTCCCACAGCTCCCATGCTTCGGAGGGGCAGCTCGCCTCCAGTTTGGCGTCGCCAAAGTATGGCGGCTGCTTCTTCGCGTCTGGCTCATCTGGGCGGAAGAGTTTTTCCAGGGCTTCCAGCTGTTCCCGGTATCCAGTCGGGATTCGCACCTTGACCTCGATTGCGCCTCTGACATAGCGCACCGGGCGCCCGACGCCGCGCGAGAAGACCTCACACGCCTCCTTCGGGGAGAGATACTCGTATGCGAGAGCGATGCGTTCGTTGTGCCACTTGGAGACACCGTCCTTGAATAGTTGCAGAATAGCAGGGCCGACATCGTGCTCCGCGTCCAGCCAGGGCAATTTCGCATCCTCGTGGAATGGCGCCTGCCACACAAAGGACCCATCGTCCTGGAGCTCCATGCAGAATAGGGGATAGCGCAACGACGTGAAATTGTTGTTGTAAATTCCTGTGTACACAAATGTAGCGGGCAGCTTAAGCTGCCGTACATAGTCTTCCACCTTGTGCTTGCTCTCCCACAGTGGCAGCGAAGGCCACTCGGGGTTATAGGCGGCGTGGTCGGGCATGGAAGAATAGATGTAATGCTGGACGCCGGCCTTCTTGGCGGCGTCGGCGAGCGCGCGGCCAATATCCAGCTCGTCGCCATAGAAGGTGGTGTTGATGAAGGCGAGCTGAGCGCCTCGGAAGAGATTCGATATTAATTCATGATTGACGCCGACACCGGAGAGGGGACCGCTCTGGGTGACATCCTTGTTTTCCTCGGTAGGCTGGTGCCTCGTGTACAGCTCCCCAACGATGACGGTGACATTGGGGTTGGTCGACACCTCGGTGGCTATGACGCCCTCGAGATTCCTCAGCTGGGCGCGCACATGGTATCCGACGGCCGTTGCGTTGCGGATCAGAGACGCGGCTTGTCGACCAGCGGCATTGATAACGGCGATTGTCTTGTTGGGCGAATGCATAAATCTTTTTGGCGGACGAAAGGTTAGGGAATTGTTCCGGGAGCCAGCGAGGGGCGAAGCTTCAGAATACGAGAGGGTGTGCTTGTGGCCTGGTTGCTTGCGGTAGACGTTGTTTGCGAGGTCGTTTGTTGCAATGTGTATTGGGCTTGCGGCCGAGATGGCACCAGTAAGTTGAGCAGGCATGGCTCCGACCTCCCCTCTCGGTCGGAGGGTATAAACCGACATATGTATATGCCGATGCGTGCTCTTATAGGGGGGAGGGGGCTAGAATGGGATGTGACCAGGCCCCAGGAACGAGGATTTTATCCTGCGAGTGCGCAATAGAGGGGCACCGTTATTGGGGGCACCAAGGCCGCCCGCCTGCGCAAATGGACGCCAGAGACGCCCGAATGCTCGTGCTCGCTGTGGGGAAGCGGAGCAGCGAAGGAGACCTGGATCAGCCCATGAATCGCAAAGTCAGTACGTAAAATGAATGTAAGGCGGCGGACCGGAGAGGATGGATTTACAAAGCCTAATGCAGAGTGGGCTGGTGGTGGGGTACAGGGCAAATACAAAAGCAACAGCAAAACAACAACACCGAACGTGCCTGGGGCTTGCTAGTGCGTGTGTTGGGAGGAGTGAAGGGTCGACGTTGTGTTCCCCGGACACGGTCGACGACAGGGAACAGCTTTGGTTGTGAGACCCGAGTGCAAGAGGAGCAGCAGCACCAGATGTATACGGATGTATATGTAGGCAGCAACCCAAGCTCAGACGGGTAGGTAGTGATCAATTGGTGGGGAGAGACGAGTTCTAATACCAAGAACCCTTGGGGTTGAGAGACGGCGAAGAGAAGGGGGAGGGGGGTGAGGAAACCCAGACAGCTAGGGAGAAGGACCGCGATGGGTCTCAGCCAAGGGCGGGACAAGCTAGCTCAATAATTACCCCAAGGAGCGAGCGAGCGAACATGCTAGATTTAGACATGCTAGCACATCAACCTGATGACCTCGAGGGCCCTGTCGGCTAATTGAATGCCGTTGTCGCTGGGATGGGGAGTGATGGAGGGGGAAGGTGGGGAGAGAGAAGCTAGGCATATGGAATAGAGAGGAATGAGGTTGTAGTAGGGGAGCGATAGGCTTGTTGAGTCGGCGAGTTGTCTTGGGGGATGACTTACCTGCTTTGGCGGCCCAGCAAGTGGTCGCAAGGCGAGTTGTGATATGCCAGTCGCCGGCTTTTATTCCGATGTGGGTATTACGTAGAACGTAGCAGGGAGACAGGGAACCAGGCCTATATGGGATCAGACAGCGGGGAGGGGGCAGAGCTTTGGTAGCAGAACGGCGAGGGAGAAGTGGGAAAGAAGAAAGAGAAGAGAGTCGCCAGACGTTGGGCTGAGATCGCGGGCAGGAAAGACATGGTATGCGAGGCGAGGCGAAGAAATAAGAACAACAGGGCAAACAGTGTGCCGATAAGAAAAGTCGATGTAAAGACGGACCGGCTCTGAGTCTGTACCTGCCGGTCTGGCCTTACCCAGTAGAGTTTCGCGGGAGAGCGCCCGAGGTACCTTGCGAATTGCATGCAGGCGGCACCCAGGCCTGAGCACAGACTGGCTGTAGGGCGCGAGAGATAACAGCCTGCGCGGGCTCTTCATTGGACAGATGGGAAGCAGTCGGCCAACTGAGACACCCCGTGACACCAGCAGCATTACCTAAGGTAAGACGCTGTTTCTGGTACCTATCTGCTGCTGCTGGGTGAAACGTGCCAATGTGTGTGGCCTCACGACGCCAGCACCATTGGGGCAGCGATGGCCACTGCAGAGGGCGAGTGCGTGTGAGTGCCAGAGCCCCAGTGGCCAGGGCAAGGCTCCAGCTCCGTTAGTGCACCCCTTCGGTGCCTACATTTGGTCAACGCATCCCTCCAGAACATGAGGTGGCTCGTCAATCAGATAACACACCAGGCGGCGCGCTTCACTCACACACCCCTGCTCTTGCGCCAGCGCCAACACCACCAGCATCGTAGCTCCTCCCCCGCAGAGTCGAGGATAGAATTGCCCGTCCTGCACTGCATGTCGAAAGCTAGCTGTTTTGACTCGCTGTTGACCTTGGTAGGCTATGGCCATACACAGTAATTCTCCCGCACTGCCCACCGCCCGCGTCCAGCCACATACCCGCCAGCTTGGGAAACCATGCAATGGAATCTGGACATGTGTGCAATGTAAGTGCGGCGGACTCCCCGACCTGTTCAACCAGGTCCCCATCATTACCCAGACTTCCAGATGTACAGGAACCGCTGTCATCATCATCCGTCAGTCACCACCGCCGCCTTGCAGATAAGCTCACCCCGTCCCACTTGCCATCGCGCCACCCTCCCTCTTGTCGCTCCCGAGCACCCGCTGCACATTACATTACATGTCAAGTCAGCCAGTCTTCTGGGACGCTCCGAAGCTATCCTTGCGTTCCCTCCATGCCCAGCAAATGTAGGTACATACATACTATCTTAGGAGCAAGGCCAGCTTTTCCATGCCCACCAACAGCTCGTGGCTCCACATCTGCAGTAGGTTTTTGTTACTAAAAAAGGCGTCTCTGAGAACGGGAAGCGACTCCGAGCACAGTAGTGTATTCAAGAAGCGGCAACCCTCAACGAGATGTGTGTGCTCCCGCTCTCTAGTTGCTTTGGCTAGGCCACCTAGTCTTGTGAGTGCACACGACTACTGTCGTATGTACCTACTAATATCAGACGTTCCAATCGGTGAATATCAAGTGTGCTAGCGACCAGCTTGACAGGGCTAGGGGCCTGTTCCTCCTGTGTCCAGGGTCCAGTCTGTCTGGGGAGGCTCCCGTCAGAAGGGTATGTACTTCTCAGACACCCATGCCATCATCATCATCTTGATGTAAGGGATGTGTGTGGCATCCATCCTCGGCCAGGGAGCATGTGTGTGTGCCTGCAAATCGTTTCGGCCGCTTACGCTTACCGACCGCTCCTCATGTACGTTACCGTCGTTTTGTCTCACGGGCGACGGGGAACGTGCTGGCCTTGCTGATGGAACATTCGATGGATATTTCCACTGGTCGCATGACTGGCCGTGAAACAGGCGCTTTCCTGCCAATAGCTTGACACAGTACGTATTTGCACAAACCCCTGGCCGACTCTTATCTATGCACTTTGCTAACTCGACCCGCGGCCGATCTCCTAGCGGGTGTCTGTGTTGCCAGAACTGAGAAGGCCGCCATCCGCAGCGCTCCCATTCGCCTGCCGTGCGTTTTCATTACTCGATACCTTGCCTGCCCCGATTCACTAAAGATGGTCACGTTGCTCTTTCCATGGGCTGTTCTGGAGATGCGTTTCGATCGGACCCAGCACCCAGAAATTTTCACGGGATTATGTAAAAGTTTGGGGCCATCACCAGTCAGAAAATTTTACGCCAAATCCATTTCTCATCTCTTTTATCAAGATACCTCGCCAGCCCTGCTGCCATTGGCTCGCTGCCCTCAATTTCGACATCAACCACGACGTGGCGGCCGAATACTCGGAACCCATTTCTACCGCTCGTAATATCTGCATCTCATTACGTTCTTAATTTTCTTTCACGTCACGAGGCCGCCGCAGAGCAAATTGCGATGCTTCTAGGCCCTTCCCTCGACTTCACCGTAGGTTTTTGCCTTTGTAGGACAAGCAGCTGGTCCCTTTTCCGGTTCCGTCGCTACTTTCCGACGCCATCTCGACCCTTCGCTCTGGTCGCCCTTCAATGTCTCGTCTCCCTCCCGATGCTAGGCGGCTCCATCGTGGTGCTCCTCCCCAGGCTTAGGTAGGCACTTATGCACCCCCGGAATTGAGGGCTTCACAGACCACCCGTGGCCAATCATGCTGCGCTGTCACCCACACGCCCGCAGGAGGGGATATCCATGCAGGTTCTCGTGCATATGATGCACACCTCGTCTGGACTTTTGGCCGTTTGAAACCGATCCTCCAACAGACAATGCCATTACGTCTGTGGCCATCCAGAATTGCCTCGCCAGTCAAAATGGCTAGGAAGCCATGCCTCAACACCACCCACACGTTCTTCCCCTCTGCCGCAAACTATACGTACATGGTTCACCGCGCCTCGCTTCCATCCCAAATCGCCTGTCCAACAGGCCACAAGTAGAAGTCGGTGAGCGTCATCCCCGCCGGCCAAGTAGACCAAACAAGCTTCCTCATCGTACCCGGCTATGGGGGTGGACCATTCGTGATGGCGGCCTTGTTGGTTGCGGCACTACCAATCACTGGCCGGTATTGCGACATCACCCATTATCAGACTGCTGGCAAATTTTTCTCTTCTCCACAAGTCGGAGCGCCTAGCAAACGGGTGTGTCCAGCGAGCGGCGGTGATCGCTCTGGTAGGGGAACAAATTTAGCTTTGTGGTCGTTGGCCCGCGACTGTGAAGATTGCGCGAGCGTCATCTGTACGCACGTTCTCGCCGCCGCGATAAGCTAATGGCCATTGAGAATTCCATCATCCCGACGCCACACACACCACACGGCTAATTAACGCAGGGATCCTTATCTATCCTTGATCGAGGTGTGTATCGTTCTGTGGTATGCCGTCATGACAGACACGTCTGATTGGCTTGTGCGTTGGAGTGAAATTTCCATCTCCGCGGAGCTTTTCCTCGGGGGAAAACTTTTCCGGCTCCGTGCTCAGATGCCGTGATGACCACGATGGTATGGCAAATTGCCTCCAGGAGAGAGCTCTACCGGGGCTTGAGGGGCATGAATCGATGTTGTGGCATCTTGACGGATCGCTGTTATAGTAACTTGGTGAGATCGCAACTTCTTCTCAGGTTTCGAAGGCAGAGGGAGGGAATTTTCTAGATTGCAGCGTCCTAATAGGCGGTGCTCTCCTCAGATGGCTTATTCGAGAACAGTCGACTACTGCCGAATCATGCTACTTATATCACGTAGAAAATGGCGACCATGTCTCGACTGGGGCTCCCCTTTCTTATTAAGGACTTCTTGAGCGCTGGGTCCTGGGACGATTACTACGCATTGCTATTGAATCGACGAACGAGCAAGGACCAGAGACAAAGCGGGGATCCGGACTCAACGTGAGTGAGGACTAAGCTCGGACTGGGGTTCTTCATATCCCTTTTCGTCGTTGGCGCCGGGAAGCCTGGGGGAGAGATGTTTAATCATGCTGTGTGTACTTGATTGGTTGCTCGTAGAGGTTATCGTAACGTCGTTGCAGGAAGTAGTACATGGAGGTAGGTCTTGCAGATGCGATCACTGTCGGCCCATCCACTATGAACGGCTAAAGTGATTCACATTAGAATCTTTACTTAAGAATACTCAGGATAAATCATAATTCCTGATGCTGTATGAAATCTCCCATCTTCTCTCATATATTCCAAAGCCTTCGTTGAAAACATCAGAACGTCTACTGCCGGCAGGATGGGATTCACAATAGGGAGAATTCGAATAATAAATAATACGTCAGAGAGAGGGGAATCGACAAGAAACAATTGGATGAAGTGTGAGGGTCTTGGGAGAAAGGCAAGAGTTGCAAGAAGTCGAAGTCAAAAGACAGGGTGAGAATCGGCGAGTGCTCACACCCGCCAGCTGTTGACGGCCAGAAACCACTGCCAGTACCTTGAGATTTTATCCGATTCCAGTGCGCCGGCTTTAAATGCCAGAAGTGGGTTCCTGATCTCGTGCCTTCATGTTCCACGTCACTGCATACTGGAAAAAGTCATATTGTGTGGACAATTGGTGGAATCGTGTATACACTCTCTTCTCCATACCTATTGTCTTTGCATTCAATATATTGTTTACTTGGGCTTTCTAGATTCTCATACAATCAAAAAATTACATTTGTATAATTGCAGTGGCTATTAATATGACATTCTATTGTGCGTAGTCGCCATTGAGCCATGAATGGCTTTTCATCCCGATCTCAGATCAGAAATCCGCGGCCTCTTGCTTTCACTATTTAAACCTCCAGGCCTCCAGCATTTCATCTTGAGTTTCCTCTCTTCCATCCATCGTTTCTTCATGCTTTCGTATTTCTCATACTCAAATACTAAGCGCATTCCAGTTTTGTTGATCAACTACAACGTCTTTCCCGTCATCTTTCCGCCTAGAACAAGATGAGCTTGTACAGCAGTTCACAGAGTTCGGAGGCGACAGACCTCAAGACATTCGGGAACTTTGGCAACCCGGGCACTCCAGACGAGATGCGTTCGGCATACAGAGTGCCCCCTATCAAGGGCTACTCCCATCTCTTCAAGCTTCTTGAAGGGAATGAAGAGATCGAGAACACTCCTGTCCGGACTGAAGTGTTTTCTGGAACAATTCGACAGCACAACTTCATCACTAAAGGCGAAGTATTGCGCAAGCATGGCTCAACAATTGGCAAGGTTGGCCGCGTTTCTATCTGCAGAGACCAGAAGAGTCTTCTTTCTGCCGTCCTCGATATTAAAAAGGACGAATACCAAGTCCTCGACTGCGAGACCAGAGACCGACTTGGAATGTTTCTCCAAGTCTACTGCCCCGAAAGAGCAGATTGGGTGATCACCGACAACGAAGAGACAACCATTGACATATTCACCGACCGCACTCTAGAGCTCACTCGACCTATCTCCGAGGAGCTTACTCTCCTTCCCAACCGCCTCCAGAGACTCTCTGATTTTTTCTTCGAGCCCAATATCAGCAAGGCGGAGTACCTCCTCGTGTCTCGGGTGCTTCAAGTCCAGGCCCATCGCGCCGCGGAGCTCGTCGACACCGTCTGCAAGCTCCTGCAGCCCAACACACCCGGAGCCCAGAGTCTCGGATCCACGAGCGAGCATGCCCGCGAGCCTCCCCAAGGGGCTTGGGAGAAGACCGATCAAACTGCGAGTCTAATAGAGCACCAGCTAGAAGAGATGCGGCATCACCAAGAAGTGTACCGGGAGCTTCTGGATGACAGCGCTCGTTCAGCCGAGAAAGTCACCGAGCGTCTTTCCACCGTCGTCGACAGAGTCGAGTCATTTATCCGCGAGGCCGATATGGATCAGGTCCAACACATCCGCCAGCTCGAGAATATCTCCATGCTCGTCACGCATAGATTAGACAAAGACCTCCAACAGCAGACCCCCCAGTCGACTCCGACCAAGAAGCGCCTGCGATCTGAATCTCCAGGCATCTCGGACGAAGACCCGTCTGACTATACGGATGGCTCCGCCTCCGAGCGATCACACAAGCGCGCCAATCATTAAGCTTGGGTGGTTATTTGTATTTTTTAGTATTATGCAATGAGTTTGATGGATCTTGCCCTGCTGGTTTCGGGGTATAGGTAATTAGTGCTCATAAGAAATGACACGAATGAGGAAATGAGAATCCATCTTCGGAATAAAAAGCATCCTATTTTTTTCACTGAGTCTTCAATAATGGAGAATGTTTGACCACGAGTCGTAGCCAGCGTACAGCACATAAAACCCCTGGTTTAATCCCGCTGTAGCTATTTGCGTCTCAAGATAAAGAGTCTACCTATGTTCAGGTTTGATCATACTTATTGGGCATATTCCATGCCCTCAATCATTATATCAGTGTAGAAGTAATTCGGTAGTGACTTGAAGTTATCATTGTAGTGGCAAGCCAAGCTGGTTATCTTTATCAGCCATTTCTAATGGAAAGACGTTGTCACTCAGGTTTTTGAACTGCCCCTCGCAAATTCACGTGTATTTTTATTTTCACTTGCCATTAGCTCCCCATCTCCCCAGCCATTCTGATACTCTCCGCTAAGCTCATGTCCCAGCCAGAAGCGCTGGCAGGAGTCTTTACTAGGAGTCTCGTATTGTATTCAAATGCTTATGGACGTCAGATGGAAGCTTGTAGTTCCTAACACAGGTCTATTACCCGCAAGCGGCCAAGGAGGAGGAAAGGACATGCAGGAACGATCGCCCTCTTGGTCCTTTTCGTGGCCTGTCTTGGGGACCCTGGGACAGGTTAGGTAACAACTTGGAAATGAGGTTCGGAGTTAAGTTGATTAAATATGCCCAAGGGCCACCTGAGGTTCTAACACAGTTTTGGTGGCATTTATGGCAATTTAGTTTCCGGGGCAACAACGGCATCTTCTGAAATTCCCTGGGAGGCGGTAGCTTCGTTATTGTTCCCTGAGGAATTGGTCCCGCCTATAACTCCCATCAAGACCGCCTGTAGCTCGGGTGGCTCATTCAACCATCTGCTTAAAGAAGTCTTTTCAAAAGATCGGACCTTCGTTGGCGAGAATGGCGATTGGTATTCACCCTCCATTAAAGGATCGCGAGGCTGATCATCGGTCTTATTCTTGACTAATGCTGATACTGCAAACTCCAAATCATCTCCAAGGTCGAAGGTCATAGAGGGCCCGGGGAGTCGAGACACATTCTTTAACCCCTTCTGGAGTTGGCGCATATCTAGAGAAGCCTTCAGGCCGGTCTGATTTTCAATATCTTGTAGTATTTCCGAAGAGGGTACAAGATATGCAAGAGGTGTCCCAGGAACACCAAGGACGACCTGTCCGTAAAAGCAGCCTGTTGATGCATCGATAACAGCGGCACCACAATCCCCTTCAAACACTTGGGATTCAGCAAAAATGATGTATACTCTCCGGAACTCCGTATTACCAGGCTGGCGGTACGATGTCGCACCGGGTATGAGTCTACCCAAAACTACACCTACCGCTGTGATAATCATTACCTCATTCTCGGAATCACCAATAGCGGCTGGTTGTCGAATCTCAAGCACCTGGTGGTCCTTTTCAGAGCCATTGCCAGATTTGTACATCCTGGGATGGACTGTGTTCATGGTTTGAACTGAGGAGAGGGGTTTATCCTCATTAGAAATCGCAAATAACAGATAGTCAAGAGTACGACTCGGCTTGGGTGAGCTGCAGATTGCATTATCTTCAACATGTCTGCCAGGCCAAACTTGTTTCGCCGGCAATTGCAGCTTGCCGGGAGAACTGTCGAGAGCTTGATTCTCTAGACGCTGGTCTTGATGGAATTCGGGTTTACATACAGCATCCCGGTGAAGTTTGTCACCAGACGATCCGGAACGTTCACCATCTTCATCCGGGTCTGTCTCATCCAAGCTTTCATCTGAAGAAATGCTTCCCAAGCTTGTTGTAGCACCTTCATATTCGAAGCCACGTTCCTCATTGTCGCTTTCAAGCTCGAAGCTGTCGAGGTCTAACTCTTGTCGGTGGATAGAGTCCTGATCCTCTCTTTCTAAGACGTGCGCGACTGTGAGTTGATACAGGTCCCCTCCGAGCATCACCACAGGACCGCCCGTGGCAGCCCGAAGATTGCCATTATCATCGCTTCTGAAAAAGACCCGGCGTCCAAGGAGTGTGGAGCCTAATCTTGAGTCGCGTGAAATATCGTCATTCTCCTCGTCTAGAGGCAACTCCTCCATGCATTTAATTGGCATTGTCCTCGCTTCAAGGTACAGAGCGCTGCATCCTAACTTGAAGCCATGGCTCTTCACTACCCCGTTTTCGCTCACGCACCGCTTAGCTTTGGCAAGGATGTTTTTATCGATGCAACATATCATTACGGTTGGAGCAGCTCTGATTTCAGATGGTCCGATCATATAATCCCTGAGAAAGAGAGGGGCTCCTTCAGGAAGGCCGCAATTCTCCAGGAGATGCTCAAGCTCAGGAAGGATCTTGGATTCAAAAGTCTCTCGAGCCGGGCCTTTCGTGAACCATGCTTTTAGTCCATCCATTTTCTTTGTCCCGGTATCAATAGCAGCCCCAATGGAGGCTAGAGGGTCTGGCCAAGTTGTAGCCCTTGATGATGATCGAAAGATGCTGGCGGGGTTTGTTGCCAATTTGAATGTGGTAGAGGGTGCCTGAGTCAAAACGCTCTGGATTTTAGAGATGATCTTTTTGGTCTCATGTGCTGTATTTGGTGTCGATTCTGGCTGATGTTTCTGATTTGCATTCAATATAACTTGCGGCGAAGTCATAGTTGGCGTAGCCATCGTTGGTATCGAGAGTTATTAGATTTTCGTTCACAGGTATCAGTTTTACCGTTAGAATGGGAAGGGCTAGGTCAAGGAAATAAATACACTATAAGATCGATACGCCAAATAACCGCCGTTTCAATTGTCTCCTTTTTGCAGTTGTGGTGGGGGTGGCCACCCATCATTTGATTCGATTACCTACATACATACATACGTGTATAAGCCCGGTGGCATTGTTCGATACCAGCTGCGCCACCCTCCTCTGCATATAGGTCGGTGAGCCTACATAAGTCGCAGCTGAGAAGACCGATAATTGGATCAAATGTGCCGCCCTTTTGTTCATAGCGTTTCGTGGGCCTGGGCTTATTTCATTTTGAAAATTGCAGTTTGAAGCTGTCAGCCTACCTTGCGTCATGGGATAAGGCAAAGCATTCATCAATCTATAAGTAGGCAATCCCAGAATTGTTTGATGTTTTTTTCCTATCAAACCAGCGCGATGGCTATATCTGTGCAGCAGCTAAAATGAAACCCGACATCGACCCAGTCCCCGCAGATTTGATCCTAACGCTGCTATGGGGGAATCATCTGGATGGTCATAAGCTTCGTACTGGAAAGACCTTAGCCACCCTTGATAAAGCAGCCTACCTGGATTATTTCCAACTCCAATATGGCTACTTTACCCGATCCCACGACAGCAATTACAATGATATGCAAATCATCGAGTATGTCGTTAATGGCATCAAATCAGGGGTAACTAAGGAGACCATATTCTCCAATCTCAAATCATGGGCAGGCTCTGACAAGCTTTGCGGTGAAAAAATCTACGAAGACATTGTGCACCTAACCGCCAGAGCGCTTGTTATGTGCAATATAGGCGCTTTGGATAACCAAGCCAATCCTCGACAATACTTGGAATGGAAATCGACAGACAATTTACAAGGTGTTATTAGAGGTCATTTTCATGCTGAACCGCAATTGCAAGAGCGAATGAGACTTCCAAAAACCTTTGATGCATGGGCGATTGAAAGAATTGGAGGCATCTTTATTCAATTCACAGATAACCTCGCAGATCACCTACTCCTTGTAAACGACGATACGACTCTTCTTGTTTTTCACCATGTGGCTTTCTTGGAGCTTCAGACAAAGGAGTAAGTAGCATGTGTCAATTCAGCGCTTCAAATATCTCCTGGAAATATACTGACATCATCTCGTAGGTCTCTTCTCCCCGAAGCTCTCGTCGATGAAACCTTTCGCACGCTCGCTCTCCTCTTCCCGCAGTCCGAGTTCATATCTACCCGCCGAGCGACGCGTGAAAAACGGGACTGGTTCAAAAAGCTCTGTCAACGACATCTCAGTGGTCACCGATGCCAGGTGGATGATCAGATTTTGCGATGTGGAACATTGAAAGCGGACGCACGACAGATAGAAAGGTTTCAGTACTGGCGAGACCGTTTGGTGGTACTTAAGCAGAGCTACGATGATGCCACACCGGCAACTCTGACTCAATGGTGGTTTGACAGAAGGAATGGCCCACAGTGGTATACGTTTTGGATCGCTATCACCGTGTTGATAGTTTCAACTGTGCTAGGCTTGATACAATGTGTCCAGGGTGCCCTCCAAGTCTACAAGGCTTATCACCCTGAGGGCTAAAGGTTGCGTCCAATTTATCGATTTTGATGTGCGGGGACCTCAATTGTAATATTCATATCGAGGATTCAAACGTCCAAAGTTACCAAATGAGAAGACGAAAATCTGTGATAGTTTTGGATGGTGACTACTCGTCGCAGGGACGTTTTTAATTTCCACCTCTACAAACCACCCACTAGCATAAATTACAGCTTGTCTAGACTCGATTACCTGAAACCCCCATATGTGGGTTTCATAGACCTCAATATTAGCGATGATGTAATTCTTAACAACCTTGAGAGGTTTGAAGTTTATGTGCTCTCAGTTCATGATTAGCCGATGTGAGAAGTGGTTGAGGCTAAGTCAGGTACCTACCTAGGTACCTACATGTAGTGGAGCACCTGGACAGAAAGCGGCGACGGATACTACCAGACGTATTCAAACTGATCAAAAGCGAGCAATGTCCTAGAATATGACAGCAGATAACAATATAAAATAAGACTTATTAGAATTCCATAATTTATATTTTTCGTCAAATATGCTCTTCTGGTTGACTATCAGGATGGACATGTATCTGGTTGGTCGTGGGAGGGTGATGGAGTACCTGCCCAGATTAGGCTTAGCTTTCAACGTGCCTATTTCGTACCCAGTCGCGTCTTCTACCATCTCGTCGCGTTAAGTGCTTCTCACCAAGCTCAACTCACAACCACGCTGCGCCAAAATGCCCTCCGCAAAGCCCCAAGAGAAAGGCGAGTCATCCACAGCTGCCATAAAGGCATCGCTGGATAGCTCTTCAAACGGCCAGGCAAATTATGAGCTGCCATGGTAAGTCCCCCCAGCCAGAGCACGTCAATATATAACAACGGCAAAAAAGTAACCAGTCCCAGGGTTGAAAAGTACCGACCAGTATTCCTTGACGATGTTGTCGGCAACACGGAGACGATCGAGCGATTGAAAATCATTGCAAGAGAGGGCAATATGCCGCATGTCATCATATCTGGCATGCCGGGTATCGGAAAGACGACCAGCGTGCTGTGTCTAGCAAGGCAGCTTCTCGGTGAATCTTACAAAGAAGCCGTGCTGGAGCTCAACGCCAGTGACGAGCGTGGCATTGATGTTGTCCGAAATCGTATCAAGGGTTTTGCACAGAAGAAGGTCACATTGCCAGCTGGGAGACACAAATTGGTCATCCTTGATGAGGCTGACAGCATGACCTCCGGAGCACAGCAAGCATTGAGGCGGACGATGGAAATTTACTCCAACACGACACGGTTTGCCTTTGCCTGCAATCAGTCCAACAAAATTATCGAACCTCTCCAGTCAAGATGCGCCATCTTGCGGTACGCAAAGCTTACCGATGCCCAAGTCGTTAAGCGTCTCATGCAGATCATCGAAGCGGAAAAGGTCGAATACAGCGACGATGGGCTGGCGGCCCTAGTATTCAGTGCCGAGGGAGATATGCGGCAGGCTATCAACAATCTCCAATCTACATGGGCTGGTTTCGGCTTCGTCTCTGGCGACAACGTCTTCAAAGTGGTGGACTCCCCTCACCCAATCAAGGTGCAAGCCATGCTCAAAGCGTGCTATGAAGGAAATGTCGACTCAGCTCTGGACACACTGCGGGAGCTCTGGAATCTCGGATACTCGAGTCACGACATCATTAGTACAATGTTCAAGGTGACAAAGACTATTCCGACACTGAGCGAGCACTCCAAATTGGAGTTCATTAAAGAGATCGGTTTCACGCACATGAAGATTCTAGAGGGTGTTCAAACACTTTTGCAGCTCAGCGGGTGTGTCGTCAGGCTTTGCAAGATAAACATGGATCCCAAACGGTTTAAGACATCGGCCTAGATAAATAAGTTTGCATTATATTGGCGTTGGAGTTGGGCTGGTCTGAACCAGCGGTTCTACTCGAAATACATGTACCATGTGGTGAAAGATATTACAAAAGTATGAGGGTAGCGCATGAACTGATCCTCACTACAAAATATACAAGATGTTTATCAGTTCGCCCATATCGAACTAAGACTTTTCATTTCTTCGAGCTGCAAGCTCCTCCTCGTATTGGTCCCATCTGGCCTTTTCCCTCATCATCCTCCTCTGCATCCTGACTTGGGCCTCATATTCCCTCAGTCGTGATTCAGCATTCAGCATTGCTCCGAGAACCATACCTGAGGACTGGATGTATCTGAGAATAACCTGGTAAGAAAAATGGTAATGCAATGTTATAGCAATGCCAACTTACACTTTAAACTGCAAGGTCGTTGACCTATACACGGGGGATCGAAGATATGCTAGACCTCCCAGGATGGCAGTTCCTAAACCCCATTTGCCGGCACCGATCATGGCACCTTTGCAAGCTTCCCAGGCGGCGTCATCCGCCTCCTCGTACTTCTTTGAGTCTGAAGTACGCATTGAGACGGCGACCGAAATGGTGGACTAATTCGCCTTCACCTCTTAGTTAAGAATATTCAATTGGCAATTGAGGAAAGAAGAATCCTTTTTTTTCTCGCAATATAAGGTTGAACCGGAAGAGAGGGAAAAAGTAAGCACTCGGTGAGCTTAGTATAATTTTGCGCGGTAGTATTGCACAAATGGCCTGATTTATGCTGCAGATACAGAATAGCGAGACTGAAATAGGCAATTAGTGCTCGCTTGAATAGCAGAAGGCGAATTGGTAAAGAAAAGGATCAATTCATAGAATCCCGAGTAGTAGTAAATCTCCGACATCAGGCTCAATCTCATCGGCCGTGAGATGGGTGAGGTCATGCGAGCGAGATGCCCGCCTCATGTGGCTTGAGCTTAAACCCCCGATAAGGAGCTCTTCTTGCCTTGCCACCTCGATACAACGATAGACCCACTTGACAGGCTGAGCTAAAGCTTCCTGCCATAAAAGGCCTTGCACCGAGATCTTTTTTTCCGTTCTCAAAGATGACACGACACCAGCTTGTTTAGCAATGCCCACGCAAGCATTGCGGCCTGTCGCAGCCCCCCAATCCGGCCTTTTCCAGTTCCACATGGACACCAGGCGGTTTTCCTTTTAAGCGTGCACCTTCCTTGTCATTGTTTCCCACTTGGAATCCTGTGCCTCGTCACTCTGCATTTCCTTGTTTTGTAGCCAGCCATTCCTCTTCACCATGGACGCCGTACTGGACCACTACTTCCAGGCTCCTCCTGTCACAAGGTAAGCAAATCGCCAACCCGTCTTCTCTACGACTTGTTCTAACCGTGCTTCTCAGGACCTTCACTGCCATTACCGTTGTTCTATCGTTGGGCGTAATCCTAGGTGCCCTCTCAGACAAGACCTTCGCGTACTACCCGCTCTACGTGTACAAGTTCCCGCCCGAGATATGGCGATGCGTGACTGGATTCATGATAACCGGCTCCGGCATGAGCTTCCTCTTCCAGAGCTACCATCTCTTCATTTACATGAGCCAATTGGAAGTTGGCAACCCCAGATTTTCCAAGACTGAGGACTTTATTTGGTACCTCATGTGCGTAGGGGGTGCAATTCTGGTAGGTCCTATTGCCGTCCTCATCACCAATGTTCCCGTGCCTTTAGTTAGACAATACTCCCCCTCATATATCTGCCCGGATAGTGCTTTGCCTCTACAACTATCACGGTTCCTGGAAATGAGGAAGATTACCCCTGCATTGCGAGCTGGCCCAATATTCGCAAACCTCGGGTCAGTTTCGGGGTGCAGGCATGGTGGGATAGCTTATGGATGGCCCGCGTGATTTCCATTCACTTGGGTGGTTTTATTTGCTCCCTACATTTCAACATCGTCTTAGCTTAGCTTATATGTTTTTTGCTTCTTGCCAAAAAGCCCTAGAGAAGCTAATCAAGAATTTTCATTCAGGGAATTAATCATCTCGTCGGATTTCCGTTCACGTTCTTCCTAGACGCCCTGATCCTCGCCATGTGCTACACCACCACGCAGGAACAGCGAGGGATGAAGACCAAGTTCCTCTTCATGTTCACTATCCCAGCCCAGCTGCTCCCATACTGCCTGATTCTGTTCAATCTCGTCTTCCCCGGAGGTGCCATCAGGATGATCCTGGAGATCTACGGGCTGATTGCCGCGCATCTCTTCGATTTCCTGACCAAGGTCTGGCCGCGATACGGTGGAAACGGTCGTAGCCTGCTACCAACGCCACCTCTTCTAGCCACGCTGGTAAACTTCGTGAGCCAAAATCTCCCGAATTTACAGGCTCGAATGGCCCCTGCTCCGGCTCCTGAAAGCTCCTCGTCGGGGTCCTCTACTGGCAGACCTGCGGGTTCGTCGGGTGGCCCTCTGCCAGATTCATGGCGAACAAGAGGCCCGGGCCACCGTCTGGGCTAGTAGTAATTCACGCTTGGCAAAGAAGAAATTTTTTTTAGAGATTTGTAAAATTATGAAGAAAAAAATTTAATAATTCAGTGAGCTAGTCTTAGCTCTACTCCGCCAGCCATGTACCATGTTCGCGTGCCAAAAATCCTCCAAACGCCTTCCCAATGATTGTTATTTACAGGGGAATTCTTTCTATTAACAAATATGAAATCTCGGCTTGCCCATCCACTGGATGATCATCATCTTTGGTTGTCATCGCTGGTCACCGTGATAGTCGGTGGTGTGTAAGTCTTGGGCCCCCGAAGTTTCGACAGGTTTGCCGGCGTGACAAGCGAAGGCATAGCAGGACGTTCTTGGGGAGGTGGGTTTGGCGGAGGAGGAGGTACTGAAGAGCCGGCCTCACTCAACGCCCTGGCGTGAGTGCTGTATGTCTTAAGCGCAAAGGACTCCGGCGTGGTGGATGAATGGTTCCTTCGAGCTGCGGGCGCAGGTGCCGAGGGCGCATAGTTGACGGATGAACGCCCGAACTCTGAGGAGCGCGACGGTTGCGCGGCAGCAGCCTGCGGCACGTAGCGTGGCAAGCTGCTCTGGGATGGCCTCGTGGAGTGGACGGAGGGTCTGCCCGAACGCCTTTCCTCGTCCAACTTTTCCAGGTAGTCGAGCCCGCGGTGGCTCTGCTGGCTGTGGGAGCGGATGGAGGAGGACATGAAGCCTCCGTTGGGGGGCAGGATCGGGTCGGGGGAGTTGGCCTGGCTGGCGTGGTAGTCTGCCTTTTCGTTCTTCTCGATCTGCCTCTTTCTTCGTCGGTGCATGAAGAACAGGGCGATTCCGCCGAGGACGAAGAGAGCCGCGCCAATGGCAATGCCCACGATGGCGCCGGTGGTCAGTGAGTTGGATCCAGCACCCTCGGGTCGGTCCAGGACGTTCTCGGTGGGTTCGGTGATGTTGATGCGGGTGCTCTGGAAGATGGTTCCGCTGAGGCTGAGTGTCTTGCCGGGTTCTGTCTTCTGCTGGCAGCCTGCCAGGAGCGCGATCATGACTGGGGTGGAGGTCAGCTTGGATATACCGTTTGCACTTGATTGTTGCGAAGACTTACAGTTTGAGAGATATTTCTGATCCGAGGTTGCCTGGAGACATTTTACGCACGGCCATACCGCCTTCTCCTTGAATGCGCCAGAGGCCGCGTCGCAGTAGCCATACGTATCTGTCCGGCTGGCATTGAGATTGTCCTCGGTCAAGGATCCCTTGAGGTTCTTGCAGGCATTATCGAGAATGCAGGGCGAATTCATCTGGGTGGAAGCGGGGCTAGGAAGACCGAACAGACATGTACTCGTGGCATAACGAACGTTGTCTATCAAGTTCAATCGTTAGTGCGCTCAACGTTGTGTATAATTGGAGGGTTGAACCATTCACATACAAAGATACCAGTGGATGTCCGACTCGCTGCCTTCCACCTTGTCGCTCTTGGCAAGACACTCGACACAACTCTTGTACTTCTTTCCCTTGGCATCGCTGCCAAAACTTGCGTCCAGACAGGTGATGTCGGAGGAGTTTGTGGAAGAGGCTGCGGCGTCGAAAGCGTCCGTCTCGCCGTTGTCCAAGCACAGAGAGGCACAAGAGGAGCCAGGGGTAAACTCGAGAGCGAGGGAAATGATAGTCAATGTCGACAAGACCAGGAGAAGAGCTGAAGATATCCGAGCCATGGTTGCGGAGTCTTTTGTGGAGGGTGGAGGTGAGAAGAGTAGGTTGGCCCCGGGTGTTTAGTTCGATATCATCCCAAGAGTTTCCAACATGGCGTGGTGGCAGTTGCTCAAGACTAAACGGCCAACGGACTTATCTCAACCTTGAAGACCCTGACAAGAGATGGAATAGACAAGACTACGAGGCTTATGGGCAGAGGTGGGCACAACTGTTATAAAGAATCGGGGATGGGTTGCATGCTTGACGAGGCAGCTAATTAGCCATGCACCCGTCCATGCATGTCAAGGATGTGGCTTGCTGGAAAGACCGCTCCGAGAATGGATCAGGAAAGCTAAAAATCTTCCATACAGGAGATGGCAGCCGACGATCAATCAAGATGCCGGCTCAGATGGCACCATGGGCAGCTGGGCGCTGGATGTTGCTGAAAATAGACACATGGCACCGGGGGCTGGGCCAATAGCTCGAGAGCTTGGCGAGCGGTAAGCCACGTAACGAGGCCCTTGACGCCAGGATACTGAGTCGCTTAAATCTACGAGTGTACGGGTTTCGCAAGTCATTGGCCCAGGAGAGACGCATTCTCCCGGCGCTTGGAAGCGATTGAGTGGGTGAGGCCGTTCTAGACGGATGGGGCAAGATGAAAGAGGGCGGCCCCATCGGCGGCCCACCAGCGGACCCTTGGGAGGGGCCTGAGGGGTCTTTGGGGGGGCTTCAGGGCGCTCGGTGCGCTGCGAGTGGTCAGGCAGCCCTGGAGCAGTGGCAGCAACCGCCGTGCCCTGGTCGTACCAGTGGGGAGGACGGGCATGACAGTGGACATCTGACATGGGCTTTATTGATGCTGGCTCACTCTCTTCCTCGCATATTATTTTTACTGTCTCTTCCCTGGTTGACTTCCCCAGATGGTGGGCCAGGCTGGAATCTGTCCAGCGTGGACAGTCTTTCTTTAGATCCGGTGTGTCGCCAAAATCTGATAGCTCGGGCCTGGCTTCGCTTCTGGCGAGGCCTGACTACTTACACCGTTGCATTGCAAGGTTCATCTGCTGTGGAGGGTAGATGGTCATCTATTCCTTTGCCGCCTCCCAGTCTTGATGCGCCATTATCAAGGTAGGTAGGGTGTCATCGTGTGGGAGAGTCTGGGCATGGCAGGACTTGCATTTGACTTTGCATCTTGACGTAACACCATATTATGTCAAACACGCGGACTCAGAGGGTCGGTCCCTGTGCTGTGTGGCACTTTCTCACGTGCTCCCGACCCCAAGCATGAGGTAAGAGCGGGAGAGATCCCAGAGGGAGATAGAGCGTGAGGAATAAGAGAGTCAGAAATATCTTCTTTTAGCGAGACCAAAATGAAGGGAGCCGTAGTCAAGGTCGACACGAGAAGAGAGGCCCCCAAGGGAGGTCAGGCAGTATTACCACCCACCTCTGAGAGAACTCATCCAAGAGCGTATAGCAGGGAGAAGTGTGCCATGGGTGCGAAACTGTTGACGCATGTACCTTGCTCTTGGCCTTTACGAGCTCCTCGTTCTCTTTTTGCGTCAAAAGAAGTGTTGGGGAGATCAGCGAGTTTAATAGTTTTTGAAATGCCAATTCCAATGCACCGTTGGCTAGTGACACCGGTGCACTGGTAACCCTAGAACCAACAACTTGGACCAACAGATGTGATGCTTCAACTCAGACCACTCACCATGGCACGGAATCCCACCACACGTCCCATCCGCATTCTCACACTAAATTTCTGCCTCAAGTAGTGGGGCAGGACGTTGTAGGCGGGCCGTGGTCGCAAGAGGGGAGCAGACAACGTGCAGCATCGCATCATTCTGAACCCACATCCCCAATACAGCAGCAGGGAGAGTAAGTGGTTGAGCAACGGCTCGGCCCCCAATTTCAAGGGATCCGTCCCTGCGGGCGTCCTAAACGCTCTCTCTCCAGATCCCTGGCTTACACTCCAAGGAAACATATTGTCATGTGGGCGCAATTGGCTGGCACGATGCAACACCAACAACCGGGCGCTTAACACCCTCCTGCTGGGTGCTGATTGGCCGGCTGCACGTTGACAGATGCAGCTTGTGGTAACTGTAACTGGACCCCACCGACTATTGTTACGCCAATGGCCTTTTTTCCTACAAGGTAGTCCACAAGTTATTCTTCAATTGGGTGCAGAAAAGATGCCCCAGGAATAGTACCTCGACATGTAGGTACGGACATAGTGCGGACTGCCCGGAGGCTTCCTCAAGTCAACCCTCGCCTTCCCTGCCGCCCCTCGGCGTCTGTTTCTGCCGTCCAAGCCGGCCAGACAGCCAAGACGGCCGTTGATTGGGACTGGGACTGTCCTGAGGATTGAGCTTAGGGTTGAGATGGGGATAGCACGAGGCCGTCCTTAGTCTATTCCACCAGGACGGTCGCCCGAACCAGAGCTCGGGAGCCGCCCGCCTAGCTGTAGTAGGAGTAGCTGCTCAGTATTAGCTTGCCAACTGGACCTTTCTCGTCCTCAGCCCAGTTGATCTCCCCCTCATTCGATTCCCCAGTTTTCCGTAGACGCATGGCAGTTGGGTCGCAACTTCCCACTGGGCCCCCGCGCGTGTGGCTGGCAGACTCGTACGGTGTGTGTTCCTGCTGTTGGTTCTAAATTTTCCCCTTCCGTGCCTCCACCGACTTGTGCAGCCCTTAAATATATTTGGCCTTGGCCTTTGTGCGGAATACCTCACGGCCAGTATCTGCGACCTCGAGGTCCCCGGCCTCTGCTCTCTGTCCCACGCTCCTCACGGTAAGGCCAGCGCACGGGGGAGGGCCCGCCGTCCGGGACACGATGAGGATCGGTTGCCTTCAATTCGCGCCGCAGGTCGGTGATGTCGACAGTAATCTCACTCGAGCCGATGAGATCCTGGCCAACGCCGACCCGGAGGGCCTGGATCTGCTTGTGCTGCCGGAGCTGGCTTTCTCTGGTAAGTGCTCCCAGTCGGAGTAGGTCGCATGGAAGAAAGATGGTGTCTCATCCTCCCCTCCCTGCTGTTACAGGTTATAATTTCAAGTCGCTGCAACACATTTCCCCCTATCTCGAGTCGCCCGCCTCCGGTATCAGTTCACTATGGTCGCGCTCCATGGCGCTCAAGTACGATTGCACCGTTGTTACAGGCTACCCGGAAAGGGTAGACACCGCCGATAGCTGGCCCGCCGACCCCGAATACTACAACTCCGCCCTTGTAATCAGCGATGATGGAGAGACGGTCGCCAACTACCGCAAGGCCAACCTGTATTATACGGACGTGACATGGGCGTTGGAAGGACCTGACGGTTTCTACCGGGGCCGTCTCCCCAATCTTGGCCCAACCGCAATAGGCATCTGTATGGATTTGAAGTGAGCACACTGCATAGTATCGGGTTTGACATGAAACTGACCTGTCAACAGCCCTTACAAGTTCGAGGCTCCATGGGATAAGTTCGAATTTGCCCACCATGTTTTGAACTCCGGTGCGCGGCTAGTGATTGTGTCCATGGCATGGTCAACCCATGATGAACCCACCGTGTACAACCTTCAACCGCAAGAGCCAGATACGTCGACGCTGATGTACTGGATCTCTCGCTTTGAGCCGGTTATTCAGGCCAGGTTGGATGAGGAAATCATCATCGTTTTTGCCAACCGCTCAGGAATGGAGAGCGAGGCTCTTTATACCGGCACTAGCACGGTTGTGGGAATCAAATCTGGTGAGGTTCGCATATACGGGATCCTTGGCCGGTGCGACAACGAGCTTCTGGTTGTAGACACAGACGCGCCGCCCTTTGCCAAACTCGTACATCGGATAGGTGAACAAAATGGAGTCTCAGAGTCGTGTAATACTCCTAGTAGTGAAGAGTCCGACACGACAGATGCCAGCAACGTCGGGCGTACTGGAGGAAGCTTGAACGGCACTTCGCGCGAGTCTCCGAGTCGAGAATCCCGACAGAGTAGCTCGACTTCTAATCATGCCTACAAAAAGTCCAGCTCTTTTTCTCGAAGGGATGATCTCTCCATCAATGTATCTGGTCGGCCGAAAGGGCCACACGCAGCCCTGGAGAGCCCATTCGTTCATACACCGACCGCTCCGAGCCCTACTCCTTACCAGATTCGGCCTCAGCTCTTCATGCCTTCGGATGATTCAAGGTTGCAGCAATTCATCGAGCTCAATTCGTCTCCTAACCCACAACAAACTCAAGCCAGCGTCAACGAGCCGAAGGCAGATGAACAAGATCTCTTGTCCGTACTAGACTCTAGCTGGCTCCAACCAGGTTCTCGGGGTTCTGTATCTTCTACGTGCTCTTCCCTCCAGTACTGGATGCCATCGGCCCGTCCAAACGGCCTGGGCTGGTCAGTAGATGATCCGGTAGCGACACATCATGACTTCGAAAAGGGCGAGAGGGAGCGCAGCACACATCAAACTCCTCGTGTCGGCGTACTTGGGGCAAAATCGTCGCCTCAAATAGGTCCACCTTCATCCAAACGATCTCAGAGGCGAACTGCAGCCCCGAATGGCCAACGATCTCTCTCTCAAGAACCTTCCTCCAATGACTACCGTCCAGGTAGTCAATCTCGTGTACTCAGAAGGTCAAATTCAGCAACTGCCATCACCTCGGAAGTGAAGACTACTAGTCGCCAAATGAGAAAAGTGACAATAGGCTCGGACATTGATCGCGGACACAGCCACTCCCAAAGCAACAGTGTTAAGTTAAGAAGTCGTGTAAGCACTGGCGAACTAAATGGCCGCAAAGTCGTCAGTCAACAACAGTCAATTCACCCCTCTGCACACGGCACAAAAAACCGCCAGCGGTCGCTCTCGAGATCAGACGCAGTCCAATCAGTGCCTTCTGTACCGTCCGGGAATTCCAAAAGTCGAGGCGGTTCAGTCGGACGTCATTCTACAACAGCTTCTTACAGAACTGCCACGACGCCCATCTTGCAGCCTGCACCACTCAGCCGGCTCATGGACCAATCAGTGCACAAGCAAAGCCATGAGCGAACACCATCTAAGGGCCGGGTGGACCCGTTGGATCGTGTTCAAAACATGTCAGCTTCAGTCGATGATACTAGGCCGGCTAGTCGGGGCCGACCGCGCGAAACCAAGCCTATTGAAACCACAGGGGATCAAACAGGTCGAAAGCGAAGCCAGAACTCGAGGGTTAACCAGACTCCCCAGCCAGATCCGGTTGATCTCTCCCAATTCAGGCTCATAGAAGAGTATCCATCGGCAAATTGTCCAGTGCATGGCTCCCGGTCAAGGTCCGGAACCGGTAGTCGACAACGCAATACCCCTGATTCAAGATTCCGAGCACAGAACCAAGTGTCGAGGCAGCCAGCGAATTCTAGCTACAACAATATAGCGAACGGTTCGCCTCCCGTTAGAAGACGACCCTCGAGGTCTAGAGTATCCCAAACCCCAGATACCCACAACTATTCACTTCAGTCCTCTCGTCCTTTCAGAGACTTACCTGGGCCCGAAATGATAGTACGGGCTGCGACCATTGGCCCAGGCCATGAGACTACAACCGAGTCATCTATTCCTCGGGGCAAAGACTCAATGGTCGCCGAACTAGAACCAAAGACGCCTGTTGCCATGGTTCTCGTGTTTGAACAGGAAGAAAAACCGATCCCACCAATGAAATGTGTTGATAGAAGCATCCTCAACGAACCAATCATGAGACCGAGAAGTGCGGTCTGGTAAGTGGCATTGCACAGCGTTTTGGCATTCATGCTATTGGCGACATTATGGCCCATTCTATTTTGGATTCACAATTTCTGTTTTATTCATCTCTGGATTCTCCATTTGTTTCTTTACTTCTTTTTGGATATGGAAATACAGCAACTCTGAGCGAGGCGTTGGACCCGAGATCCCATGGCACTTTGATGAACCACACTACAGGTACAACACCCCGCGCGGGGTTGATTTTATAAGCGAACGTCATCATGTTTTTATGAGAATTGACCTTTACTTCTTCCTCTGACCATTTGAGCCCTGTTCAAACCACCAAAACTCAGTGCATGATCTACCACCACAGAGCTAGACAAATATGGATAGCAACCATCTCGGAACAGCTGCCATGGCCCCCAAACACCAACATTGCCTCTTTGCCTTTCAGCAGGTACCCACGAAGGTGAGAACAAGGGTTCTCTCGGCACACCGTTCAGTGGCCAAATTCCGGACCAATGAGCGGGCGAGGACATGGGGCCGGATCATAGCGGCGGCAGATGTGTGTGAATGCGGCAGGGATTGTTGCAGACCAGCGGCCCGCGCTTTGCCTTGAATGGCCCAAGATTGAGCCGGCCCCTGGAAGCCCCCCACAGCTGCGCGCTTGCTCGACACTGCTTATTTGTCGAGAGCTGGCCCCCTCCCCAATCACCAGCGCCCCAACCCCCGTGATGAACACTCGCCCGCCGCTTTCCAGCCCACATTTGACCGCGGAAAAGAGGTTCATAGTACGATTCGGAAGGCCTTTGGACCGTCCGGATCCCAAAATCACACTCTCTGTTGGCCCATCGCGCGTCGGGACCCGCCTCAATGCTCCATTGTGTCGTGTTCTGACCCTCCTCATGCCCAGCTCCCGGATTTCATCACACTCGATAGTATTGTCGCCCTGCGGTGGAATCCAGACATGGGCATCGCCCCATGCTTGACCTGCACCTCATCACGCTGTTTTGCACCAACAAGTGTCTTGGGATCGTTGCAACCGTTCCTCGGCGGCGTCTAATTCCAATCTTATATTGCACCTGTGTACCCATCCACAGCTCCGCAGACGCCAGAGCTCTTCTTCCTCAATCCCAGTGTCATGTAGCACAGGGCCGATCTGGAGCTGACTGCGCGCGCACAAAGAAGATAACGCATCCAACAACCCATCTCATAGCCATCAATCCCAGGCCTGAGCAGCCATCTGGAAGGCGTCGCTCCGCTGGGAGATCCAACAGCCAAGGTCGCAGCACGAGCCATCACGAGTCGGCAGCAAGATGCAGATTCTAACCACATTCCTCGTCGCTGCAAGCGCAGTGCGGGCGGTCCTGGTGACCTCCGGCTCGACCTGTTCCAGCAGCTGCGGCAATGTCCTGGACAGAACGGCCGAGGACGAAATGACCTGTTTGCAAGCCGACTACGAAAAAGGTACCGGCGCAGTATTTAAGACTTGCCTCGAGTGCGAGATGTACAGTGACTACTCGAACGGCGAGGAATCGGACACCGCAGCGCTACTCTGTACGTCGCCGTACCGTCCATGCTGTTTTCCAACTTGCCGTCCCATGCTAACAGGCGCAATCCCAGATAATATGCGATTTGCAATCAAAAATTGCCTATTCGAGGCTGGAGTCAACCAATGCATAACAGAGTATGATGAATCCCCCTCCCTCATCCCCACCCATGAGCCCGGCTGACTGGTGTGCACCTTGCAGGGAAGCATGCAAACCCTTCCAAGGCTCCGTATTGTATGAAAACTCCAACGTCACGGATGGGGTACGAAATTATGAATTCTGTGCCTCATGGCCACTCTCGGATACAAAACACTTGTCACAATGCAAAAGTTGTCTGCTGGCCAGAGATCAAGACTATTTGGCCAACTGTAAGCACTCTATTCCCTCTATAATAATCCGCTCCCAATTACTGACGAGTGCGCTCGTACACAGTTTTTACGGTTCTCCAGGGCGCTTGTGAGCAGCAGCCCGAACTCTCGTATACAGTTGCTATCGAGGGTGATATCTTCTCCACGACCATGGTCAATGTCACATCCCCAACACCCAAGGCGTCGATTGATCCAGCATGGTTTGACGATGGGCCATTGGATCTCAACGCGAAGGCAGGCATCGCTGCCGCCGGCTTTGTGTTTATCCTGATCATCATTGGCTTTTGTATCATTTGGCGAGGCAGGCGAAGACGAAGGGCCTTCCTGCGCGACTACGAGACCAAGTTCAAGCGTAAGAACTGGCCTGCACCTCTGCAGACACAAAACATGCAGGAGACGACTGACACCCCGTTGAGCCAGCGGCCGCTCAAGTTCTGGGATGACTCTCCAGCATCGGAAGAACAGGCTTTCCCTCGCTACTTTTCACCGTACTCCTCACAGTTCAGCAGCCCTGTGAGTGGGACCGACGCGCAACCCCAGAATCATCAATGGCCTCAGGCGCAGACTACGTCTGTGACTCCACGCAGCATAGGGCTGGCATTCGCAGGGGACTCGCCTGTGTACGGCGACTCCAAGGGCAAACAACCAGAGGAGGCATATGAGATGCATCATGTGGATAGCAGGCACAACAACAACAAATCAAATCTCAGTAGTGAGGTCGGTGGCTACGGCTTTCCGGCGGAGGCAACAATCCCCTCCACGGATCAACAACAAATACACAACTCACATGGGAGACGGTACAGCGGGTCTTACCGGAATTTCTCAGGAAACAGGGGGGTACAGATATAGCGATACGAACTGATAATCGGATGAGTGATGGACTTTGATTGGGTGCTAGGAGTCTGGTGGTAGTAATGTCGTCTTTTGTATAATTTCCTAGCTTCATCGCAGCGCTCGTTTGGAACATGGCAAGCGAGGGTACCTTTATCCAAGGGCTGCGGGTTTAGTCAACCAATGTACATACATGTTTATATGCAACTACCGTTTGCAATATCTCTGTTTTGGGATTAGCATTTAAGGTTGCGATTCTCAAAGTTAATGAGCCTATTTTATGATGTTGAAGCTAAATATGACTACCTCAGTCAGGATTCAATTTAACAGCCTGGCGAGCTCTTTTTTAATCCAAGCGTATGCCCAAACAGCCTACATCCCTTTTTAATTGCATTCCTTAATAGGTACCTATTCAAGGTCAAATGCAAGTTGTCTGCACTTTCTTCGCTTTTGGTATCCGTTGTTGGGGCTACCTACCCGGGAGCGTCTTTTTCAAAACGATACTTTGGGGCTAAAATCAGGGGACAAACGTTTTCAGTTGAAGAGAGATGGAGTGAAGTTTAATGCTCGCATGGCCGTGTTCGTAAGAGATTAAGGTACTTTTTAGGGTTTTTGGCTAATGGGCGAGGTAAACGCACTGTAAGAGTCCCTTTTAGTTTAGACAATCACCACAAGAAACTTCGGGTGTGTACAGGATTTCAGCAATGGTCTACTTTCTAAATGAGGGCTTTGGTCCGTGGTATATGTCGACACAGAGTAACTACCCAGATAGTTTATATTCAGATAGAAGCAGACAGTCGTTGCGTATTGGGGTTGCGACACAATGCGTTTGAGTAACCCGATACTCTTGTTGGGAGACGCTTGTGACGCCCTATCTGTCCGGAATACGAACTGTTACATGGACCCTCGTGAGTGTAATGTGTTTAACGAAATCCAATAGTATCTGCATACACTGTGGACAATCATACACTTCTCAAGTATTGGGCCAAGCTGGATTGCGAGTGATGTGAGTTGCGATTTGCAATTGGCAGGAATTGCCTGGGTAAATTTTGGCAGCTTTGAGTCTGAAGGCTTACGTGGAACTATCTGAGATATAGCAAGGCCTGTAACTCCAATTGTCCAAATATTGAGAAGACCAACTTGGACTGTCTGATGATACTGCCTGAGATGAAATAGGATCTTCATTTGCGCGACTGACCGCCTTGGGTGGGCCTCCATGTGTGGCTTGGGAGCTGTGGCGTTTGGGAGTCAAAGCCAAAATATCGAGTCGACCTCCCCACTTTTAACACCAGCCACATCTTGCTACTCGTGGACGAAGCTTTTGACCCACTCACAGAAAAAAAAAATTTGGAAGCTGTTCCATCGGCAAAACATCACCACCGACCGCAGGAAAATTCATCTTGCATCTGCCTTCCCGACGCAATTGTCTTCTCGAGAGTGGCTCCCGACGGTCGGTTATATTATCAAAGAGGAATCAAACCGCGGAAATGACCATGGACGTGGTTTCCAAGCAGGAGGATGAGCACATCATCAAGCCACAGGCCGTGACACCTGCCATTGACACGAGCTCGTGGCCTCTCCTCCTCAAGAACTATGAAAAGCGTGAGTCCCGAATCGCTCGCGGGATGGTATATCTGGATCAGCCGTAGAGAATACTGACACATTGGCCCCTAGTTCTCGTGCGAACCGGCCACTTCACCCCAATCCCCAATGGCTGCTCGCCTCTGAAGCGCGACCTCAAGTCGTACATCAGCTCTGGTGTTATCAATCTCGACAAGCCTTCCAACCCTTCCAGTCACGAGGTTGTGTCCTGGGTTAAGCGCATCCTTCGGTTCGTTCCACCGCGTGATATTCTCGTTGTTTCTGGTTGCATTTTTTCTGACTGAGATGGGTTCTGTAGAGTTGAGAAGACTGGCCACAGCGGTACCCTCGACCCCAAGGTCACCGGATGCTTGATTGTTTGCATCGACCGTGCCACTCGACTGGTCAAGTCCCAGCAGGGAGCCGGAAAGGAGTACGTGTGCGTCATCCGCCTGCACGACAAGTTGCCCGGTGGTCAGCCTCAGTTCGCCAAGGCCCTCGAGACCTTGTCCGGTGCTCTCTTCCAGCGCCCCCCCCTGATCTCCGCTGTCAAGCGTCAGCTTCGAATCCGAACAATCTACGAGAGCAAGCTCATTGAGTTCGACAATGACCGCCACCTCGGTGTCTTCTGGGTCAGCTGCGAGGCCGGAACCTACATCCGTACCCTTTGCGTGCATCTTGGTCTCCTCCTCGGTGTCGGCGCTCACATGCAGGAACTGCGACGTGTGCGCTCTGGTGCCATGGACGAGAACAAGCACCTGGTTACTTTGCACGATGTGCTCGACGCACAGTGGACGATGGACAACACTCGCGACGAGTCCTACCTCCGAAGGGTCATTGCTCCTCTGGAGACTCTCCTGACCGGCTACAAGCGCCTGGTTGTCAAGGATAGCGCTGTCAACGCTGTGTGCTATGGCGCCAAGCTTATGCTTCCAGGTCTCCTCCGATATGGTAAGCGCCACTATTGAATTTGATGTGTTCTTTCTGACAGGTTTGGCTAATTACGTTCTACAGAATCGGGCATTGAGCACCACGAGGAGGTTGTTTTGATGACCACCAAGGGCGAAGCTATCGCATTGGGTATCGCACAAATGTCTACGGTCGAGATGTCAACGTGCGACCACGGCGTTGTTGCCAAGGTCAAGCGATGCATCATGGAGCGCGACCTGTACCCCCGTAGATGGGGCCTTGGACCTGTCGCCCAGGAGAAGAAGAAGCTCAAGGCTGATGGCAAGCTCGACAAGTTCGGACGACCTAACGACGCCACTCCTTCCAAGTGGACTTCAGAGTACCAGGATTTCAGCGCCTCAGATGCTGCTGCTGCCGCCGCCGCCGCCACCCCTCAGAAGCCAGTTGAGGCGGCCAAGGAGGAGGCAAAGGAGGAACCCAGCACCCCTGCTGCTGATGATAGCGACAAGAAGAAGCGCAAGAAGCACGAGGGCGAGACACCTGATGAGAAGGCCGAGCGCAAGCGTCGGAAGGCCGAGAAAAAGGCCGCCAAGGCCGCAAAGAAGGCTGCCAAGGGCGAGGCCGACGACGAGGACAGCGACTAAGTGCAGGGAAAAGAGGGTGCCTGGATGCCTCCAAGGTTCTACCATTGATGGACTAGCAAAGTCAAACGGATCTCAGCCGCATTGTTTGCCTAGGAGCCTCCTCCGCTCTTGCTGTACCATTAAAAAAGGCTGGCTTTTACATGTTGGGATATGGCGTTGTTGGATTTCGATTTTTTGCTTCTGCATATCTTGGCTTGATTTTCAACGTTTTCAGACAAACCTTAGTATCTTGTTATTAGGAGTAGACGAGGCTGATATCTGAAAGAAATATTTGACCCAAAGAACATCCTGTACCGAGAACGACCGTTGCTCGTGAGACTGTCTATCGTCTGGTGAGACTTGAACGCATACTGCCAATAAGCTACATTTGCATGGATCAGAGATACCAGGGCAATTCGGAATATTACTGAAGCGGTGGTGCACAGCAAACCACCCCCGCGCCGAATCCTCCGGACAATATCTGGGGCGTACCAAAGCTGCGGCGACGTGGCCGGAAGTGGTGATGATTGGGAAGAGGCTTTTGAGCAAATGACCGCTTTGGTCTCGCCAAGAGCAGAAGGTGAGACAAGGCTCAGCGTTCCTCCGGGGCAAAAAAGCAAGAGACTGACTGACACGGTGCGATATTTTCGTATCCACACCAGTTCGTGCCGGAACGAGGTCCCCTTGAACCTTGACGGGCGGCAATCGGCAAGGCGATCTCTCAATGCGGAGCGGCGTCAGTCACACTTCAATGGTGCGGTTTGCCCCTACGATGTCTTAATAGAGAAACTCATCCAGTATTCCTGTCGGATGAAGCTTACCCCTCCTTCAAGGTTGAGCAAGTGAGACAGGAACTGCCACATCCGGACATTGGGTTCCTGGGTTTTGAACTTGTTCCTGATCTAATTCACGGTGTGGGATTGGGGATCTGCCTTGCCCCTCTAATGATGCGCGGCGAGAGAAACACCAGGCAAAGGACAGCCCACCTTGGGACCCGTATCTCATGGACTCACGGACTCGTGGACTCTTGGCTCTCATCATCTGCCAGAGATCGTCCTTGCTGAGCGTACTCAAGTGTCTTGTCTTTGTCTTGTCTCGCGCTCGGATTATTGCCATTTGACAGGGTCGTGGAGTTGTTGAGCACTCGCATGCATTTTGGAAAACACGCGCAAAGGGAAATTTGAACAAGATTGTCCTGCAGGGGACAGGGTGGGGTATCTCACCAAACCAGCGTCGTCGTGCTCCTTTATTGCATTCCTGTGTCTTTGGTCAACGTGAGCTAAGGCATGGCACGCAGTCGGAAACATGATGGGCTCCCAAGAGGATAAAGACCCGACCATGGTACCGCCATGGGAGTGAAAGAGAGGACTTGGCTTGTCCAGCAAACCTCTTTACCCTCCTTCTTGGCACAAGCCCTATCCCATCTTTTTCCAAGTCGCAACAGCTTGAGAACATGATGGCCGTCCTCTCTGCCCTTCTGGGCTTCTTATATCTATCAGTTTGCGCCTCAAGCAACCCTCTCTCACCTAGGGGAGGGCATTCGCTGAACCTCAATGTCGTCGACAATGGTGGTCTTGGTTGGAGAATGCCATTCGACTTTCCGGATCCCTCAGTGATCCGGGGCCGGGATGGCAGGTGGTATGCCTTCGCAACCGAAGGCAACGGCAAGCCTCTCCAGGTGGCATACGCAGATGATTGTTTCGGGCAATGGCACCTGCTGGACCACAACCCTCTCCAGCACGGCTCATGGACAAGCGGCCGCAACACCTGGGCCCCGGATGTCCGAGAACTCAATGATGGCAGCTACATCATGTACTTCACCGGGGAGGTGCCAAACAGCCACCGCCACTGCATCGGCATTGCCCGCTCCTGGGACATCTTGGGCCCCTATTGGCCTGACCCAAACCCCTGGATATGCCCTTATGACCAAGGAGGAGCCATCGATGCGTCCGGCTTCGTCGATCCCGGCTCTGGAGATCGATACGTCGTCTACAAGGTCGACGGCAACTCCCACGGGGCCCCTACACCCTGCGGGACTGGCGTCGACGACCCCAACATGCGCACTCCCATCATGCTCCAGAGGGTTGGGGCAGACGGCTCGACCAAGCTGGGCGGCCCCATTGAGATCCTGAACCGCGTCCCTCATCTGGACGGCGCCCTGGTCGAGGCACCGAACCTGTCGCGCCGCCGGGATGGCACCTACGTGCTCTTCTACAGCAGCCACTGCTTCCAGGACCCCAGGTACGACGTCAAGTACGCCTACAGCGACAGGATCGAGGGCCCCTACGTCCGCGCGGGGGGCCCTCTGCTGAGAGCTCCGTACTATGGCCTCCGTGCCCCTGGCGGAGCGACGAGCAGCGTCGATGAGTATGGCCGTGAGTTCTTGGTCTTCCACGGCGATTGCGGGGATTCTCGACGGTGCATGTACTCCGCGGAGTACTATTAGCCGGAGACCTGGCCGCTCTCACTTTCTCTCTTTTTTTCTTGTCATCATGTGTTTTAGTCCTGAGTCGGGGCAGCGGGCGGGTTGTGCTGAGTTCGGCATGGACCGCTCATTGTGCTTTGGCACACCGCTCGGGTTCAGGATGGTATAATTTGTTTTTGTACATATTTGGTTGAGTAGGGATATTGCCTGCCTAGTAGTAATAATGATAATCATTTGTTCCCACTAAAGCGACGTTGAGTTGAGACACGGTCCGTTGCCTGCCTGGAGAGAAAGTCAACGGACTCAGAGTGAGTGAAAAGTGGAACCATTGACACAGTGTCTACAGTGCAGGAAGATAGAATTCACACTGGGAACATGTCACTTGTATCGCCGTTTCACTCAATCGACTCTATTTCTTGCTCACCGTCAAGGGTGCGATGATCCGGTGTGGGCTAGACAACTTACACGCAGGAGGAATAGGTATTTTCCCTGAATGATTTAGTGTGAGCACATAGCGGAGAAACTGATGCTATTATCTTCTAACCTGATCCGCTAGATATCTCGCGCACATCGAATTACCAAGCAATCAAATTACCTTACCTACTTAGCTTCCACCGCTCCCGGGTCTCTGACAGGTCTATTTTACTATAGCCATTCGCTCATTTGAATCTAGGAGCCATGGCCGGTCCTCGTTAGTACATGATCAGTCACGCCCCCCCGCATTCGGCCGTTTTTCCAAACTGCTTCCTATCGAATGGGACTGACCACCTTGCGTGCAGGAACCAAGGCTGATATCGAGCGTATCTTGGATAAACTCGACACAGCGGACGAGGGCAAACTTGGAAGCGCAGGTGAGTCGTTTTTTAATATGCCTGCCGCAGATGCCTGCTCCTTTGGGCCCTAGCTGCTGTCTTGGAACGTTCACATGATCGGGGTCTGATCTGCGTCAACTTAGAACTCCAACAGCTGTTGACTCAGCTCCACACATCTACAAGGTCTCTCAGTGAAGACGCCCTACAGTCACTGTTCTCGAGACGGGGAGTCCGCATCTTGGGTCAATATGCATTTCAAGATACAGCAAAGCCGGAGCACCTGCCTGCCCTACGGTGTCTGAACAACGTTCTCGTGAGGTCAAGCCCGTCGCGTCTCTTTTTGTCATCGGAGATTGGGGCAAACAAAATCGCCAGCCTCTTCAAGGTATACATCCCCCTGCGTATTTTCTGGTTCATTCAATGAGAGGCGCACATCTTCTGACAGCCCTTTGTATATCTAGCGGCAAGACCCCGAGGATGATTTGGCTTTGTCAAACATCGTCATTTTCTCATGCCATGGAAACAGCCTTGATTTAACAGAGGTCCTCGAAAAGGATGGGCTTGCTACCAACGTCAACGCTGTGAGTTTCTCCTTTTCTCGTGATTTATATGTACGCCTTTTTGCAACTTCGAGTCTAACTGCGGGGGTCGATACTGCGTGATAGATGATTGCTCGCTATGCAAAGTCTGGACCTTTTCCCACCGCAGAACTTACATCTCCTTCCGCAGCCAGTTTGAGACTCCTGGCATCGCTCGCTTCGCGGTATGAGTCGCAAGCGCACCTCTTCCTTGACTCGGTGGATCATGTGCTGGACATGCTGGCCAAGGTGACGGTTGGCTCGCCCCCTCTCGAACTTCCAGTCTCCCTGTTTGTCAACTGTCTGCCCGTCCTTCCAGTCCAGGAGAAGACAAAAATCTCCGTCGAGGCAATCGGTAAACTCGTTGAGATTCTGAAAGCATCTGTGGCTTCATATGCGACCCAAGAGGATGGCAAAGAAATCTTGCCCCTCTTGTTTGGCCTCCGCCGCATCGCCCAGTCCGAAGCTACCGAGGCAAAGACCCATCTGAAGGCCAGCATCATACCTACAGACGAGGACCGCCACGAGGTCCTTGGAAAAGGTCAAACACTGCCGCACAAGATACTGAACCTGTCGAGTGAATCCGTGTACCCCGAGGTCCGCGAAGTCATCATGTCCTTGTTTTTCGAACTGTCAGATAAAGATCCGTCACTATTTGTGCACAACGTCGGGTTTGGCAATGCCGCCGGCTATCTTTCCTCTCAAGGGATTGAAATCTCACAGAAGGATCTCGGAGCAGGGGCTTCCAACGCCCATATCAACCCGATCACGGGACAGAGGATCGATTCCGAGCCAGACACTATCCTGCCAGAGATGACAGACGAGGAGAAGGAGCGCGAGGCTGAGCGTCTTTTTGTCTTGTTTGAACGGTATACATCCTCCACCCCTCTCTCTCAACCACTGAAACAACAAAAGCCCTTTCATCCAAGAAGTAATAGCTCTTATACCGAATCAATTACTAACAACCGCTCTGTAGATTGAAAGCAACGGGCATAGTTGATGTCGAGAACCCGGTCGTGACAGCAGCTAGGGAGGGGAGGATAGAAGAGCTCCCATCTGACGATGACGAGGAGGAAAAGAAAGATGTTAAGGGGAAATAAGGCGAGCTCCGAATTAGTTGCTTACTTGCCCAAACACGTCTCGTTCTTGTCAAGGATGTTAACATAATAAGGTGAATTATGTGTTTTATGTCTATACTTTCCGAATCATTAAATATATAAGGTAGGCAATATAGCCACCCCATTCGAGCTGTAGACATCATAATTGTGCTACCAGTGTAATTCCCCCAATACTGGCCATATAAATATCCCAACTACATTGATCCTCACACTTCTATTAATACAATAAAGAGGGCCCCAGCCAATGCGCCAAGCAGCCCCCTCGATTTATAGCTTGCCCTTGAGGAGGTTCCCAATCATCTCCCTGCCGGTGATCCTAGTCGTCTTCCAGAGGGTCGGGATGTCGAGCGTACTAGACAGGCCGTCGGCGAACCCGAAGAAGAGCATCGGGGGGATCCAGCCGCGCGCGTACTCGAGGGCGAAGCAGCTTTCGGGCATCTTGTACTGCTTGACGTCGCCGCGGCGTAGGTGGTGCACGCTGCCCTGGGGGTAGACCTCGGGCTCGTACTCGCCGGGCACGTAGGCCAGCTGCACGCCCGAGAGAATGTGGAAGTAGTCGTCGGCGGTGTGGCGGCCCGTGTGGCCCTCGGTGCCGACCGCGGTGCCAAAGACGATGAGGTACTCGGTGACGCCTTATATTCCATGTTAGTTCAAAGTTTCTAGCTGGCTGGGAGAGGCACGAGATGGGACGTACTGGCGTGGATGATGTACATGGCGCCCATGGCACCGCCGGCGTTGTTGAAAACCCAGTCCTCCTCGAGGTTGACGTGCGCGGGCGACCTCTCGCTGAGCTCGGAGACGATGTAGGACACGACGTCGCGCGTGTTGTTGCCGTGGGCGGCGATGGCGCGCTTGGACACGTCGCCCAGGTGGTCAATGTCGAAGATGTAGAACCGGTCGAGGTTCTGCTCGACCAGCCAGACGACCGCCGACAGCAGGCCGGTCATGACGGCGAAGATGGCCAGCAGGCGGCTGAGACCACCGCCGGCAGCGGCGGGCTGTTGAACATGGTCAGTTTCTCACACATACAACTCTGTGGTGCGTATAGAGGGCGAAGAGGAATAAAAAAAAACCAAGCGTTGGTAAGAAAATCAGGGCAATTGGTGAATGATTGTCTCATGGCCTGCCAAACAGGCTCTGAAGTAGCAAATACTTTGAATTTTGCAATACATCATTTGATACCACGCTGGGGAGAAATTCGAGAGAAAGAGTCATCTCACCTTTGACTTGGGTGGCATTGCGTCCTAGAGATGGGAAGAATATATGAAAACTAGATGGAAGGGCGTTCCAAGTAAAGAAAAGGGAGCGAATGAGGAAAAATACAAAGAGGGACGACAGCAATGGGTTGCCAACGAAACCCGATAATCTCCTGGATCCGGGGAAGACTAATAAAAGACCCTGGATTCTGGTTCAGGGACCGGTTATTTTGCCTCGTCTCACCGCTCGGGACCCGAGAGGCCCGAATGGACCGATCGCCAAGTTTGTAGATCATAAGCGCTATCTCACTCATTCTCTGACAGTTCACTGCAACGCGATCAGTATCATAGTGCCTGATCCGGTGGCTCTTGGGATGCCGTGATTTTAAGCATACAGTTAGTTACGTTTAGTGGTTGAGAACGCCGTCGCATACACGCAACTCAACCTTGATAGCCTCACATGTGGAGTTGCCCCTACGGGTAACTTTGGGAGCTCGCCGGCAGCTTTTACCTGAGGAGATAGGCATTAGGAAGCATCCAACTATTGAGTCATGCAAATAGTAGAGTGGCCACCCTTATACGGGAGGTTTTCTCAAGTAGAGGAGATAGTACAGCCACGATTGGCTGATACGTTTTCGTTGGAGGCACAAGAACTCTCACCACCATTCGCCGCATGATTGGATCATGGCAGTATAGCATCGGGTCCCGCGGCTTGTGCTACGAACAGCACGCCCAAAGTCTTGGATTCTAGGAGGGAACTCGGCATCTTCGCTGTCCAAGATTATGTTGCGTGTCCTGAGGACTACACCCCAGTGTTAGATGTTGGGACAGACTTCACCGGCAAACACAAGCACTTGACGACCAGGATCGAGACATGACTATGACAAAAAAGATTGAAAACGAACGCTAAACGATGATCCCGTGCTAAACCAACTGTGAACCGCCATGCCCTGTTCTGGTCCCGTGTAACACTATGCCTATGCTAATGATGATAAAATCTCCTGCTTGATTGCTTAACCCGCATCGCCCCCGGAAAACTCCAAACCAGTGATAGTGCGGCGATGTCGCCAATGATTGAGAAACCCCCACCTCTCGGCCTATTTCTTCGGGAAGATCCTTTTCGTGCCACCGACTTTACCCAGCTCGCCGAATCTATTTTTACTGTAATCGTCCTGTGCAGACACTCTCCTTTCGCCGCTCGCCAGCCTGACCTTTTCTTTCACGCTCTCTACCCAGGCCTTGCTCTCTTCGCTCATCTCCACCTTCTTTCCGTTTGGACCAGCAAGCCCCAGGAACGAGCTATCTTCCTCGCGCCAACTCATGCGTGAGTTCGTCATGGAGCGGTTGAATGAATCATCAGCAACCGCACTTTCGTCAAATCTCCTCGACGCCAGGCCAGGGGTGGATTGACGAAGTCGTGGCGCCTCGCTGGTGGTCGACCCAACGCTCCTACGTGTCTTGCGCACAGCCAACGGTGACATGGGTGCTTCAAGAGCTGAAACGGAGCGGGAAGGTGGGCTTGATCCGATATCTGGTCCACGGCTCGCCGCCCGGGGAAGATCTTGTACTTCCACCTTTGTATTCTCTGTTACAACAGAGCGGCGGCCATGGTGGCTGGCGTATTGGTTCAAATACTCGCTCAGGTCAGCCCACCCACCACCGACGCGGACCATGACCCGTTCGCCACTTTCACCAACGCACCGAATGGAAAGCTTTATAGGAGCTTCCCCAGTAGATCTTGCGAGGTGATAGACCTTGATATCCTGGCCTTTTGACTGCCTCGGCCTGGTAGTCTTGGCGGGAGACAGGGTAAAGGATGGTGTAGCATTTCGAGACAAGGCTGTTCGCGATGAGAGGCTCGACCTCGACCTGTTAAAGGGCTCCTTGGATGGCTTCTTCCTCAGCTTGGGAAGCTGGAGGTCAGGGGGGTTCAGGTTGATGGGAGGCTTCTCTGTCAGTTTTATCTTCGCTGGGATGCGGTCGATGATCTGGCTGATCTGCTGGTGAAGGTGCTGAGCCCCTAGACTCTCTCGACGCATGATTGGGCTTGCTGCCTCGGATACTGAATATGAATCATCGAAGAAGCTTTCCGAAAAGGAGCCCTCAACAGGGGTCCTTGGCTGCATTGAATCATCATAGTTGTCATACTCGTCCAACCTGGAATCGTCAAGGGGCGAATCGGGTAATTCTCTCGAGCTTGTCTTGGGAGCTGGCGGTGAACTAGGCGGGCTAGCCTCGATATATTCCGCCTCGCGGACACGAGACTTGGCAACCCCGGGTGAGGCAGAAACCTCTGGAAAGTCACTTGACATGCCATCGAAACGCATCGAGGTATCGTGCAAGACTGTCGATCCCATAGACGAGACACTATCGCGTCTTGTCTCATTCCGGAGTGGCGGCAATTCTAGTTCTTCGTCCTCTTCCTCGCAAGGACTTAGGAGTCCTTCGTCGATTTCATCAAACTCAGGGTCCACAAACCACTCCGAAGGACCCGAGGGCTGCGGATGAGAAAGCTCGTCGCTATCATCATCCACTTCTACATTTTCGACGCCGGTAGACGCATGTAGTGAGGGTGCCAATGGAGCAGTTGGTCTTTCCGTGTCTGTCATATCCGAGGCGGTTGTAGCCGCAATATCAGCTGCAAGCCTTCGGGAGGGCTGAGGTGCCAGGCCATCACGAACGCCATCTAAGCCCAACCGCAATCCCAGCCCAAGTCCAACTTCCTCCTCGGGCGGCTGAATCTTGACTGTTGGGCTAAGAACATGATTGCCAGCATTTTCCGGCGAGTCTGCGGTGACATCATCTGAAACACTAGCATCCCGCGAGCTGGACGCATCCAGAGATTGGGGAGGAAGTTTTCTAGCCCTGGGTAGTTCAGAGGGTACCTCTAAACCATCCTTATGAGGCGCAATCGAAGAGACCTGTTCATCAATCGCAGGGAGCGCTGGAGTTTTGTCAGGGAGGCTGGCATCTGCTGTCCTGACGCTCGCTTCCTGTTCTACCAGATGGCTGGCTGGCCGCTTAACATGGCCCCATTCACTCTCTTGAATCCTGTGCTCACAAGCCACGACCCAATCGCCGTATCCTTGCTCAAGGGCCTCCATGCGATCGAGCCACTCTTCAGGTAGCGTATCCGGCATACCCTCCAAACGATCTAACATATAATCCAATATCGAACCTGGTTTTGTGATTTTCTTCTCGACCACGACCTTCATAACATTGAAATCGGATCGCGTCAAGTTGGGACCCCTGGGGCTGCCACCATCGTCCAAAGACGAGTTTGATGGCGGCGCAATGACATTCCACCCTGAACTCAAAGCGGCCTCAGCGTCTTCCAAGTCCAGCAAAAGCCCCGGTATTCTGTGAAGAACCGCGAGACGGATAGTCCAGAGCCGAAGAAGCTGATTCAGCCGGGCCAGGATTGGAAGCGTTTGTATCACAATAGCTGTAACCACCGCGGTAAGATCCTCCATCTTGACATAACTCGACATTGTTGAGAACCCAGACCGAATAGATGCTGGGGTTGTGGGCCTCGATAGTGGCATGATATGGTTGTTCATGACATGGCTCTTCAGGTCGTCCACGGACAGAGCCTCGAGCTCATACTGGATCACCTCGATTCTCTCCTCGTATCGCGCGATGTCGTCCGCTCGGACACATCCGACGTATTCTTGGCCTGCAGGCTCCGCGTCAGACCTCTTCAACCAGTCCAGTTTCCGCCTGGCGCTCGAGACCTCAAAGCCCGCTGGCCCAGCCGGGTTCGGCCAGTACCAATCCTTCAGCTCACGTGTCCATTCCCAAATCTTCTTGAATGAGATTGCCGTCTGCATGGCAAACTCGCACTCCGCGTTGGAAGCGCCATCTAAACAAGCCTTCAGAGGCCCCGTAGGCGATGCCAGCGCATCCACCACAGTGGCGGGAGAAATGTGTACGAGGATATCGTTGGAGGGCCGAAGTAGTTTCGAAGGCGACTGGCCTCCGGAGGGGATCCTCACGGGGCGGAGGATCGGTGGAGGATCGTTCATCGTCACTGTTCGACGCTGCTCGGAGGTGCAAGGTTGATATCGCTAAGCCTTACTCCATCCCGTTGAATGGGGCGAAAGTGATGTCATTGGGGACAGGAGTCGCATTCGATGCTCATAGTCAATAGAGGAGATGTCGGTCAGTGGGAAGGTGCCAGCGTGTTGGCAGAGGTCGGGCGGTCAGGGAAAACTCAGGAGATGGTGTTTGGTCGGATGAAGGAGGAAGCTGGTCGGGTTAAGCAGAGGCAGTCTTGGCCAGCAAGTTAATACTAGCCAGCCTCCTTCTCATCGGCTGCAGGTGTCGCGTGGTGGGGAAGAGAACAACGGGCAAAGACGGCAGCGCAAAGCATACATAGAGCAGAGATGCAGTCAATGCGCGCTGAAACAGGGAATACGGGTGCTAGGCTGAAGTAGAACAAAGTAGTGAAACAGGTGTTGGACAAAAGAAGGTAAGCCAGAAACTCGGTTGGCGGAACTAAACAAGTGCAAGAACTGAAATCGAAGAGAGCAAGAAGAGAAGGGAAGGTTGATGAACGAAGGGATGAGGCAGACCGCAGGCAGGGAGACGGATGACGATCGAAAAGCAAGATGGGGGAAAAATGAGGCGCCTGGCCGTGTGGCCGTGGTTTGCCGCCTGGCCTTTGGTACGCAGGGGGTACTTTGACCGCCTGCAGAATACGTGTCAATCAGGGGTACACAGGCAGTACATCCAACTGGCGCGCTATCAGTCGCGCCGGGCCTGTAGCGGCTGCTGGTACGGCCCTCCCCTGTAATGCCGGCCTAACGCCGTCCAGTGTTATGCGCGGCAATAGAGACCAGGGTCTACGCTGCGCTGCTGATTCGCATGCGCACAGCTTGGCAGCTGCTTCCAAAGGAGTCAATTGGGTATGCTCGCAAGCGGGTGACATAAGAGATGAGACACCAAACCGGTACTTCAAGCGTCCATATTTGGAGAGGCTCTGTGTTGTATTCACTATAACTTGATTCTAAAAATCCTTAAAAAAGACCAAAAAAAGACTTTAATATTATTTAGAAGCTAATAAAAGGATTAATGTACTTTTTTAGGGGTTATTGTATCTTTATTGCAGTATTTGATGGCTACAAAGAAGGCACAATGATTTGGTGTCTCATCTCTCATGTCACCCGGTTGGCTCGTCCGTGGGAAAAGCAATGGCCGCTACGACGGGACCAGCGGGCTGATAGAGACCCAACTGCCACCCCAAACAAGGGAAGGAAGAGCAACCACCTCCACTCTACAGACGTCACGTTCGGATAACCATTGCATGCGCCCCGTGGGCCAATTGCGTGTTACGAGTTCAGCAATATCAAAGGGTGGCAATCCCAAAATTGAGTCGAGATCGCAATGGGGGGGAGCTATTCTAACGGAGAGTAGGATGAGCTCCTAGCTTGTTGTTACTAAGAGGACAACAGACTGGAACTGTCCACCTGATCAGCCAAGGAGGGAGCTGAGCGCTGGGGGCAGGCGCACTACTGAACACGCTATCGGCGATTTCGATTGGCGACTGCACGTCACGCTGGTCCCCAGCGCCTCGCTCACAGCCATCACCTTACATGTATAATTTGACAACACATCGCCCACATTGTTGCATTCATATGCAAGATATGCATTTATCTCACGTGGTTACCCATTGACCCAGCCCCCTCACATAATCAATTTTATGCAACGATGATAATTTTCACTTTTTGGCTAGATTTGTAACTATAGGATCTAGATACGTATGTAAGAGTATCCTACGAGGTCTCTGGACATGTTCAACCAGAGAATCTTACAATGGACAGACGTAAATATCTGGCAGAAGCCAGCAGAGCACCTAACAAGAGAAAAATCAACAAACTCCAGAGCGCCTACCCGGATTTCTCATCATCCTCATGGCAATCGTCATGGTCGAACGGATCCAACTTTTCCCCAAACAAAGCAAAAAAAAAATGGATAGGGGAAAAGAACAGAACGGAACAAATAGCCGCCCAAAAAAGGGGGAAAAAACAGACTCCGTACGCTATTTGATGACAAGTTAAATCCTGAGCCCAATGCGGTCAATGATGTCCCAAAGTCTAATAAGAGAAGTTATATGTGCGAGAAAATTGCTTGGCTCGAATCCAGCGAAGAAGGAACAAGCATAAGTTGAAGAATAGTAAAAAGAAGGAGAAACCAATTGAATCATAAGATGAGCAACGTTTGCTAGCCAAGAACTGGCTGCGTAGTCATCGTAACATCCTCACTAACGGCAGGAGGGAAGACTCCAGGGCCAAAGTCGTCGGCACTAGCATTTACTCCCTCTGGAGGGAACTGAAGCCATTGGTCGACATCGAAATCGGCACCGGCGACAGCATTCCAATCGAACTCATCATGACTTTGCATGAAGTCGAGGTCCATGTGTTCCATCTCACCATTCACCTCATCAGAGCCACCGCTAGCACTAGGCGTGACACCGACATCAGTGTGTGGTGGAGAGTGACCCGCAGTCATGTCTAGGTCGGCAGCATTGATAGTGTTTGGAGGCATCATCGTCTTCGCTGGCTGAGGCGCCTTCTCATTGAACAGAGACTCGGATGCCGTCATGTATGGGACATTTTCGGGTGGTGGTGTCTGAGCGCTGAATTCCACAGGCACCCGCTTCATCATGGCCAGGGTTGACGGGGCGATATGGGCATTGATATCGATGGCTGCCTTTCGTAGTGCCGCATCCAAAAAGCCAGTGGCATAGTCTGCCGCAGCGTAGATATCGCGGAGCTTCTCCATCACTCGCATGCACTGGCGGAAACCATACGTTGCACGCTCCCTAGCATCGGCGACGGGATTCTTCATCTCCAGCAGATGAATAATCATAGCCGGCAGGATAACAGTAACACCGGTGGTTGGCAAGTAACGCTCAAGTTTGTGTGTGTGCAATTCGGATGCCATTCGAGTAATGTGCATAGCTGCATCACGAACTCTCAGCCGAGACATCTCCTGAACTTGGCGAGATGTGGTTGGAGTATGAGTAGGCGACGAAGGCAAGAACTGCGGGCGATGCAGAGCTGAAATAGTAGTGTAGTAGACCATGTGAAGAAGTGTTCGCTGAACAGCCACTGTAGACTTGCCATTGCCAACCTCTAATGGTGTCAGGGTCCTATATTGGCAACATGTGGGGAGAGACTCGGCCCATGCCATAAGTTCCATATCTACTGTATGAACACCCTCCACGTTGTCCAGCTGCTTATTAGGGAACAGCATCATTGTGCTGTTCGTCGTGTTCTCTGGCTTCATCTTGTCTCTTATCAGGACAGAGTACTGCGCCTTCAGCATGTGGCTGATGCACACACATAGCTGGGCTTTCGCGATGCACATGATGGCCAGCTCCTTCTGCATGGCGATATCACGCATGAGGACGCAGTCCTGAGGAATGACCGTAATGTTGTCTGCGAGCGACTGGATCTCAAAATCTGCCTCTTCAAGCATGGGCACGTCGTAATCTTCGTCCTTTATCCTTGTGGGGCGTCGCATGCCGAGTGCTATAAGGCGATCTCGCATAAAGCAAGACCACCAGATCCGTTTCCAGAGCTTTTGCTTCGACACGCACATGGTTGTAGATCCTGGGTTGCGGTGAAGACCGATGGTGTGGGCCAGAGAAATCGCAACACCCATCCAATGCCAGGTGTCCTTCTGATCATCAGGGGTCTCATACCAGTACGTCATGAGGAGCAGAGCCTGAACAAGGACGAGTCGGTCGAGTTCATAGTCAAAGTCGTAGAGAAGCTAAGAGTGACATGTATCAATATAAAATTTGGTTACAAACAAGCAAACAATGCGGGTGTAACTCGAGGTCATGCGGACTCACCCTTGTTTTCTGGAAAAACGATTTACGTGCAGACTTGCGTGAGGGATAGCCCGCCTCACGCAGGTACTTCATGTCAACGAATGCTGTTGCGGAGAACATGACAGCCTGGTACAAAAACAAGCTGGTCTGGCCGTTGAGTCCGTCTCGGCGGTTGACAATGCTCAGGAACTCATGGATATCCATGAGGGGCATAAAGGGATGCACGTACTCCACGTATGCCTGGAGCAGAGCATTCTGTAAGGGAATAGTGGGAAGGGTCAGAGCACCCTTGAAATGCAGATAGCTGACATCTTCCGGTGCGACTTTCGAGGGCAGAGGTCGCACAAATGGTGGCAGTTGGGCGTTTGCATCATGATCTTCCAGGGAACTGAGAAACTGGGCCGTGCGATTATCCTCAAAGAGTGCGGTGGCAGCTTGGATTACATTGTTAGTAGGCCACTGAGGAGTCGATTGCTGGCGTGGCTGTTGCTGCGGCGGTTGTGGTAGTGGCAGCTGCTGCTGCTGCTGCGATAAGAGCGGAGACTGAGACTGAGGCTGCGGGGCTCGTGAGGGATTCTCCGTGGCCGGCTGGAGCTTGTTGAGGAGAACGGAGTCATTTCGATATCCGGAGCGTTGGTCTGTACGATGACGTTCAGTTAGCACTGTTTTACCTCCCAATGCAGGCATCAAGCGAGACGCCGAGGGTTGCTGGATCACATGCGAAAGGCGGAGAAGCCTGGCTCGCGATGAGATGACGCCAAGCTACCTAGGCGAGTCCAATTGAACCTTGGAGGTTTGTGGTTCGTGGTTGGAGGTGTGGGGTGAGGGCTGCCTGAGACCACGCAGGTGGGGCTCAGGCCAATTGGAGAGGCGCCGAAATGCGGAGAATTGTCCTTTTCTATCGAATTCTCCAACAAGCGGCCATCTCCAGCGTCACCCCACTCCAACCAATCACAAAGCCTGAAGCCAAGGGGCAAATGCTTTGGGGTTTCCACTTACAAATGAGATGTGGCACATGACTGTCAACCCCAGACAAGGGCAGGCGTGACACGCTGGATGCATCAGCGTCGCTGGAAGAGATGACAGATCCGCTGCTGGGACGCCTCAAGTCTGCGGCGCTGCTAATTGGCACAGGATGGCTGTGTGCGGTGATCGATTTCGCGCGGAGCAGTTGGGGGTCGGCCGTGGCCCCGGACTGCTGTTGCTGTCCCACGCTAGCGGTCAAAAGGTGTTTCCTTGAAAAAGGGGGATAAAGTTAGCCCAGTCAATTCTGAAAATACGTTCCATGGTATGTGTGATATCAAGGGTAGTTTTTGTGCGCTGCGCAGGGTCGTGATCTCTCTTTCCTTGCCCGTCATAGGGTTGAGGGATAATGCCTGGCAAAGAGATCCCATCGCCAACATGGATCGAAAACCCTGCTGCAGGAGAAAAAAAAACCGAGCAAAGTCCGTCAAGAATGACGGCCAAAGCAATCGAGTGCGATGAATGCCCACTTTTAGACCGGCACCTCCGGACCTGGCATCGAGGGAATATTTTGGATTGAAGGGGATTCAACTCACTTCCTTCGACGGCTTTCTTGAACAATGCACTATCAGGGTGGGTTAGCACTCAGCCGGGCCAAAGGAGGCACAAATTGCTCTGTGGTTCTCCCAATCAAGTGACGCGACGTACTTCAACGTTATCCCAGCGGCAATTGCCGCAGGGACTCTGCTCAACGACATCGCAGCGAACTTTCCGGGCGCGGCATGACACGCAGGCCATGGCAGCACGGCGCTTTGTCACTTTCTGCGATCCATTGGCATCCGTAGCAGAAGAATTGGATCGTTTCTTGGTCATTTTATCCCGGTCTGCCATCTTGCTGGCATTTTCAGGTGGGGGCGAGCCGGCGGCCGACATATCTGAAGCGTCCGAAGCCATGGTTCTAGTTGTTCAAAAACGTATTGGTCGAGAAAATGGGCTCGTTCCAAGGTGACGTTCGGAAATGCGAATCTTCCCGCCGAATGATGAGTTTAACGTATGGTAATGGAGGGCTAGTTTTGTCGCTCCCTGTCGAACGTATGATAGAGCGTTTCGATTTAACGGCCGTTTATTGAGACCAAACAGAGTGAATGGGCAAAAATCCAAGGTCCGTGGACAGACAGGTTCGGAATGAGTCGTCGGAAGCTAGAATGAGTACAGAGTGACAGTAAAGAACTGAGTGGAGAGTTGTCGCGAGGACGGTATAGATGATGACGACTAGAGCATTCGATGAAACCGTGACTGTAGTAGAGACACACTGCCCTGTTGGGATGTGATGACTACTGAGGAAGAGAACCTTCTGGGAGGTCTCGGACCTGGAAAACGAAGTGGCAGACTTGCAACCAGGAGGGGTTCACGATCCAGAAACGAAAGAGAAGTAGAAAAATCCGGGGGTGGATAGGGTGGGGGGGCTGGAGGATTATTATAACAACGCTCTCGTTGGTTTTTGTCGCTTCACGAGACTCTGCCATCCGCACTCGTCACTGCAAGAGTGGGTATCAACGGTACATGCTCTCCCAAGTACTCCACGCAAGACAGGGCCATGGCGACTGGGGCGGACTGCAACCCGTGCGGGTGTACACCCCTACATCCCTACCGCAGTCCAGCTCCCAGCATCACCGTGCGGCTTGTGCCTATCCGCACACACATGCTGGCCGCCCAGTTGGTCGTAGCCACAACCTGGGCTGTGGGCCTGGGGGCGCTTCCTAATGGCATGTGGATACCGTTAGTGCTAATGGTGTTGTGCCAGTGGTGGGATTGCCTGGTCTGGGCAAGTGTGTATCCAGGGCCAGACCAGCGAGGACCTGGCTGGCGACGAGTGGATGACGGACATGAAGGGCATGGTGCTTAAGCAGGCTCGCTTGGCTTGGCAAGGTATATAGGTACCTTGCCTGTCTCAGACGAGGCAACGCTCTCGTTCCGGGCTTGGCTGGATGGCTGGCCGGTGATCAGGCTTGCTGATGGCAGCCACGGCTGTGTACAACCGCGATGTAGATATCAGCATCGGACGCGGCAGGCCTTGCTGGAAAAGAGAGCCACATATGGTCAGTCAAGGTATGCTCGGGCCGCCGCTACACAAGAGCAAGCCCTGCAAAATATCTTCTCACCGTATGAAACCATCCACGTACATACCTTCGTAGCCCAGAATTGGGCTGCGGGACCACCTTGGAATTTGGAACTCCTAGCACACCCCCTTCTGCCCCCCGGTTCAGACTCCTGACTGACTCTTGTTCTTGTCCACTATGCCCCTCCCGCTTCTCTAGCTGTTTTTTTTTCTTCATCAACTTGGGTTTGGGAGGGTGGAATTTGGGTCGCGGCTCCATAAGCTTGCGCTCGATGTTGTGGAGCAGCCAATGACCGGCCTTCAACCCTGGCCTCCTGAGGCTTCCAAGCTCCCTGTCGAGATCGAAGTCGCTGCGAGGCTCCATCTTCGATCCCAATACCTCATGCAAATCTCTTCGTGTCCAATTGACACTGTACGCACAGGCAGTTGCGTTGCGCTAGACAAGTACCCTGATGATTCACCTCTCCACTCCACAATCCTGAGCCCTGGACAGCTGTCATGGTTGTAATTCCAGGCCGAAAACCCAAAACTCAAGCTCGGTGAGCGCTCTATGACATCGAGCTCGAAGGACAGCGCAACCCTTCGGTCATAAGGAACACAGCCTTATCTGGATTGAATGAACTCATCGGCCACTGGGGGGCCAATCATGGTGGTTGCAGGACCACCATTAGGTCGGTAACTCTCGGCTCGGGGGAGAGGACCACCAGTGAAAAAGAGTGGGGATTGTTGCTACAGTTCTCGAAACTTAGTAGGTAGGGCAATGAGGTGTCGCAGGCCCAAGGTCAGGAGTTGATCGCATAAACAAAAGCCCGGCCCGGCCACACCCAGCACCTCACCCACTCGGTTCTTGCGTGCTGGCCACGATGGCGGAATGTTTGTTTCCGGCGGGCTGTGGAGGGCCGGAACGTGGTGATACATGCAAGGCAAATTTTTCTAATCACCGGAACAAGAGAGAAAGAAAACGATGCTAATTAAATCCAGGACCCACGAGCCGGCCAAGGAGAGGGCGGCGGGCGGCGACTATTCTTTCGTAATTGCCTCTTCGCCTGCGCTGCATCCAACGGGGTCCCACAATCCAAGAAACAATTGAGCCAGTTAAATCTTTTCGTCTTAACAAGGCCTTCCGCTTCCTGGAGGGTGCAGCGTGCATGTTCATGCTGGAACCACCGGATCCGATATCTGGAGCACATCCCGTCTTCCTCCCCAAGTTGCAGGGGGCCGTGGAAGGTAGCATGCTCCGGGTGTCCCCATGCGCAGGTATATGTATCTGTGGACATTGTAGGCATTCGTCTGCGATTCTGACTGCATCGGCGATGGATGAATGCCTGGATAGGTTTGGCTGTACTTAATATTCGGGTCTGGGCACCAGACCTGCGTGGTTCAGCCATGTTAGCTGGCGTTCGTGACCGCCCTTCCCTAGAGCACGAATTTCCAGGTGGGTTCCACCGGAAGCTGACGTAATGACGGATATACGATTCGATAAGGACGATCCGATTGCGCCTTCTTGTTCTAATTATTATGGAACCTCAACTCGACCTCGAGGGCCTTCCGCCAGCAGACGGCCTCCAGATGCAACGCGCCAACCAAAGCCAACGGGCGACCTGCCACTCACACCGAAACTGCCCCTGGTGCGCAGCAAGAATTAACCGGTGGACCTCCCGCTCACACACTGTCGCGTTCTGGAGGGAGGGATGTGCACCATGGTTCAGCTTCTCCATGGGGTCTCCACGCAGAAGGCTTGGCACTCTTACTCCGATCGGTAGCCGTTCGGCACTCCGACGCTCTGCCTCAGAAAGCTCTCGGATATAAACTGGCGGCCCGTCCATCTCCACCTCCATGACAACTGGTACAAGCCCCCGCATGTACCTTGTTGCAAGGGGGTTGATGCTGTAATTAAGTGCTGCTGCTGCCAGATGCGTAATTAACTGGGAGCTCGCTGCTACCTCGTGAGGGCGTGGCAGAGTAGATGTCCTCTCATCATGACATCCTGCGAACTGAGGGCAGTTCTTCCCGACCTACACCCGTAGTTTGAGATCGACCCTATTTCTCCCACCTTCGAACCCGGAACGGTTTAAGCCATTGTTCATCTATTTTCCTCCTCCAAGCCATCTTATACCAGGCAATGCCCTGCTCGGATTTCTTTTCCGGCCCTCGCTCGAGGATCCCCTCCATGGTATCCTCAACCATGGCCCCACCTCGGATCAGGCCCGAAGTCAAACAACCTATTTCTAATTCCCGTCGCCCAGTATGTATATGTCGATGGTTCGTCGATCAGGCTCCTGTCTAAGCGAAGCATGGAGCCTTTGGTGGCTTGAATCTTCCCGCCTTGGACTCGTGCTTCTTAAGCATAAGAGTTGAGAGGGGCCCACCAGCATTGCACCAAATATGGTTGCTTTGCTGAACCCACACTATATACAGGAACTCATGGCTTATTTTCCCACTGCTATGTACCTCATGGGATGATTGCATGTTCTCAGCGCATGTCCGCATCTTTCCAAAGTCTGGGCTCTCGCAGATGGAAAGAAGCACCAGGAGCTCACCCACTGGTGATGTCACGCAAACTTCCCCCGGGTCACACCTCCAAGTGAGCATATCAGCACCAGGAAGGCGCAATGGAGGATATATTGGAATGAGCCTTTGCCGTTATTGCCAAGGCACAGTCAAGAAGTGACTCAAGCTACGGAGCGGCATTGCTCAAGAATGCAGCTTTTTCCCGCTTCGCCATCCACGAGCTTAACACGGAACATGGCAAACAAGAGAGATCTTGTCGGGTATAGGTGGATATCGAAGAAAGGATGAAAGGCTTCTGCCATCCCGATCGAGGCATATTCCCCGCCCTTGGTCCCTTCGTCCAATTTCACCCGGCGATGGCTCAGCTCTCCCCATCAGCTCAGCCTCCATCGCGTGGGCGGGAGGAACCAGTCTGTGGGAAGAGTCACGAACTGACCTGCTTTCCATGGATCCACGCTGGTTGACTGGCATGGCCTATTCGATCAACGCAACCCTCACTTTCCCTTCCTCTGGGAAGTTGGAGCCAGCACCGGAAAGGAACGGTCCGCAGTACATGTGCAGCCAAACCAAACGAACAGGCTGGGAGCGAAGCACCTCAAAACATGCAATACGGCATTGAGCAAGTCTTGTGGCCGGCCAACATCGCGGAAGCATTCCGACGCAGCAGGCGGGCAGACGGGACGCAACCTTTCATTGCAGAGCTGAGCTGAGTATATGCTCTCAACCAAGCGATGACGAGGAACCCACCCAACGTACGGCAAACCCCGCATCTATACGGGCAAGGAGCATCACCAACACAACAAGTGGTTAGGAGGAAAAGGACGGAAATCATACGGCATAAGGATTCTATTAACATCACATGTCTATTAGGCCCATGCTGGAAAAACTGTCCCAAGGAGGCGCCAGAAAAAAAAAATTAAACCTAGTGGCCAAAAAGACCACCACCAACCGTCTGCCCATGGTCAACAAGGACAGACGGGCACTCTCGCCCAATTTTCAACCCCCCGTGGGTACGCATGGAGACCAGGGCCTCAATCAACCAGGTTGATGCCCACAAGTCTCCTCATCCCCCCTTACCCCACTCCGATGCCTGAACAAGCACCCCGCTACTCCCCGCACACCTCCATGTTGAGGTTACAGCAGGTGGAATCGAAGTACCTGGCCAGGCTCACAGCTGGCTCCTGGTTGCCTCAAAGGATTGAGGGTCATACACATGTTGCTTGATGTATGCATCCAAAGCAACATCACCCCACTCTTCCCACTCGACCCATTGCTCCTCGGGGAGCTCTGATACGCCGTCCCTTCGGGCGGCCTTCATGGTCTCGCGTGCAACCACCAAGCTTGCCTCTCGGACACGCTCGATGCGAGGATAGATGAGACCCAAGTGAACCTCCTCGGCGTTAAGTGCCTTGGCGAGAGAGGCAGCAGAGGTGTAGACCATCTCGTCGGTCACCTTGGTAGCCTTGGAGAGGATGGCTCCCAGACCCAGGCCAGGGAAGACATAGACGTTGTTACCTTGGTTAGGGTGGTAGGTGACAGGACCCTCTGGACCATCAACAGTGACGTTCTGGAAGGGAGAGCCCGAGGCAAAGATGGCAGTACCATCAGTCCATTGGATGGCTTGCTCAAAGGTGCACTCAGCCTTGGTCAGAGGGTTGCTGAGAGGGAAGAGGATAGGGCGGCGGCCGGCACCGCCCTCATCGACCGAAGCCTTGAGGGCCCGGATGATTGGTTCGGTGAAGACACCGAATGTGGCAGTCAGACCAACAAGAGCGGAGGGCTTGACATATTTGATAACCTCCTCAAGAGTCTTGTACTGGTTGCCATTGTTGTCAGTGCGAGCAAAGTACTTCTTGTGCTCAGCGAGGTTGTCACCACGGTCCTTGGTCACAAGGCCCTTGGTGTCTACGAGCCAGAACTTGTCTCTGGCCTCGGCCTCTGAGAGACCCCTACGGGTATAATACTCCATGAGCTGCTTGGCAACACCGACACCAGCGGAACCAGCGCCCATGAAAACAAGGCGCTGCTCCTCGAGGGGCACGCCAGAAAGGTCTACGGCACCAATATATCTGGGAATGCGAGTTAGCTCGTCTTCTGATGGGAAAATGTTACCAATGGAGAGCCTTACCCTGCAAGAACGACAGCACCAGTACCCTGGATGTCATCGTTGAAGCACCTCTGGGTGTGTCTATAACGGTCAAGGTACTTGAAGGCCTTTTCGGTCTCAAAGTCCTCGAACTGGACAACCATGTTGGGGTGGACCTCCTTTACAGCTGCCATGAACTCGTCCATGAAGTTACGCTGATCCTCGGTGGACACTCGCTTCTGTCGCAGACCAAGATACAGGGGATCTTTGAGATTGGTTTCGTTGTTGGTGCCACAGTCGAGGACAATTGGCAGGGTCTTGCCGGGGTGGATACCAGCGGCAGCTGTATAAAGAGCAAGCTTGCCAATCTATCAAACACAGCTCGAGTCAGAACAAGCTACTCCCAGGGAACAAACTTTATATTTTGACTTACCGAGATACCAACACCGTTCATTCCCAGGTCACCGAGACCCAGGATACGGGAACCGTCAGTCACGACGCAGATCTCAGGATCCCGGCAAGGCCAGTTCTCAAGCATTGTGCGAATTGACTTTCGCTGCTTGATGGAAATGTACAGAGCCTCGGGACGAGTATATAAGGCGGAGTACTGGAGGCAGACATCGCCGATGGTCGGAGTGTAGACCAGTGGCATCAACTCACGAACGTTGTCCATCAACAATCGGTAGAACAGATCGATGTTCTGCTCCTTGATGCTGGACAGGTATAGGTACTTGTCGATGTTGGTCTGGCGAGAATTGATCATCTTCATACCACGCACACATTGCGTCTGCAGACTCTCAATCGTGTGGGGGAGAAGGCCGGTGAGGTTGTTGGCAACGCGCTCCTCTGGGGTAAAGGAGAGACCTGCATTGGATGCATGTCAGCTCAGAACATCTCTAGTCGACTGGAAAAGGCGATCGATGTGGGGGAAAAGACAATAACGAAATCCAAAGACCAAGTCACTTACCCTTGTTCCAGAAGGGCTGGCGGAGAAGAGGGTATCCAGCAGCCATGGTTCTTGAGATGTACTCGGTCTCCTTGTCTTGGCTGACCTGAGCGTAATGGTTCTGAGCGTATCCGCGGAGCTGGTCGAGAGATGCAGCCTTGATGCCTTCCTCAATGGCAGCAATGTCAACGTTGGACGTCATGGGATTGAAGTTGATCAATTTGCGGCCGGACGAGGCTGCAGGTGGTATTTTATTGCTGTGTCTTGGACCCGAGGCAACGGGAGAGGAGGGGGACGTGGACCGAGGTGTGGGGATGGGCTCTGAGTGGGAGGTGCTGCTGCTGGCAATGCTGGCAGCGGTGGTAGTGATGGAGGGAGCGGTTTGGGTGGTCTCAGCTGGGGCTAGTGTTGATGCTGCTGTTCCAGTCGAAGCCATGGAAGTGGAGGAGAAAGAAGATGCAGGAGGGACGGAACCGTGCAAGCAACGACGCAACCGGCGACGATGGGTATTAATAAGAAGCGAAGAGACGACTGGGTGGCCTGACAAGACGGTCGCCGGCGAGGTAGTGGGGAGACACAGACGATTTATCAGGAGCCCAGCTCCCAGGCGACTCTGCAGCCCCATGTGGTGAGCAGCAAGGCAAGCTTACCACAAATGAGCGGCAAGGACAAGGGTGTGTGGAATGAGCCAGGGGAAGCGCCTACGAAGCAAATGCGACGGGAGGGAGAAATCGGAGAATGAATGAGGGACAGGCGGAATTGTCAGCACAAAAGGGAAGTTCATTAAAGGCAAAAACGAAGGCGGACGAGGCTTGATGGAAATTTGGCTGAGGATCTGGATCTCCAAGTGGAGTGACTAACAGCGTAGTGGGTTGCGACGAAACGGGGAGCGGCCCCGGTGCCGGAGACGAGGCCCCTTCACTGGGGTACAGCGCTGTGCATGGTACCGGCGAGGTACCCAGCGAGGTACCTCAGGTCTCTTTCCAGGCTGTGGGAGCCCATTCCTAGCGCTTGCGAGAGCCATGGCTACCCGACACCGACTAACCAAAATAAACTACAGCCTGGCCTGCTAGCGCTGGCTCGCGATTCTAGCACAAGGGAATAGCACTGGCGAAGCAGCAGCTGGTACTATTGAGCTGATGGCCAACACGGTGTCAATATGTGCTGACCTGACCCAGAGCTACCGCCAGCAACATGGCATGACATGACGAGACAGATGCGCGCAATAATTATTGACACCCGACTTTCAGGTCCGCACGCGACATGGACGGTCCTCCAGGTCCAGGGGTTTGGGGTCCCCAGAGCACTGCCATCCATCCACTTCATCAACCGCCCGTCGCCGAACCCCAAAACAAGATGCTCTTGCATGCCCGTCCCGAGCTTTGTTGCATTATGTTGCAGCTGACATGCCGCTAAAAGCTTTCGGAAAGGCGCTCCCTTCCCGCCCCCCCGCACGCACCGCCTTTTGGAATTACAAGGCAACAAAGAAAATTTGTTGGGCAGCATCTCATCACCGACGGGCTGCTCCTGTGTGACGACAACGCAGGTTAGCGGAATCGCCCTCTGGATTATCCCATGCTAGACCCGCACAGCCCATCTCATGGCGGTCACTGCGTAGTGTGCCAGCTAGAGCATTCAGCTGTCCCGATCAGAGAAATGGCTTGGGCAGCTCCTGGTTGTCCCCGATTCAACGGACGTTCTTTTCGGCCGCTGCTCCACATCCCCACCGGCGTCCGGACAACTTCCGGAGTATCGGTCACGAATTCAGCAAGAAGGGGTAATCCCGCCTTGAAGGGCCCAGGTCGGATTAATTGCCCATTTGGCACACATCTATGTCGTCGTGAGCATGAATGATGATGATTGAAGGTAGGACGTAAGCTATGGGAGAGGCTGGAGGGCAGGCGGTCCAATGGGAAGGACAGGATGGCCTATCATTGCTGGGTCGTCGGGCTTGGGCCTCCTCCTCCTTCTTTTTGCCCAAAGCGTAATTAGACAATGGTAAGGTTGTCTTCTCGTGTTAGAGATGTAATGAATAATCACGACACGTCTTGCCTGCCGAGTGAACCGGATCCCTTGGACCCCTGCTACCTGCAACGGCCCCAGCATGCAATTAGCACCCTTGACTCGCTCGGAAGGTTTGTATCTACCTGCAGCTATGTAGCACCCATCGTCCTGACGTGCATATTACACCACCTGTGGTAGGTATGCGACGGTTTCATGCTTTTGAGTCCAAGGGAAGACTACGAACTCGATCAAGGGCTACAGTTGAGCTCGGCCGCCTCGAATGTCATTGCAGCAGACTCGAAACCAACCGCTGCTAACAAAAACCACCCACAGGGGCAATCGCATCACCACGGGGGAAAGGGGTGCAAATTGCCCTACAGCTCATTCCGACTTCACCCGAAGGCTAACGCCACCAACCAACGGGAGTGATGGGGCGGCCTGGCGGATAGTTTGTATGGGGAGACCAGGGGTCCTAGATGATGGGGAACAAGCATTAGTACGAGGTGGGCGGTCGCTAGGGCACGAATCGCACTGCCTCGCGATCTTTGGGAGAGAAAGAAGCAGTAAGAGGTTTTCCAGACTCCCCGCAATTCGCTACGTCCCGCTCCCTGGCTCTTTCGCACGCGATCACAAGCATGTCTCTCTCAGATGATCACTTTTAAAAAATTTCTCAAATGCGGGCGGGCGTTATCAATCAGTCAATCCTGCTTGTCTGCATGCATGTCGGAGATCTACTATCTGTGTGCTCGTGTCTCAATGTTATGCTTGCATGTGTTTTTCCGTCTCTTCCATCCCTCCGCTATTTGTACTCCCGCCTGTACCCAGCTTGTACCCTGATTTAGCATCACATGACCACTATGACATTAGCACCCTTCCACCAGCAGGGTACGCTCAGGGACAAGGGGGCCACTGCAATAGCGTCAAAGACTGCATCTGTCTCAGCGGCGCCTATGTACTCATTTTCGTACCTGCAAACTACCTAACCAATAACCTACCTAGTAATGAGTGAGCAAGAGAGGTTCCGAATTGCGGAGGCGGGCGTGGTTCATCCTTCTGGGCGCTAGCGCGCACCAACAAAGTTTCCTGGGTGTTGGCCGTCTTTGGGAAGTCCTACCCTGGATAGGGGAATGTTAACCTGGATACTTATGTTGACACTATCAACAAAAACTGAACGCAGCAAGGGGGAGGAATCTGATACGTCACTCCCCAACATCTTTGGCCGCCGTGTTGGAATGATTACTTAGTATCTGGAACATGGTATTATTCTGTGTGTCGCACAGCATTTCAATGGCTGCCAAACTTCATGTAAGCGCATGGATCGGGATGTGTCTAATCAAAACAACCTACTCTTGGTTGTTGAGTGGGTAGAGTCGGGAAATCCGATCTCCCACACCCCCGATTCATTATCTAGTTTTTACAAAACCCTCGGAGAATGTCCGCCCCGGGCTCTGGGGGGGGGGGGTTCCACATGCTCGATACTACTAGAGTTGAACTAGAGAAGTGACGCGGCAGGAATGAGCGATAATAAAGAGGTGTGGGTTTTTATGCATGTTCCGTTGCCATGCGTTCGGAGATGGTAGTGAGATGCCATCGTGGGGAGGGGCTACTGCAAAACCATCCCGCCCACCCTAACATCATTACACATGTCAAAGAAGATGTTGTGGCTGCCTTACACATGATAAACTGTGGAATATTTCAAAAGACCTTATTCTGTATAGCGAGCGGCATGTGCCATCACATTACCCCCCTTTTATCCCACCATATCTGAACCTATCCTGCTATCATACATGTCATTACTTTTCGTCACGGGCCCCAAGCTGGACCGTCTTCTCCGTAGCTTTCTCGATCTTGGCCTTGACCTTATCATCCAAGAGTGCCCACCAGCGTCTGAGACCCTCCGCATATGACACCTCAGCATCGGAAACCTCGACAGGGGGGCCCTTAATCTGAGGAAGCCTCTCCTCGTCACCCTTCTCGAAGACGGCCCAGGCCGAGTCCTCTGAGGTTCGGATCCCAAAGCCGCGCTTTCTAACCGACACAATCTGGAATTGACGCAGGAGCACCACATCGCCCACATGCACCGTCGGCAGGGATGCCTGGTGCGGGCGGAAGAAGTGCGCAACCACGACGGCGGACGGTGCACATGATGGATCTGTAAGTATCAGCTCAACCATGTAGTCGCGCGGGCCACTTTTCGGCCGTGATGGCTGCGGAGGGGTTGTTGTAGCAATGGCAAGGATGTTTGTCGTCCTCGATGCCAGGTTTCGGAGCGACTTGAGGGGGGTAAAGTCTCCCAAGTTGGTTCGAAGATCTCTCGACAAACGTAGCCTCAATTCGGAGATTGGCTCGCCATCTGCGGCTGCGGCAGCTGCTGACGAGCCGGCCACCGAAGGCGTCTTCAACAGCTCCGACGTAGAGGCCGGCGACTTGCTTCGACCCTTCCGGGTGGCCCCTGACGCTTGACTTCCGTGGGGCGTCTCTGGTGTAGCACCATGTCGCGTGCTCCTCGTTGGCGTATGTGGAGACCCCGCCGTTTGGCCCACACCAGCTTCCACCTGGCTGCGGGTGATCCGACCTGTATGAATAACTGGGGGAGTCTTATGTTTTCGACGTGGTTCGGGTTCAGCCGCTCCCGTGTTGGCCTTTGCAAGCAAAATACTGGGGTCCTGGTTGTGCGTGCTCGTCGAGTCAGAGGACAAACTCTTGCGGTGTCCGCGGCTGCGCAAGGACTGCACTGTAATTAACATTTCCTGCTCTGGCTTTGCCGTAGCTTTTTTCCCCTTCTCCATGGGCTCACTGGGAACAGACGTGGCAGTATCAGCCTCGGACTGAAGAGTATCAGTCATGGGTTTGTCCTGATACCCCCGTGACTCTGATATGATTTGCTGCTCAGCCGCAAAAGAATATTCTGCGTCATGATTATGCTCATCATCGATCTGGTCAATATCCATTGCATCGTTCAGTGGCGATTCTTGTAGCGTAGAATCCTCCTCTGCTCTCTCCACATATATTACCTCCTCCACCTCGACCGTAGCCGCAACTGGTTGTGCTACTTCATCTGCTGTTTTTGCTTGCTGAGACATCTCGGTTGGAGGTGCCGAGTCTAAACCGTCCCCGACCTCAATCTCATCCTGTACACAGGCCGTTTGTTGGATAGACTCCAATTGATTTGTCTCCTCTACTATGGGAGATGCCTCTTGCATCGCCGTATCTTCGCCTGCGCCGTCATTAGGCAAGTCTTTTGCTTCGGTACTAGGGGTTGAAACAGCAGGTAGCTCCACTGTAGGAACCTGGCCGGTTGGCGCGACGGCCATATTTGAAGTGATTTCCGTAGAGACACTTTCTACAAGTTTTGGTGATGTCTGTTCAGTCATCAGGGATGATGCTTTGCCTATACTCGCCCCCAGGTTTTCATCGGTGGCTGAAAGGCCA